TTTCTTTTAGTGGTACTAAAAAGAACGGGTGGTTACAAAAAAAAAAAAAAAAAAAAAAAATTGTATAAAATTGTTGGTCATAAAAATTTATACTCGTGCGCGCAACTTGGCGAACATTTTATATACAGAAACGAAGTATAAAGAAAAATCAATCAACAATGAAATTTTTTTTCGACTTTAATTACAGTAGTGTAGAAAAATTAAATTGACAAAATTAATATTTAGCAGTTAAAATACATTAAAACCTTTGAGAATTTGAATTCCATCATGGAAAAAAATCATTATTTGGAACAGCGATGTGCTTCTCTAGAATAGCGAAAACTTTCGCTGTTTTAGTAAAATATATCGCTGTTCCAGATAAAGATTTTTTTCCATGAACTTTTAATAATTAAAACTTTGATACATTTTAAAATTAAATCGGTAAAAATTATTTTTTATATGACAAAATTTTGAAACAAGTTTGGAAATTAGGTTAATTTTATTAAAATGTACGTGAGGCGGTAATGATTGAGTGAACGGTCAAGTTGTTACGTGTCCGCGCATTTGACACGATTTTAAATGGTTGGTGTGTGTTGAGAGCGCGCAGTCAAATGTTGCGGATGATCTAGTTTGACTTGTTTTGCAACGCAGACAAGCAATATTTACCTGACAAGAACTCGAGTTCCGTTTTACAGTTATCATTATATTGTTGGTTTGGAATGCGGCCGTCCTTCCTTGTTTCCAGTTGGTATCATCGCTTCTGATGTGTCGTGCTTCATCATATATATAATATGCACACACAATCATGAAAACGACCTTATCGTCAAAAAAATAAAGAAACCGGTCCCCAATTCCTCTCGTTTATAATGAAGAAAAACTCTCATATATGAAGATAAGAAATTCTTTTTTTTTTTTTTGTTTACGGTTTGTTGCACGTCCTCATATCCAAAACAAGTTGGATTGCTTCATGTCCTTTTTGCTGATTTTATCCGCATTTAAAACGATCATATTGAAGTGATTTTAGTTTTTTTATGCGTGTCGTAAATTTGTTTTTAAATCAGGGAAATATTAATTCCAATTAAAATATGTTTTTGCTGCAAATTAAATCGAAATTAAAAATATTTCGATATTTCCCTGGAAAGAAGTTTATTTGATTCAAATATAATTTACTTGGCTGTATATTTACTTGAACGAAATAATTTCTGTATTTAAAACAAAAATTATTTGGTTAAAGTAAATATTTGATAATAGTCTAAATTATTTGAATTAAATTTTTTTTTAGAAAAAAAATTATCGAAACTTTTTTTTTATAAAAAGAGTTGACGTTTTGTATATTTTTTTGTCCTTGCATTTTTTCCTCTTTGCGTTTTCTCTGCTGGGATAATTTTCGAAACAGTTTTATTTTCTTGATAATTTTGTTTTTCCAGTCACAGCTGATGACTTTATTCTTTTGAATTTTCCTCATTTGATAACAGTTCGAATTTTTTTTCTTTTTATTAATTTTTTAAGTAGTTTTTTATTAATTTGTTTCTTTTAGTAAAATTTGTAATTATATAAATTTATCATGTTTTATTGAATTTTTATTCTAATAATTCTTGATTGAAACAAGTGGGGATTTTTCTTATATTTTTTTTTTTTAGATTTTTTAATAGAATGCATAATATTGAACTGTTGAAACTCGAGAAACCAGAAGCCATAAACGTTTCAAGTCGAGTTTCAATGACCAACGTTTGTTGTAATATATGCCCGCGTTCACTATATATGAAGGTAAAATGGTTCTCCAGGGTGTCCACGTAACAATATATATATATATAAGCAAAATCAGTTCCTTGTTCGGTATAACAAGACATTGTTTCAATTGGACACAGATTTTTTTTTTTGTTCTAATAACGATTCCGGTTAACACAGCATGGCGAATTGCTAAAAAGTGTTGCACGCCAAGAGAAATTATTATTGATTCGCGGAAAAGACTGTAATTTAGAGTTTGCGTTATTATTTTTTTGCAAATGTTGCAAATTTTCACATTATATTTTTACTTTTTAGTATATTATTATCTGATTTTGAATTGATAATATATGAAAACATTTTGTGAGAAAAAAGCAGAATTTTTATTTGGCAGCAAATAAAGTTTAAAATATTTTAAACAGAAAAAAAAAAATTTTTTTAATTTTTTTAAAAGAGATTTTAGTTTTAGAGATTGATGATGGCAAAACACGGTTGTGAAGTGAAGTAAAATGCACTTTCACCTTGTTTCGTAACTTTGAATAGCTCGTCAGTTCCCTCACTGTGATTTTTTTTTCTTTCCTTTTTTTTTCTAACATTTCTAACGCATCTTATGGCACACGCGATTTATTGACTACTCTATATAAAGTTTATAATGTTAGAAAATTTAAGTTTGAATTTTTTCATGACCTCCCATTGACCTGGTGATTACTTTCCTCAATATTGCCGTAGAGAGAAAAGAGAGTCAATGATTTATCTTTTAACATGAAAATTCTTATAATGCATAAGACAAGTGTTTATAGTGTTTGCCATTCATTATAAGTCCAGTTGGCACACATATATATATATACATAGTGGACAGAAGAAAATTCTCCAACAGGTTCTCTGTTTGAAAAAAGAGAAAAAAAAATGCAAAATTGAAAGTAGAAAGTGCGATTACAAGTTGGAACTTTTATCCCTTTACATATTTATATAAAATTTGTAATTAAAATTTTTGGCTAAAAAAAAAAATATTTCGGGTAAAAAATTGTCCGAAAAATGTTTCGCTTTCTTTACTAATGGAAAATTCTAAGGCATCATATAGTCAGGATTCACCTAACAGACTGGATCAAGTTTCCAAGAAAAAAAGAGAAAAAAAAAACCTGTCCCGCATCTTCTCCTTCTCATGCGCACCCTTTGCTGATCTTCTTTCCCTCTGACACCCATGTCAATATCGAGAATCATCGCCATGTAATCCATCCCATAGAGTCTAGACACCCCTTTGAATTTCAAAATTCAGCCAATTTAGAAATTGAAATAAATATTTTTTTCTGTTAATTATACAAAAAATTATTTAATTTTTGTCTTTAATAATTTTTTTTTTCAATTGAATATAAAAATTCAGTTTTAATAATCGGCTATAATAATTCGTTTCAAAAAAATCGTTATCTGGAACAGCTATAGAATAACGAAAACTTTCGCTGTTTTAGTGAAACTTATCGTAAACATTTTTTTCCGTGTATAATTTTAATATTAATAAATTTTTATTTTAATATTAATTAAAAAATGTGGTTAAAATTTTGCTATTTTATTAAAAACTTTGGTGATTTGATTATGCAATTGGAAAAACGTTCGATTTGCGATCGAATTAAATCCCACACCCGGACGACCTCGAGGTAAGGAGCCTAAGGTCAACGACTTTAAGTCGGACTTATGCGAGCGGGTTTTAAACAGCTTAGGTTGCACGATTATTATACATATATATGTATATAATAGCAAAATACTACTACACCAATGAGAGAGAAGAAATTTGAAAGTCGGGGAGAAAGTGCACCACACGTCACGTGGAATAGTTCATCGTTTACACTATCACTAACTCAATTTATACATATATACACCTAATATTATTGTATGTGCGTTCATGGACTTTTCTGAAAGGCTCCATTGCACCACTACCACCTTCACTTTGCTCTCTGTGAAAAGCGAAAACACGACCCGATATCGCGAACAAAAAATTATTATTTTTTTCCATATTAATTTTCAAAAAAAATTAAATAAATATAAATATTAATTTTTTTCTCCAAATAAATTTTAATAGGAAATAAATTTTATTTGCATATATTTTTTTTTAACAAATAAAATTTTTTAAACAATTAATTTTTTATTTAAACAAATAAAAATGAGACAAATATATTTTTAATTGATTAAAAAAAAAATTTATTTTCTACCTCAAATAAAAGTGTTTTCTTGGGGTGTAAGGAAAATTGTGTGAAAATACGGTTCGTTTAATTAGTGATTTATTTTTTATTCCATCATAAAAAGTAACGATATTAATAAATATAAGACACTAATTAATTAATTAAAAAAAAAAAAAAGGATTTCTCCAGATTTCCTAATGATATTATTACACAAGGTAGATTTTTATCTATATAGCATGATATATTAATTTGATTAGGAAATCAAGTTCGAATGGCGCAGGGTCGAATGCATATATCGAAGAAAGGAACGATCTAATGATTTATTTAAGTTTCGCGCTTATGATACAACATTGGAGGGGAGATATATATATATATATATATATATATCTAAACGTTGAAAGCGAGGGACTTTCATTTTTCCCACCCGGTGCAACTATTGCAACATAATTGTAGGCATTATCGAATTACGTATATAACATTCACTTGAAACTTCTATGATGGCAAAATGATTTTCGATACATTATAAAAGGAAAAAAAAAATCATCTTTTTTGTTTCTCGAAATTTTTTTTTAAATAATTACAGTCTCCTTGATATCTAAACGGATGGCATTTAGATTTTTTTATTCCGATAGGGCCTGAATTTCCGGAAATGAGAAATTTTTGACCCCGCAATATAAATGCGACGGAGAGAGAAGAATTGAGGGTGTTCACTGAAATGGAAAAATGGAAATTTTTTTTCTTTTTTAATATCATATAATATCTGATAAATTAGAGGCTATCTAAAAAAAAGAAAAAAGGTTTTTTTGTCACTCTCTAAAATTATAATCCTATAATAAGAAACAAAATCGTTGAAAGAAAATTATTTTCGGAAATATGTGACGTAAATTCTATTTTTCGTTGGGCGATTTTTTTTTTGAAGTAAAAAAAAACAATAAATGAGGTGACGAAAAAATAAAGGTCTTCTAATTTTATTAATAAAATAAGCTGAGGAAAAAAGTAGTTTTTGAGACGTTATAAGAAAATCAAAAATTTATTATTTTTATAAAAAACGGTTTATTATAATTTAGTTTTAATTTTTTTATTTTTTTACGATTATTAAGATTGAAATTTTTTGTTTTACAGATTTCTATGAGCATAACAAAAAAATTGGATGAAGTGAGACTACTTGAATCAAGAAAAAGCGCACGACTTGCTTATTCGGATACTGATTTTGCGAGACTTGCTGACATGGCCGGGGATAGAAAACGATCATCTTCAAGCTCCATCGATGTGCCAAATGCCAATGGGTAAGATACCATACATATTTTCAAAATATTCATTCTTTTTACTAATTTTTTTTGTTGAAAATGAAAATATTTCAAATCACGTTAAAAAATCATAAAAGAAAATTTTAATATTAATTACTGTTTGAGATTAATTTAATTTCTAATTTAATTAATTACCAAAAATTAAAAGAAACAAAAAATATTGCATAATTAGTAAAAATATTTTCCTTTTTATAATTAACGGTTTGTAAAATATAAATTATTTGTTTTCAATTTTCTTATATCGAATTTTTATTTTTTTTACAAAAAAAATATCTATTTTGGTTACAATTGCGCTACGGAGCGTGATTTGAGAGCCCAAGGGATCAAAGCATTGAATAAATCCGCTTTTGCTCTTATCCAGCACTCCTTTGTGTCCCTGTCACAAATACATACATACACTTGTGCACAGATTATCCTTAAAAAATTTTCCTCAAATAATCACTGAAGAGAAAATTCAAAAATGATTTTTTATCAAAATAGGATATGTTTTTTTTTTTCGAAAAATGAGCTTTTCTAATCTCTTTTTCTTTTGAGAAAATTTTTCAATAAGATAATAATTTTTCCCAATTGGAATTTAAAAAAAAAAATTTCATTCTAATTTTCCAATTGGAAATAAATTTTTCAATTATTTTTCCAATTGGACATTTTTAATTGTTTTGAAAACAATAGTAATTTTGTGTTTGTTTTTTTTTTTTTAAATTGTAACAAGTGTGGAATTGTTTTAGTAAGGGAAGTTTGTGTGCTCGATGACTGTCCTGCGATTGCTCACTGCTCTGACTCAGTAGACTGTGAACGCACCCTCGCTGCACACCTGTCCTCACCTTTATTTATATACATATATATATACCATGGAGAACGCATCTCCCTGTAAAATCATATAGCTCTTTCTCGTGTGAATCGACTAAATCCCAGTCGACCTCGGCCCTCTCTTCTTCTCTTTCTTTCTATATACCTTGTCAATTCCCCTTCGAATATTTCACAGTCAAACTATTACCTTTTAGTAAAATTTGGAAAATAACCTCCCTCGATTTATATATATTTTTCATCTTGAGTCGCATCAAATGATAATTCTCTCTGAAAAGGTTCTTCTTTTTTTTTGACACACAATTTTCTGAAAAAATTAAATGAAAATTTTTTGTAGTTTTGATAAAATTTAAATTCGAATAAATAGAAAGGAATAAAATAAAAATTCAAACTTTTACAAAAAGAATTTTTATCAGAATTGGACGAAATTGATCATCGCTATCATATTTTCTCATCGAAAAATGAGAACCTAACACATTTGGGAAGTTCATCTTACCAGTAGATTGGAGAAAAAAATAGTAAAGAAAAAACTACTATATATGTATATACCTGGTCAAAGAACTTGAATTCTTTTGGTGGGGGCTGAAGCTCTAACCCACTCCCTGATTCCTATCCCTATATACAAGTTAGGCTTTTTTTCTCTTTCCTGCTTTTACTCACTCTCTCTCTCTCTTTTTTCTATCCCTCTCTCTTTCTCTTTCAAATGCTTCCAAGGGTGGAACGGCCTCCCAATGTCTGGAGCTCGTAGCAACGACCTAAAAACTCTCTCGACGTTTCGGTTCTCATTCCAATCTTTTATTTTCGGAGAATCACACACTATTTTGTATTTTTCACTTTTCCACTTCTGCATTTCCAAAGGAGCATCCAACTTCTTTTTTCATCTGAAAACGAGAAACATTAAAGTGCTTACATTTTTTTATACTCGATTATTTTCATTTTTTTTTTCTTTTTAGTGAAAAAAGTTTCCAAATTATGAAAAAAATTAAAGAAATTATATTAATAATTGTAGAGTATTTTTTCAAAATTCTAAAAAAAATAGTTGGAGAATATTGTGAGCAAGAAAATGGAGATGAAAAAAAGAATATTTTGAGAGGGAGAAGGGACCACCACCCTTTTTTTTTTTTTTTTGAACGAAATACGGGTTGGGTCCAAGTTGGCAACGAGGAGAATTCTTCACACAAAGAGATATTCGGGCTTTCAAATAATGTTATAGTCCTTTGCTTCTGCTGTGTCTGGGCTGCTCAGGTTAGTTACCTGTCCATGGGGCCGAGTCTGCACCTGGCCTTGCTTGACCTACCCCACATGGGAGAGGGAGGGAGGGAGAAAATCACAAAGGAAGGAGAAATCCTCTGTTAACCAGCCCATGTATATACGCAGTTTACTCCAATCGCAATCCCGTTTTATAGCGTCAAACCCATTTTACGCAGAAAGAATTCTTTTACTCGCGCTATCGCTCTCTCTCTATTTTTTTTTCTTTTTTTTTAACACGCACTTTTATTTAAAGAGAAAATAACTAAAACGAGAATTGTATTTCTTTTGTTATTCTCTATGTCCCTTTAAATCCGAACATAACCTCTATTCAAATTTGTTTCTTTTTTAATTTACACTTTTATTCACACTTAATTATCTGATTTCTTATTTTTAACTTATTTTTAAACAATTTAAAATAAAATTAGTTATTTTTAATTCAATTATTTTGTTTATTTAATAAAATATTTTCACAACAATTTTTGACATTTTGACAACGTTCGATTCGATACTTTTGGAAAAATCGATTATTGAAAAAATCGATTTAAGAATCGAAGTTACGATTTTCGACCCCCGCACACAAAACTTAATATTTATTATAGAAATTTTAATTATATATTAATTTTAAAATACAGTAAAATAAAATATATAATATAATTATAGTTTTAGACGAAATAGTATAATTAGAGAAAAAGTGTTTAGAATTTCTTTTTAATATTTGAAGTTCGCGCTAAAATATTTACACAGTTGGCAGCCCTTATTGTTATAATGTCACAAACTTCAAATGGTAATAGTCATAATTTGTGAAACAGTTCAATCGGTGTCAGTAAAGAAACAAAATTACATTAATTAACTGAAATTACATTATTATTGTACAATGAAAAAGTGAAAATATCGTTAAGTAATAAAGCTAACAAGTTAATATTATGTCAAGTATACAGACATTAAGTAAGATTGAAAATTATAGTTAACTGAAAATGTGACAAGTGTTTTGAGGTTAAATTGACCAACGACAATATTTTCAATTTAAAAAACATCATTGAAATGAATTTTGATAACGGTAATGTATTTTAATTTCATTGTTTTTAAGGGCATTGGGTGACATTGAATGTTGCTTCTCGTTCGTTAGCTTTCCAAAAATCCGTTCTATTTTTCTTTTTTTACACGCTATGTTGATTTGAGTTGTTGCTCGTCTAGATCCGTTATAATAAACACTTGTAGCTGAGTTCAACAGCTTGTGAAAGAATATATATCAAGAGAAATAGAGGAAAATGTGTTTGTGTTGTGTATGTTGGGGAGGGAGGTTAGAGAGCATAGAACGAGTTGAGTTTAATTAGTTTCCCCTGCTTACGTACAGGGAACTCGTTACAGTATCAACTTGACGTCAAACCATTGCTTACGACTCACCCAAGCACTACATTAGAGAGAATAATGTGCATCCAACACTTATGACTCTATTTTACTCGGGGAAATTATTCTCCTTGGCTAATATTGATTATTTTCTTTTTTTTATGTTTAATTATTAATAATAATTACTATAAATATAAATAATATAATAATAAATAAATAATTTTTTTTTTTTAATATTTATACAGAAATTTAAAAACGTGATGAGTTTTTTTTTTTATTTTTTTGTGAATAGGTCAATTTGTAAATTGAAAACGAAATTGTAAACCTCTCTCGGGTGGAAATAAAAAAAGACCTTCGATACATTTTTGCCAAAGTGATTTGATCGCGTGGCAACTGGGTAAAAATTTCGATTTTTTTTCCTTTCCCATAAAGTTGTATACACGCAACGTGGTGAGCCAAATTGCCTGCTCATACGCCCTTACGGTAATTGGCGGCAGCAAATTGAGCAACGCACTGTTTCTTTCTCTCTCTCTCTCTCTCCACACACAACGTAATTGTATCCACTCTCTATAGGAATACCTGTTTTACCTTTCTTTTCTGCTCGAGTTACCTTTCGCTTCCATATGGGCATTTAATTTAACCAATTATAATATTTTGATTTCATTGAAAATCAATATCTCTCATCTAAATGTTGATCCCTCTTCATTTTTACTTTTTATTAATTATTTTCTTTATTTTTTCTCTCTAAATTTTAATTGTTATTTTTTAATTTATTTTATTTTAATTTCATTTTAATTTAGTTTTAATTTAATTTAATTAATTTTAATACATAATATACATTTTTGATTTTTATATAATAATAATGGAATAAAAAAATTTTTACATTAAATAATAATAATAGAAAATATGAATTTTCAATATTTATTAGTTTATAATTAAAAATTATTTATTTTTCAGGCCCGAGGAGACAATGACAAGAACAAGGTACAATGAAATTCACAATTCGCAAGTATTACAATATATAATTGCATTTTTTTTAACATTGTTGGAAAAATTTAAACATTTGAATGATTAATTTATTGAGAATTTAAAAACATTTAAAAGAAATAATTAAATGGTAAATTAAAAATGATTTATTTTATTTGAGAATAAATTAAATTTTAAAGCTAAAAAAATATTGACATTCATTGTAAATAATGAATAATGTAAATAGAAATAAAAATTAATTTGAAAAATCATTTCTCGGATTTCGTAATTATGAAGTGAAAATTGTTCATCTCAATTTTTATTTATTCTATTTAAATTTTCATTTGGAAATAATAAAGGAATATACATTAATTTTTTTTTTAAATATACAGAGATTTCGTAATTAATTTCTTTTTACTTCGTTTAATTAAAAATTGTTATTTTAAAATATTTAAATACAAAAAAAATGTGTAAATTTTCCAACAGTGTTTATTATTATTATTATTAAACAAAAAGGTAATTGACCCACATTTTTTTTTTAAATTCATAAATAAGAATGTAATTTTTGTAATCGCGGTATGATTTATTAAATTAAAATAAATAATTAGATTTAAATAGTTCAAATATTACAAATTAATATTAAAAATTAGATTTATTAAAAAATTATTTTCAAATCATTGTGGAGTAATTATCTTTTTGTTTTTTTAATAATGACGAAAGATCATTGTGAACTTTTGTTAATTTAAGGACATATGAGCAAGTGAAATCTATAAAACAGTTGGAGCAACGGCGACGTAGGTCTTTTTTTATAATTTTAACGAGACAAAAAAAAGTAGAACAGTAATTTTAAAGTAATCCTATTGAAAAATAGTTGAAGAGTTGTTAGAAGATATAAACAATTGAAAACATATATCACCAACACTATTTCATTAACACATTTTATTCAAAATCGTTCAACAAAGGTTTTAAACACTTTCTATTATAATAAAAATAATTAAAATTATTTGAATTATTTATTTGAATTTTTAAGTAATTTATTATTAGTTTTATTATCTGGTAAAATATAGAATTTTTCAATTTTTATTATAAAAATAAAATTAAAGAATTATGAAATCGTTGCGCCCTTCCAAATGTCTTAAGAATTTTCAAAATTTGTCATATATTAAATCAATTCAAGTTTTGCATAATTTTTTATATTATTCTGGCCTAATAAAAACAAAGAAAAAATCTCTGACATTTCGCGATTTTTCGTGGTTGTGTGGAGTTCTCAAAGTTTATGATCAACGATTACAAAAAAAAAAGAAAAATATTGTCAAATGGAAAATTAAAAAAAAAATTTTTATATAAAATTAATGTTCTTTTTTTAACAAATTTGTGTATAAGTAAAACATTCGGAAGAATTTTTTTTTCAAATGAAAATTTATTAAAAAAAAAAAATTTTCCATTTATGATAAAAAATTTTTCATTTTTTAAAAATCGTTGATCACTAACGTTTGTTAACTTCATCATTATCATGGAATTTTTCAGGAAACAAAAACGCTGTAGATGTTGTAGCGAGCGCGAAGAGCCTCTTAAAAATAAAATTCGAAAAATTGGCGTAAAGAGGTATGTAAATTTTTCATCGATTCAAAATTTATATTTATTTTATTTTTTTTTGGATTTTAATTATAAAATTGTTTAAAACCAATATTATACACGCAATGAACAAAGCATCATCAAACTAACACACGATATATAGTGAAAAACATGGAGAGTGGATTTAATTCTATTTTTAGTATTTCTCTCGAGGGTAATTTCATCCCCTATGAATGAATCCATTAAGATAGAAGCGCACTATTGACTCAGAAAACATGAAATGGTTGTCATTTGATAGGAAGGAAAAGTAAGAAAAAAAAGTATAATAGGGTCAAAAAAAAAAAAATTACCAAATTCATTTTATTTTGGTTTTAGTTATCTTTCATTGACACAGTTTCAGGTTGAAAAAAAAAATTATTTACCTGACGATTTAGTGCTGCTTTTTTTTAGTGTTTCATATCTAGAAAGCAGTTTGGTTGAATGTAACAAATATTTTTTTTAATTCAATTTTTGTTTTAATTTTTAATATTTTTAATTTAATTTAACCAAAATGTTTGGTTATAATTTTATCTAATATTTTGGTTACTTTTACTAAATGTCTAATTAAATCTACCAAATATTTGGTTAATTTGGCCAAATATTTATGGTTAATTATGGAAAAAAAATGTTTGTTACAGTACAATCAAAGTGTTTTCTGTGTTTTTATACCTTTTGAATTTGTGGTTTTTTAACTTATTGTACACTGAAAAAAAAATTATTTGATTCTTTTAATCGGTTATTTGACTATTATCAAAGAAATTTTTACTTGATCCAAATAATTTTTATTTGAATCAATTAAATGGTATTGGTTACAAATAGAAAATATTAGTCCAAATATAGTTTATTGAATTATTTCAAAAATTATTTGGTTCAAGTAAATATTTATTTGATAATAGTAACCGATTATTTAAATCAAATTTTTTTTTCAGTGTACAAAGTAACCGTTTATTTAAAATAATTTTTTTTTTTATAACAATAATAATTCCCTAGCATGGAGGAATTTTTTAAAGTTTTATATTGATTATTTAAAAAAGAATGTTAATCTCAAATTTAAAAATGATTTCTATTTAACGCAAACTAAATTTAATTATGTATAATCAATTTTAAACGATATAAATGAAACTGTCTGGTGAAAGACTATTTTTTTTTCTTTTAAAAAATGTCGATAAAATATTGGAGAGACGTTGACGTAAAAAAATCGTCAGATGATTTCGTTTGGGGGCTCGTTGTCGTCGTCATCATTTCGTATATAGTCAGTCACTAGGTTAACTTACGTAATAATTTCAGAGGCTCCTCTCTCACTATGTTTTGTGTTGATGGGGGGCAGAAGTGGAGGCGGTTCGTTGGCAAAGAGACGCGGGTATATAATATATATATAGAGAGAGAGAGAGAGAGGCGAGGTGAAGGTGGCTGAAAGACGACGACGGGGGCGGTTCGGCTTTACAAATTGGGTCAATCAATACCGCACCGAAGCTATATGGGTCAGGTGCACTACGCTCTGTATATGACCAGGCAACCCCCGGAACACTTCCGCCCACCACCCCTCTTTTCTCCGCACCCTTGTTTACCCTCACCCCCTTGTCCATCTTTCTCTCTCTCTCTCTCTCTCTCGACGGTCCACCCTCGCCTCTGCTTTATAGTTTAATCCAATTTCCGTGTTAAGAAACGTACCACAAGGGATAGAATTTTAGATTTTCTTTTTGAAAAAAGATTATAATGGAGAAGAAAAAAGCAGGCAATAATAATTTTTTTCTATTTGAAAAATTAAATCGATTTTTTGGTGCTACACTATATACTTTCGCTGACATTGGCCGGGAAAGAAACTCGGATTCAAGGCGGCGCATTTGTAGGTTTCGAGGTTGAGGTGGAAGTTGAGATTAAAATGGAGGTTGGATTAAAATGAGAAAGAGAGTTTTTAGGTGAACGTTTATTGTTTTTTTTTTTATCTTTTCTGTGGAATATTTGTATTTTTTTGGGGGTGGGAATCTTTCTGTTCAGACATTTATCGGACAAATAAAAATTAGTATTTTCGTAGATTAGTAGTGCAGATTCTAATATTTCTGATCCATAACTAATTTTTTTAGTGTTCGAAACTCGCTTTTTAAAATAGAACTCTATAATCAAATTAGGAAAAAGGGTAAATCTCAAACTAAAAAATAGTTTTTACTCTCAAAATCTTTTATCTTCTGTATTTTACTATTTTTGTATCTCTTCTATTCTTTTATACAATTTCCTCCTGTTCTGAATAACATACTTCCTCCTCTCTTTTTTCCCCCTGGCTTTCACAATTTAGTTCAACAATATATATATATATATATATATATATATATATAGTTAAAAACTAATTCGACAATAGCTAATTATTATTGTGAGAGAAAGTTGTAATTTTCTTTCTTTCTTTCTTCGCGTGTATAATTGACATAATCACCTCAATTACATTCTCATTCGACGGGGCAATTTTCTGATCTTTCTAGGATGCATATAAGTGAAGTTTTTCATTATTTTTCATCATAACGGTTCTGTTTTTTTTATATATAGAGAGAGGAAAAATTGAGCTCGAAAATAACATGAAAAAATTGTAAAATAATATTCCAAAATGAAAGAAATTAATGATTTGAGAAATAATTTTTTTTCGCGAATATTTTGAGTAAAAAAAAAATTGTTGCTGATGGGAATGTTGGAGAAGATGTATATATATGTAAGAAAACTTGGCTCCGTGTACCTGACCCATTTTATCTGCCACGAGTCTGCCTCTGGCTGTACGTAGCTGCATCGATCGACCCCGATCCGTGGCCCCAGCCTGGCACCGAGCGACCCCACAATTTGTCATTCCACCCCCCCTGGCTTAAACCGACGCTCACTCACACACACATATATATATAAGACCGGTACCAATTTTCCCTATGAGCCATGTCTGATGCTGAAATTCAAGCAATGGCTGCGCGCAGAAGCATTCCAATTTCCTCCCAAATGTTCATGGACTTCTCACTAATGTCAAGGGTAGTTGAAATATCAATTAATCATAGCGTCATGTCATCAGAATATATATAAGAATTTAAACTCCAGACTTTAAATATTTCATTAGTTCTATATTAGACATTAACTAGGATTATCCCAAAAAAAAAATTCCCTACCATAAAAACTAGGATATTAATGTATAATTTTTAGTGAATTCGTTCTTAGATAAATCGCCTATAGGCTTTTTTTCACTGTGATATCATCGAAGGATAATAAATTCTCTATGGAAAAATAAAACATTGTGACAATTGACAAACAGTTGGCCTTATATTTCAACTTCCCAGTTGCAATGATGATGATGATGATGATGCAAATGGCTCTCGCGCTCCTATTTCCGACCTGATTAAAAATCAGGTCTCGCGATGCTTTCAATATAAAATACAATAGCAAGGATTGCAATATTCTATCTGTCAGTAGCTCAAGATCGCTGGATTTTTTTTTCTATACTCAAGGTCTTTGATTCTATGAGTCGGTTTTTCCTCTCTCTCTCTCTCTAAAAGAATACCGATGGTGACATTTGTATATATAAACGACAGTTTCAAGGATTCGACGACAAATTTGGCGACATATCCGCATTGGGCTAGGTCGGTGCTCACTTTTGTAACGGCTCAAAGCCCATGTAATAGGCGTTCAGACTGACAAGTACATGAAACAACTGACCATGAAATTTCTTCATGGTCGCTCTACATCCCTGGAATTTATATTTTTTATTTATCAGCATTCAACAAAAATTCTGGTTCAAATTGCATAGCAGTTTTCTGTTTGATTCTGTTTAGCAGTGAAAAATTTTTTAATAGTTAAGCTAATCATCAAACATTTCTAGTTTACCAAAAAGCGTAAGTGCCGTACAATTTAGTACCGATGTTGCTCGAAAGGTTCACTATCTGAAGGTGTGTGTAGTACAAAGTCTGTGTTAAATTTTTCTGACTGTATTTTAAAGAAGCTGATGCTTAGATCCTTAGAGCTTCCACTTCTGAATATTATAATCATATTAAAAAAAGTTCTCGTTTGACTGTATTTCAGTTCAGCTGACCAAAATTCTGGTTAAATTAATTAATCTAACCAGAAGCATGTTACATAACCAGAATTATGGAAACTGATATTAGCACTCAATTTTTCAAATATGCCAGTTTGCATAATTCTGGTTATGTAACATAACATGCTTTTAGATTAATTTAAGAATTTTGGTCAACTGAACTGAAATACAGCCAAACGAGAATTTTTTCCAGTGTAGGAGAGGAATGAAATATTATAATCAAGTATAAAATATATGATTATAGTGTTCAGATATGGAAGCTCCAAGGATCTTCTACACTTGTTGAAGCATCAGCTTCTTTAATATATATATATAAAAGTGGTTTTCGTGTTGAGAATTTGTAGATCGAGTTTTATAACATAGATATAGTAAAGAGAGTTTGAATTCTAGTGCCAATGGCTCTAGTCGGTGTGTCTACAATGGTAGTAGTTAGTTGTGGTGGTGGTTGTTGTTGCTTCCTTCTGCGCCTGCTTTCCGTCGACTGGTGAAACTGGGACAATGGGTCGAGTGCAGGCTAAACGTTATATAGCTAAACTGCACGTGTACCAACACAAATGCACACATTGCCACGTGTCGATATAGATTATACACGTAGGTGTGTTTTGGTGGTTCTCTCTTTCTATCTCGAGGAGCTTTTCTTATAGCTTACTATATACGAAGGACGGTTTGCATATTCGTGCACAAATCGACCTTCGAATGACCTTTCCACACCATCTATTCGGAGGGGGTGGTGGACTTCACTTTCACCATTGTCTTTTTCTCTCTTTCACTTTCATTATTTTTTTTTTCCTCCAATTTAATACGTACTTACGGTCCTCTACGTCCTGATTATTCTAACCAGAAACTGATAAATTTTTCTGAATTCTGATTCTTCTAATCCTTTGGAAAAATTTTAGTACAAAATAAAAATTATAGTTTTTCTATAGCAGAATTGTTGAGGTGGTTTTAGTTTATATTGTATATATTTATACTGTAATGAGAATCCTTTGTTGTAAGAGGTGTGGGAAACTTTCGATAATATAGAAAAGAGGGAATATTGTTTGGCGAACTTGAAATTAGGACAGTCCAGGAGCACATCACAGGACTCGGGGAAACTGGGTTGTTCCGGGTCGTACCAACGGAAATCGGGTCGCTCGATTCAGGTCGTTCGACTCCTGTAGTATACATTCTATGTGGGTTAAATAGACCCTATATATTTGACTTCCTAACCCGGATGGCTATGATGAAAACTGGGTCAGTGCTCGCCTCATAAATGCGAAAATTCATCAAATTATTATCCAAAAAGAAACCCTCTGTATTAATTTAATTTTTTCTTATTTGCATTTTGGGTATTAATTTTTTTATTAGCCTGATAAAGATTTTGAGTAGGTTGAGCTTTTGGAATAAAGAAGCTAAAGCTATATTTCGAATCACTTTTGTTGTTATTGTTGTTTTGGCATTATTGTAAATATACATTGATGTCGTCATTTTAATCGTGACAGTTGATTGCGCAAAGGAAAAAAGATGACGTTCGCAAAAAGAGGGGAAAAGTCAAAGTGTCTTTCTAATGCGGTTAATGTCAAAGCTAATGTCTCGATGATTGTCGATTGCTATATCATTATAGCTGACTTTTAAATCTATTTTCATATTATATATCATCTTGAAATTATTTTGTTTTATCTGCTCATAAAATTATTTCGACTGTATTCAAATTCTAGAATCATTTGTTTCTTATGATCTACAAATTCTGAATGTTCAGGACATTAGAATCAGAATCAAAATCAGAATCAGGTGTTTCAGAAACAGAATCAGTTGACACGAAAAGTGTATTTTGAAATCAAACAGGTAGTCTCTGATCTATTTCGCGGTTAAGATTTCGAGGTAAATGCTATTCTTCGAAATAAATTTACCGAGAGTTGTTGTATAAAAATGTTGGCAATAAAAAATAGCGGATTGAATCCGTGAGATTTGTACTTTCGGCCACAGTAGTGGATTTACAATTTTATGGCTGGATGGCCAGCAGTAAAATTGTATCAATCTTTTGTCATTAGAATCTTCTTTTTTTTCATCATAATCATCAAGATTGTAACCGAAAGTAATGGTTTAAAAAAAAATCTCGGTCAGTCATTGGCAAAAGATCGTTTACTATTTTATTGAATCGGAACTTTTTTTTGTGAGAGTATATTAAAACATTTATTGTTGATTGCAAATCCAGTGATTTTTGTTCCCTCTTTTTTTTTTGTGGTAGCAGTGCTTTTCTTCTAAATCGTAAAATCGAAAAAGAAAGAAGAGGTGTTGCTACTGTTGCCAACTGGGAAATCGATTTTCAACGCGAGTGTTGTGCCTCTTCCGCGTCATCTTTTTGGGCAAAATGGCAACCGGGATATATAGGTCACGAAGCGTGTCAGCTCGTATTCCGGGACGAGATCCCCGGGGTAACTGGGTCATCGCGCGTGTTCTACTCGCAGGAAAACTGGGTTACTATTTTCACTATGTCCTTTTTTTTTTGGGAAACTCATTGTTCCTTGAATATTTAGAATTTTCGAATGTGATCCTTATAAATCAGATCGTGGGGATAAATAAAAATTAAAAATGAAATTTTGATTCAGATTTAGAAAAATTTTCTTTGTTATAACGAATCGTGAAAAAGGACATGTAGGTGAAGAATCGTGTAGGTTTTGACGATGCGGTAGGTAGCCATAGCCTTAGCCATGGAATGGCTTTTAGTATAAATATAGTATATATATATATATGTAGGCAGGTTGTGTGTACCAACGTCGTTTGTCCTCGTGCTCTTTAATCACGGGGATACAATGCGATTGGACAACTTGGAAGGGTTTAAGTTAACTGCTTACACGCACCATGTTCCCCTGCCAAACGGAGAAATAAACTGCAAACTCTAGAGAAAGAGAGAGAAAGATTCTAGTTTAGTATTTACCTATACTCTTTTGCTTCTTCCTTTGCCCATTGTGTCCACTCTTGGTATTTGACCTCCTACTTTCCTGCAACTGCAACTCGGCAACACTTGGTTGCAGAGTTTTTAAAAAATTCACAATATTCTTTTTTCTTCTTTTTTATAACAATTTTCCTTTTCTTGTTTTGCCCTATTCTTGTGCCGCATTTTTATTTGTCCGAAATTACAAATGTCCGAACAATCAATTTTGGAGCTATTTTTAAAATTCACCAAAATTGGGTGCCTAAAAATTTTATTAATTTAAAATTATTTACAGAATTTCAATTTATCTCATTCCTTGATGGATTTTCCAGTGTATAAACCTTTTTTTCTAATTTTTTTTTTTTTTGAGTAACTGTTTCCCAGACAAGAAATATAGAACCTTATTGTTCTTTCGCACTTGATATTTTTCGTCTACTTTTATCGCTGTTTCCTCTTTCTCAAGATTATAGTCTCTCTCGCATTTCGAAGTTTTCTATTGTCTTGCTTTTAAATATATTGTTTCCTCATTCTTATTTCTTTGCTAAATAAATTAGTCAAACATTTGGCAAAATTTCGGTACCACCCCATAAAAATAATTAATAATTTTTATTTTAAAGTATTTTATTAGAAATAATTTTTTTAGGCTAATTTTCGAATTTTAATTTAATCGAATTTTTAAATGACAGAGAAATTCCAATTCACCGAATTTTAATTTATCTGAATTTTTAATTAATAGAATTTTAATTTGTCCAAACAAACAATCGAAAAAAATATTTCGACGCAATTTTAAAAAATTGAAATTTAAAAAAAAAATTTCTAAATAAAAATTTATTTTTTATTATGAAAATTGCATTTCGCAAAGTATCCTTGGAAGATGCAAAGATTTGTTTTGAAATTGGGTCCAGGATGCAGAAAGTTTGCCGGATATGGTACTTTCGAAACATCGCATCATGCCGGTTTCACTTTCGACTATATACTGCTCATGATGTACCGTTCTACCTGCGGAACGGTTAAAAGCGATGGCCTTGAGATTCTTCGTTTTGCGATTCAATGTCCTCAAAGTTTGATAATTTTTTTTTTTCCATTTCTTTCTGTTTTCTCAACTTTTCATTTTTTCTAATTATAAAATTTGTGATTTCAATTCCTGTTTGGAAAATTTTTCCAGTTTTCAAGTATATTTTTTAAATATATTTATTTATAAAAAAAAAGGAGAAGCAGGTTAATCCTGAAAATCGACCGCTTTGAAGAGAGTGAGGGTAGGAAATTATGGTGGTGGTGTGCCTTTACGTTTTCTCGGAAAGTCCATAGTAATTTGCCAACCACACCGACTATGACTATGGTTATATATTGCAAGCTACTTCGAATCTCGCGTGCAGGTCGATTTCTGTGTGGAAAAATTACAGGGATGGATTTCTCAACTCTGCAACAATGTTGCATAATGTTCAATTTTTTTTTTCGATTTTTTCGAGCTTTGATTTTTAAAAAAAAATTTTCTTCTTTAAATTAGATTTTGATTGAAAACTGAAATTAATTTTTTGCGGTTTTTTCTATATTATATTTAGAGTCGAAAATAATATTTGGCTTCCTCTTTGAACTTATACCTAATCTGCGGCGAAAACCACCACAGGATGAACTTTGTAATATTATGATGAACTATTAGATTCTGAAATCCGGCAATTTGCATAACAAACTCCAATTTTAATTTCCTACAAACCGCCGGAAAAAAATAATTTCTTATTTCAAAAATTTAATTTTTTAATTTATTGAGGAAAAAAAATGTAAATTTCTCTCCCTTTTTTAGTGGAGAAAAAAAATGTTTTTTTTTATTTTGATAGAGATAATAAATTTTTGCAGATGTTTGTAAACAGTTTTGCGATTTCATTTTGATATAACGGAACTCTTGTGTGTATATATATGTTTACTGGATGCACTTTGCGAAAAGTGCTTGTGCGAAAGTGCGTAGGGGAGTTTATCTAGCGGTTCGGTCTAATCGCCTAACGGGAAATGTGACACGAATAACTTTAGGGAGAATGTAGGTCGTCATAGAAGTATCGTGCCACAACGTAAGGTCGTAAAATAAACACGAACCTGCCCTTTAACTTATTTACAATCGCTGCTACTTTTCTATATATAACAAAAGAGGAAGAGGAGGAGGAGGACTTCACAAGTTCATTATTCAGATTAATATTAACTTACACGGGGTTAATGCTCTCGTTGTTGAGAAAAATATTTTTCTTTTATTTTTTTTAATAAATAAATTTTTATTAAAACTAATTTTTTTTATATAATATGGTGATGGTATTTTTTTTTGATTTTGCATAATTTGTTTTTATTTTGAAAAAACTTATTTTATTTTATTTTATTGCAGGAATCGAAAACGCAGAACAAGTTCCGGCAATGAATCAAATGATTGTGTACCACATCATGTTTGCAAAGACGCTGGAAATTGTCGCATCGATGCCAATGGAATTTGCATGAACGATACTGACGCAGCCAAATTGCTCATTTCATTTTCCTTGGGTTCTGCATCGCCCTGTACACATGGCCAAAAACAATTGCCAATTGCTGATCCAAATTACGGTATTTATTAAAAATTATTTTAATTAAAATATCCATTTTTAAATTACAATTTTTGTTCGATTCAGTGAGAAAATTAAATTGTCAATTAAAAAATTATTGGATGGAGGAAAAAATTTTTATTAAATTGCAGTGAAGTAAGATGTAATTGTAAATTAAAACAATTAACAATTGAGACAAAATTAGAAATTGGAACAAAAAAAAAAGATAGATTAGATGTATCGCCTTGAGCAACTTGGAATTTAAAAATCAGATCTATTGTCATGAAATTTATTCCCTCGTTATTATGATAAAGATAAATCTCTCTCATTTCTGCATTTCAAATATATAATACTTGACTATTATAAAATGATGCAGTGATAAAATTACGTAACTATTTTATAAACATTGCCTGCATCAATTATTATATAGAAAGACAGAAAGAGAGAGGGAAAAAAGTGTCGATAATTCAAAATAAGCTCTTTTGTTGCTGACTTTTCTGATTCTTGTTTATCGTTCTCATATTAATTGAAATTTATTCCAATTTCCATAAACATATTTTTATGTGTGAGTGTAATCTAAAACGTGACGTTGATAATTTTTCCTTCTTGTTCTGCTTCATTTGCGAATCGTTCTTGTTCACCATGAACGAGATTTTTTTCCTTCTCTCTCTCATTTTATTCTAAGGAGCCTTGTACAATAGATTTTAATATCAATTTGTCCCGCAAACTCGTTCACGGTAAACAAGAACAACAAGAAATCGAAAATCACTCAAGGTTTTGAATTTTTCTTTTTGCTAAATCGGAAATAATTTTTATTACAGTAATCATATATAATTGATTATTAATTAGTAATTAAATTGATAATGATTAGGAATTATTTAATAATGAATATTTATTATTTCCATTTTTTTATAATACTCTTTCATTTATGTGATTAAGCTTTTTGTTGAAGGCAGTAAAATTATCGTTCCTCAAACTTTTCGTTCTCAATTTTCCGGAGAAAATTCTCTACGCAGATATTGAAATTTAAAAAAAGGAGAGTGCAAGTTTCTTTGTCTCTCTTATAAATCCGCGCGTTTGGTCCAAAGTTCGCTATGGCCTCGAGTTCTGTGGCTGCAAAAGTCTGAATCACGCTCCAAACACAAATGGTGACGATTTCTCATTCAATTTTGCACCCTCTTTCTCTGATTTTCCATTTAAGAAAAAAAATTCAAATTTTCCTCCGAATTGAATATCAAGAGATTCAATTTGGAAGAAAATTATTTTTTTATTTAGTTTTTCTAAATAATAATAAACAGTTTGAAAATTGAAAGAGGAAAATCGAAAGTCAATTCAAGGAAAGGAAATTTTCTTTGTGAATATTATTTTGAAATTTCCTTTAAACGTAATTTTCTGAACTGACAAGATAGGAATGAGCAATAAATCAAGCGTTGATAACACAAATAAAAACACCAGAAGGATTTTTTTTTTTCAATGATTGGGCTCCACGAAATTGAACCGCTTTCACGTCTTCGGGGCAAAGTGGTACTGCTGCATCAAAACAATATTACCAGAGCACGATGATCGAGATTTGTTTATGCGGTCAGCATACTCAAATAAATTGTGCAACACTCCTCTCTCGAAATTTCTTGAGGAAATAATAATAATGAACAATAAAATTATCATGTCGTTGGAGAGACACAAACCATAAAATTATTATTATTATTCCTCAATTGCATTTTTATATAAATTTATTTTAAATAACTAAACAAAATTATTTTCGTTTTGTCTTTTATTTAGAAAATAATAAACTTTTGGATTTTTTAGGTTCTTGGCGTGGACGTGAGGATGGAGTTGTTGTTTCACCAGGAGTTGGAGGAACATCAAATAGCAGTAGCAGCAGCAGTGGTGCTTCCTGGAGAAGTGGAACACCAAGTCCACCATTGAGCGATGAGGGTACTTCCGCTAATAATGCCACAACATGGTCAAATCAAGTTCATGCCTCACACAGTCCTAAACCAGGATCAACACCCGATGATGGACTTCTCACTGATTTTTTCATGTTAAATGATCTTCATCCACGCAAGAAGAAGGTGAGTTATAAATTTCGAATTTTAAAAAATATTTACATAAAATGCTTTATTGAATTTATAATTAATTTCATATTATAAAAATAAAAAAAATTATAATTTTTAGAAAAAACATTTCTGAATTAATAGAATTTTTAAGTAAATTTTTACTAAATCGAAATTAAAAATGAAAAAAAAAGAATTATCACAGTGAATTTAATTTATTAACGTGTGTGGCATATTTAGAGATTCTTAAAATTTATTTCCGCAATATATAGAAAGAAGCTGCCGTTGCTTAGCACTTAATTAACATTAAACGCGAATGATAAAAAGCAACGAGAGTTATGCAATTACACTGACACGCTAAGTCTGCAGCAACCTTGAAAATGAGCACGTGTTAACTTTGGTATTTTGTAATCCCATTTAGAGTCACTTTCCACATATACAAACACAACAAGGGTGCAGTACACATACGCCCAATTATTCATATATATTAAAAAAAAAAAATTGTCCGATTAAATTCTCTTTGAATACAAATTCAACTTTTTTTTCCCCTTCAATATTAAAATATTGTATTATTCAAAACTCAATTTTCTCAATATTTAATTTTTATTTTTTTGTAATAATATTTTAAAATTTATTTATTTGCCTACAAATTATATATAAAAAAAGTTCGCAACATTTTAATTTTTGTTTCAACTTTAAAATTACTTGTTTGTCAATTTTTCTTCTCAATTTTCGTCTTCTTGAATATTTTTATTATTTTGATTAATGGTTTTCCATACTCTCGTGGTTGTAGAATTTTTCAAAAGTTTCTGACCCGCTATCAAGATTGTCAGATAAAAACAGTAATTGCAGCAGCAGCAGCAACAACGTAGCTAGCTATACTAGGGGGTAAAAAAGTTGAACAAGTTTTTAAACTTGAAGAGTGTGTTTCTCATAGTTGAAACTAGACCCGGTTTTACGGCTGTTTGGGAAAAAAGAAAGAAAAAAAAAAGAAGGAAAAAAAAATTCATATGGCAGCACAGGTGCCAGTGGGCGTTACACTTACACGCACGGAGAAACGGTAAATCAAGCCTCAACCGATCCTTATCGATGACTTAGAGACTGGTTTTCTCTTTTCTCCGCGTTGCTGTGTTGCTGCCAATCCTTTTCAGTTTTAAAAAGAGTGACAGCGCTTTCGATCGTTTCGTAACGGTTGTCAATTCGAAACAAAAGTGGAATTCACAAATATTCATTCTTGACTTTCCGTCGACATAAATACCAAAATGAAACAATTTCGTTAATTGCTTACTGTACGATGTTTTTTTTTTATATCTGGTCTTTAAATCTTTTTTAATTTGTTTCTCTTTCGATGCTTTTCGAGAAAGAAAAAAAAAACCGGAATTCACCTGAAGAAATATATAAATTTATTTTAACGTCCCTGACCGGACAGCTTTTCCAAAGTCCTCTTGCTAAGTCAAGAGCCAAGTGCCCCGTCCTCGGAAAGTATATAATACACGCGCTGTATGACGTAATATATTAGTGACACTAGCCAAGAATTTTTCATGTGGAAAGCGTCGAAGGTGCAATTTTATATATTTCGAAATATCACTTATTTTTATTACCGGCGCATTAAAAAAAAATAAATTTCTCTAAAAAATTTTAATTGTTTTTTTTCTATAATGAAAAGATTTAAAGTAGAAAAAAAATTTAGTTTTTTATAATTTAATTACGCTCGACGGTGTTTAATAAATATTGAGAGGTTTTGGGTAGGGGTGAAAGAACCTGGCTCATTACACTTTCGCCGTATATTACGATGGAGTTTTATGACTTGGTGACACGAGAGAGGTTTAATAATACTAATATTCCTCGTTCTTCTTTTTAAAAAAAAAAAAAAACATTCTACCAGGAAGTCATTGTTTCGATTTGGATCACTAACAACTTCTCTTTTTAATGACCAAACCTTTTGTACAATCCCTCCATAATTATGACCACTTTTATTTATTTTATAATAAAAAAAAAGCGGAAAAAAATGTCCTGAAATTAAATAATTGCTCATAATTATATAAGATGCTTTCTAAGATCGTAATTTCAATTTATATTAAAAATTTTAATATTTTTTCAAGAAAAAAATTATAAAAATAAGTGAAATCGATAAAGCATTTTATAAAATTTTTTTTTTAGATTATTGGAGAGTTTTTAATAAAAAAAAAAAGAAAGGTAAATTAGTAATTACATTTGTAGCGATTAACTTTTTCAGCTGTAATTATATGGTTTTAATGTAATTTTTTTCACATATGATAAAAAGATTCTTTTTAAAATATTTTATTTTTTTTAAATCGTTAAATAGTTTGTCGTGAACAGTATTTTACAACTTATTATAGTAATTATCCTCTAACAATTATTGCAACAGTTGGAGTAATTGCATTTTAAGTTGCTCTTTATCAAGTTGCCTTGTAAAATTGCTGCATCAATTAACCTTAATGTACAGCTGAGAAAGACTTAATTATATCGGCGAAATTCTGTTAAAGTTCATGGCTATTTTTCTAAAATACCATAATCTTTATCTTTAAATACTAATAATATTATTGATATTTCCTTAGTATTTTTTTTTCTTATTACTTTGTCAAAAAATAGAAATTTTCAAATTTAGAAAATTGTTTAAATTAGAAAATTTTTAATTGTGAAGCATTTTCTAAATTTAGAAAATTTTGTAAATGTATATATATTTAATAATAATAGCCGCAAGCAATAATGGAATTTATGTCAAAAAAAAAACAATTTTTTAAATCCTTTTTCACAGCGAACACAGGAACATAATGACCAGATTCATCCAGCCATGGCTTGGCATTTACAGGTCCGGTCGAAATCAAATCTGGTTGAGCAGAATCCAAATTCAGAAATCAACGTGAGCGATGAGGTAAGTTTTTTTTTCTACACTTTTTGAAATAGAAAAATCGTCAGTAGTTTTTTTTTCTCGAACTATGCATTTAACAAAACTAAAAAGTTGATGTTTTATCCAGTTGACAATATATATAGCTAAATGTCCATGAAAAAAAGTTTTGTTTCGTAGGTTATAAGTTACAACGTTCAAGGTTCTGTTGACCATGTGAATAGTGTATCTTGTTTCGCTATATAGAAACTAACTTTGACATTTTAAGTTATAGCTTCCGTTTTTTTTTTTTTTTTTCATTGTCAAATTCCCGTCGAAATTTGATCTAATGAAAAATTTTGAATTTTCAGATAGGTTTTCGAGAGAAAAAAAAAAGGAAATTCTGAATTGAATTTCTTCAACTTTTGGTTTTTTATTTTAATATATCGTGAGAGAGGATTTGGTTTTTTTTTTATAATATGGAGTTCGAAAGGCGTGACATTCTGATAGTTGTGTCCAGTGGTTTTGTGGGTGCATTCGGAGGACACTTGAAAGAGAGAGAGAGAGAAAAAAAGGAGTGCGAACGATCCAGGAAGTGCTGGCAAAGTCGCCTCGTGGAACGGCCACAACTATCCCACTTCCTTTTTACTCTTTCTCACTCACTTCCATATGCGCAATTGCATCAAATTCCCTCTTTACCCCCCTCCAGGTTCTATATATGTTTAAAAGTGTGACACCATCACGCAGGCGTCGATTTATAAACTCACACTTGGTCGCACGTGTACCGTATACTCTCTGTAATACGGGATTTAAAATGATGGCAAGAGTTAAGGTCGAAAGAGATGGAAAAACCTTCTATGGGAATAGAAAGAAAGAAAATGATTTTTATGTAAAAATAAAAATAATTTTCTTTTTTTGAACCCAAAATTGTGGATCAGAGAGGAGTAGAAGAAGGAGGAGGAGGCTGTCTCTCTCTCTTGGGATCACGGAAATAAACTCTTGCCCGTGCCTAAATTATATATTTAGCCCTTGTGCTCCACTTACACGAATTCAAACCGGTGCAGAGAGATTCTCTTCTTCTTTTCTCCGTGGGAGATAAAGATAGATAATCTTTATCGCTCAGAATGCAATCCAAAATACGATGTTGGAATCTATTACTCTCGCGAGGGACGATTCAATTTGTGAGAGGGGAAGAGAGAGAGAGAGAGAGAGAGAGAGAGAGAAAGAGGATATTTAGACGTGAGGTGCGGTCATTCAAGTTTCTGAAAAGAAAAATTCAGATTTACCTCCTGCAAATCGATTCTTCATATTTTCCTACATTTTTTGTAGAATTAGAAATTTTCTCTTCGTTTCTTTAAAATGAAAATTCAATACACGAATTGAGAATATTTAGATGGAAATTTTTTATAATCAATAATTTGGCTAAATGAAAATTTGGAATAGGAATTTGTTTTCTATATTAAAGTTGTAAATATTTGAAAATTCGGTTAAATAGAAAATTGGCTAAAATTCGGTATACATTTTGTTACAAAGGTAGTTAATTTTCTTTCATTGAGATCAAATTCTTCTAAATCAGAAATGAATTTTCATTTTTGTTTTTTTTTTTTGTTTTTCATCCTTTCGTAACAATGATTATTGCCGTAATGTTTCTCGACATAGAGACGGATATACAATCTGTAGAAATAAAATTTTGTGTATATGTGTGTTGAATAGTGTTTTGCCAATACCTAGATCATGAAGAAGAAGGTAGGGGGTAAAAGGAGAGGAAACATTGCGGTTGTAATGCGCGTGTGCAACGCGACGTAAAAGTGGCGATGCAGTTTCCTAGGAACGTGACGTCACTTGTGGCACGTGTCACTCCCCTTGCTCCACTGTCTTCCCCGGTTTTCCACAAGGAGAATTGAAATTGTTGGAGCCGATGCGGCTGCATTTGACGATTATAGCGGGTGCAAACAAGAAACGTCGATTTGGTTTGGTTCTTTTTTTTTTTATTTTACATGCGGGCGCAGTGGCAAAAGGCGCAAACGGGGTTGAATAAGTGGGAGGTGGTTGAGAAGGAGGAGGAAGCTAAGGTCACAGCGGCCCTGACTGCACGCGCGCGCGAAATACTATCTATGTGCAATCGCCCCACGCGGAAGATTCATTTTCTAGTTCCGCCTATATATGATGCAGCGAATATATATATTTTAAGTCGTATATTAAGGAAAAGGTTTTTCGCGTGTTTCTCTCGAGGTTAGACATACAGACGATGATGATGATGATGATGATGATGATGATATACGCCAACATCATTTATTGCTATTGAAATAAAAAAAATTTTCAGTAATTTTCGATTTTTATTTCATGAGCGTGACAATTTGTACTTGACCGAATTTTTCATTTAGCCGAATTTTCTTGTAAATTTTTATCTGAATTTTCAACTGAATTTTTTATTTAGCTGATTTTAAAAATAAATTCGTTAAAAAAGGGAAATATGAAAAATCTGAATTCTTGATTCAAATTTAAATGAGGTCAACCTTCGCCTGGGTGTGGCTCATCATGATTTTTGTCTCATTTTTACTAAACTACTGATCCAGCGATAAAAATCTTTATTTTATTTTTTAATTACATTTTTTTTTTGTTATTTTATTTCTTTTTTTATCTTTTTTTAAAACCGGCTTTTGTTGGAGAGTATAGATGCTGCCTTAAAGCTGATAGAATGAACCTTTTTTTCAATAATTATTTTAACCGAGAAAAATTCAACAAAAATTCTTTTTTGAAATTCAATTCTAATTTTCTCTTTCTTTTAACAATTCTGTTCAATTGTAATTTTACTTTTTTTTATTATTTTTTTTATTATCAAATAATTTTTATTAAAAAAAAAATTTTTTTCTTTCTAGTTCAATGACAGTGTAACATTTTTTTTTCTTTTTTTTGCTTCGCTTATACGATCGGTAGATTAGTGTAGAAGTGAAAATAGAACAAATTTGACATTTAGATTAGGCGTCCCTGGGTACGCTAAAATTGTCGCGTTTCTATTTCATCTCTCTCTCTTTCTCTCCCACGGAGCTAAAGAAAAATATCAAGTCCCGTTTTAGAAGCACGAGAGATAGTATTTAAAGATTTTACGACATTTGCGCCGAAAAGTGCATCTCATTTATAGAGCAACCCGCTTTAAAATGTAATAATCGATGATCAACATGATGTTAATGAGAAAAAAAAATTTCAAGGTTTCTTGTGATATATTGTCAAGAATTTTTTTTTTCCAATTCTTCCAAATGGAGGGGGAAGATTGGGCTCCTACAAGAACGTAATTTATATAGCACGTCGTTGCCTTACGTCTATATTATGACACGTCCCTGACTCTTACGTAATTTCAATGTTGCGTAATCTTTGTCAGTGTGTAAAAGCAGAATACGTTTTCTTTACCCGGCAACAGCCGGTCTTTTTGTAAATCAACATTAGCTGGCACTGAACTTCTATTTCTTTTCTTTTTAATTTTTTTTTTTCAATAAAATTCGAAATTGATTCAAATATAAAAATCGTCGAATATTCCCTTTTATTTTTCCAAGCGCTTCTTTTTCAAAAAAAAGGAGATGAAAATCAAAAAATTTTTGATTTTCTCCATAAAATTCGAAATTGTTAATTTATAATTTCTCTTCATCTCAAAATCTCTTTGGATTAAATTCTTATCTTTTTCAATTGGAAAAAATTGAATCGAATTTTTTGTGTTAAAAGTCCTTGGTCGAATAAATAAAAAAAAAGTTGGATGAATTTCAAAGAGCTCTCACGGAACTAATTCTTTTCATATTACAAAAGAGAGAAGTACGGCTAAAATGACGAGAGAGGAAGGAAAAATTGTTGTGTGAATTTCTGAGGATAGGTCGGGGAGTAAAGTGAGCGCGTGTAGAAATATTTCGGCAGAATCGTAACGGGCCTAACTCGGCAACTGTTAGGTCGGGTTATGCAAAGATATATATGAGCTCATTCATTGGCCTTGGCCGCACGTGAGTGAGAGAGAGAGCCATAAAAAAACGCTAACTAAATAAATCGTTAAATTTATTTTTTTTAATTTTTCCACAAATAATTTATTTCAAATTTTATTAAAGAGAAATTCGATCAGAATAAACGAATATTTTTGTAAAACAAAGAAAATAGATTTTGAGGATAAAAAACAATTGTTTTTCTAAAAAATATTAATTTTTAATGAAATATTAATTTTTTCTTTGAAATTCGACATTTTTCATAAAAAGGAATTTTCTCGATTGATTTTGCGAAAAAATAAATGAGACCAGTTGATAAGATAAAACCGCGTGTATTGTAACGTGACATGAATTCGCGACCATGACATCCAAGTTCCGACACTAGGAAATACTTCTTGGCATAAGCCTCCCTCGAGTTTATGCTTCTCCCCCTTTTTTGTATAACCTTTGTCTCATATCCACTTTTTCTCCTATCGCGCAGCATCTCTCCCTCTCTTTAAAATTTTTCTATATTCATCTTTGTCTCTCTCGTTAACAATTATTATTATTATTATTATTATTATTATTATTATTATTGTCACATGGATTATAGTTTCAAGATTATGTAATTACAACTTTCGTATATACTATTGTCTATACCACGTGTGTGGAATGTTTCATCTCCATGATGACGTTTTTTCTACATTTTATTGTCTTATGGCCTTGATACTCAAGTTCAACACGTGGCGAATCAAAAATTCTGATTATAAAGATTGCCAATTTTTATTATTATTTTTCTCAAAAGTAAATTGAAATAAAAATTATTTCTCCCAATTTTTTTTTTTTTTTTTTTTCACTTAACTGATTGGATTTGTGAAAAGATCGATTCTTGTTTTTCTGCTGAAAAAAAAGAAAAAACGAAACAAGTTTCGATTCGCAAACAATTTTATTCACCATGAAGCATTTCAAAAGGAAGAAAAAAGAAAGGAAGTTCTGTCTTTAATTGCGTTATCTTCTTTTAAATGTTAAAAAGAAAAAATATTGACGATTGGATTTGTTTACGCGCGCTGACAATTCTCGCGATAAATATTATTTCAATATTTATTATCAAAAGAAAATTAATAATTGTTCGTTTTTTTTAATTTTTGAAAATTATGTACAGAATTTTTTTTTTACAGAAAAAATGATTTTTAAAAAAATATATTTTTTTTTTATTAAATTGAATTTAAAAAATATTTTATTGAAAAAAAAATTTGGATTAAAATACACAATTATTAAAAATTCTTTAATTTTCCATATACTTATTTTTCACATTCACGTATATAAGTGATTCATGCATCAATTTTTTTATGATTCGCGAACGTGCAAATTTACGAATTGCGTAATTGCTTTCCATGCAATTTGCACCCGTATATATATATATTTCTTTGGAATCCAATTCAGTGTAGTCTTTTATTTACAAATTTTATTTTTATTTACAATACAACATTCAATTACAAAAGTATAAAAGATGAAATATTTACTTGCAAAAATTTACTAACTTTTTTTATATACGTTGAATAAATTTGTTCCAATTTAAAGAAAAAAAAATTTTTTTTTTGCAGAAAGACATGTCTTTATTAATCAATTTATAATTTCCATTTTTCTACATTTATACAAATGGACTATGGTCTGATTGAATTTATAATGTTTTTTTGTTTTTATTTGCATAATAAAATAGTGTGCCTCAAGCTAGTTAACCAAGTATGAGTGCCACGTGTCGTTTTTAACTAATAAAGTGAGGTCAGGGCCGTCTCTTTTAATCTTGTCAGTTTGTCCTGGGGAGAGGTGTACGTGTGTATATAATACGCTCAGAGCTTTTATAATCGAATCAAAAAGACATTTTTAAAGCACAATATTCGAAAAACAGATTTCTAAGCATATTTTTTTCCCTATTAAAATTCGAACGGAAATTTTTTTTTTTAGAATCGAATTTTGTAGAGATAATTTCCATGGAAATGAAATTTTCGTGATTACAGAATTTTTTCTGTGGCTTCTATTTAATTAACAATATTTTATTATTTTTTTTTTTTTATTAAAAAAGTAAATTTTTTCTGTGTCAAGAAAAAAGGACATAATTCTCTTTCTCTCGGGTCTTTTGCCCAGGCCTTGAAGAGACATGAGAAGACTTTTTGAAACATCCAGGCTCATCTCTCTCTCTCTCTCTCTCTCTCTCTCTCTCTCTCTCTCTCTCTCTCTCTCTCTCTCTCTCTCTCTCTCTCTCTCTCTCTCTCTCTCTCTCTTTCTCTCTCTTTCCTCGTCGACCTTGCATCGTTTGAGTTCACCGACAATCATTAGGAACGATTTAAAACTAGCCTCGCAAAGACCTCTCTTGTGATCAATTATTATTTACTCTCTCGTTGAAATTACTTTTTTAGAAACAAAGAGATAGAAAGTTCAATCAGGAAAATTACAATAAAATTGTCACATATATAATTTTCTTGAAACTAATCTCGATTTTTCCCATCTCGAATAAATTCCATTTTCTATAATATGTTTATTTCAATTTTCTTTTCTGTTGGAAATTAAATATTAATTGTTCAATAATTTGTTTTAGAGAAAGTCTCGAGGAGGATGTATTTTATCAACATGAAGCTATTTTCTGTTTCGAGAAGTAAAAAAAGTGGGTCATTGTCCTAGGTTGTGTTTTCGTTTAAAAAAAAAAGGAAATAATTTCTTTCTCCTAATTCGAAAGCAGATGGGGAAAAAAATATATTTAGCATCTGACGAACGGAAGCGATAAAGTCCTTTAAGGATCTTCTTCATTCGATATATATATATATATATGAAGAGAGAAAGAGAAAATGTGGTCGATCCTACCCGCTTTCAGAGCCAGAGTTGCGAACTTTATACGCCTCACTTTACGAGTGCGTTAACCCTTGGATTTCCAAGGGCGAAGGACAGACTCTGCGAGAAGTTCCATCGATCCTTCGACAATAATTTCTACTACCTTGACCTTGTAGAAGGTTTCTTATCATCCCTCCATTTTTTTTATCTCACACACGTAAAATCACAATTTTCTTTTTTGCAATAAATTTTTTATTTTGCAAAAAAAAGTTTCTGAAAATATGGAAAAAAATTTTCTCTCTGCATTTTCTTGTAAGGAAAGATAAAAAGGGATCTGAAAAAAAAAATAAAAAGATTAAAGTAGATTGACATTCTTACTCTTTTTTAAAAGAGTCGGGAGGGGGAGGTTCAACCCCTTATATTTCGAGTCACGACAAGGTCGAGGTCATCCAAAGCTTCTTTCTCTCTCGCTTTTCTACCCAGTGCCCTTGGCACGTGCTTCGATCCACCGTAAATTTTAACCAGTTTTTCGCAGTATTTTCAAGAAAAATGATTTTTTTTTTCGAAAAATTGTACCTCTTATTTTCTTTCATTTTTCTTTTATTTCTGCCTTTTTAATATTATTTTGTATTTGTTTCTCAATTTAAAAATGGATTTGTATATTATTTTTTTCAAAATCCAGAGAAATTTAGAAATTTTCCCTGAATTTTTCCTACAATAAAAATTTTAAATAACGATGATTGATTGATGATTAGGAAATTTTTCAAAAAACAAAACAAGATAGGAAAAAGAATTTTTTTTTTATGACATTGATGAAGTGGTCCACGAATTGTCCTAAAAATAGAAGAAAAAAAATTTGTAATCGCCCTTGTATAGTTGATCCTTGAATGCTTTTTAATTTGTTTTCTTTCGTCATTTGATTATTGTTTTTCTACTTTTGCGCAACTTCTATTAAGTTTTGACTTTCTCTCTGAATTGTATTGTCAAAGATTTCTTGCGTACCAAAAAAAATCTTTTGGCAGTGAAGCTAAATATTCAAACTTTTTTCTCTCTCTCTCTTGCTTTTCGTTAAGTGCGCAACACCTTGACAAGGTCGAAGGCCGAAAAAGGTTCGATGATGTTGTCTTCGAAGAAGAAAAAAAATTTTCTGATTGCGTAGTTTCTCTTTTTTTTTTATCACCATTTATGTTGATTCCATTTTTGTTTTTGTCGATTATAAAATTTCTTCATCATTCCTCAATTATTTAACATAAATGTCACGTTTTTAAATTGTATTATTTTTTTCAGTTTGCTTTAAAGTAATTTATTTTCTTTAAAAAAAATTCCTTTCATTTTTTTTTCAGTATTTTCGTTTCTCTCGAAATTTTCGAGAAGCACAATTTTGTGTGTCGAGACGTAAAATTTTAACCCAGATCTGTAACCTAGTCGTTCTACATAAAGTATTTTACGATGTAACACCTGTTGCGTATTTTATATACATATATATGTGTGTATATTCCGAGCCAAGATTCACATAATAGAATTATATTCCAAGTGAGGAATAATAATTATTATTATTATCTGACAATGAGTCAATATTGATGGCCTTCTTCTTTTTTAGTCTTTAAAATTATAAAGAACAAAACAATTAAATTCACATGGTAAATTATAAAAAAAAAAATTATCATAAAATCACTAATTAGATTCATTTATTCCAAAAATTACAATCGCATATTAAGAATCTTGTTCTCTTGTTTGTTTGTGAAAAAAAATTTTGCAAATAATTTATTTCGATTGAAAAAATCGAAATTCCAGTAGAAGTTGTATTTTAGAAAATTATCTAAATTAAAATTTAATTTAATTTAGATTAAAATTTTTTGAAAATTGAAAATTAAAATCTTGATTTTTAAAAATGATTTTATTTGATAGAGGCGTACCTGATGAAGGTATAATGGGGAATAATAGTTGAGAAAACATTGTCGGTGCAAACAATAATATTTAACCTACTCGGATCGTTGATAATATAATCAAGCTTCTTTTTTTTCTAGGTAGGGGATACTCTTTCATTTGTTATTGTTTGTGTGTGATATGTGTATGTAAAAAAAAAATACACAGACCAGCTGATTCGCACTCCGCAGCAGCTGTCGAGTGTGTCGGGTAATTTGCGCACCACATTGAAAGAGAGAAAAAGAGGGAGAGATAAGTCGCGAGTGAGAAAGATCTCCGTTGGGAGGAAAAGAAAGCGAGGGAGGAAGGAAGAGAGAAAAAGAGTGAGAGAGAAAGGTATAGGCCTGCCCTAGGGTAACGTTATCCTTCAAGCCAAGTCTTACCCCTTCTTCAAAGCCACTTGCCCGGGCTTTATAACCAGGGCCGTGCTCTCTTCTTCAATCTTCTCGTTTGCCAAACGAAATATAAACCAAAAAATTTATCTCACTTTTCAAAATCGATGGGCAAAGAATATCAAATTAAAAAATTAATAATTACTAATAAAAAATCCTGTTGATCAAAACTCCGTTTCGAGCGGAAATTTAGAATTTATTCCTTTTTTTGTCAGGAGTTTTTTTTCGTCCAGGCTAATGACTTGTTGGTCCTTAAACCGAACTCAAAGGTGACCGACCCCGACTATTTTTTCTTTTTTTTTTTTACTGACGCATCAGTTCTCGTCGTAGATGAATCACGACTCGTATTTCCAAACAGGAGACAAATTCTGCTTTCAAATCTTTATTAAAAGAAAAATTATCCATTTGATTAATTCCTCTTTATTTCGAAAATTAATCAATTTTATTAAATTGAAATTCTTTGGCAAAAATTATTAATTTCATAAAAAAAACACGAAAAAGAAAGGGAGTAAATGACGCCATGTCAGTTGTCAAGTCAATTATCCAGCCTTGGACGGAAGTAGAGGGAGATATTGAGCGATTGGATCACGTTCGTTCGACGTCATCGTCAAGGCTGATGATCTTATCTCTCCTTTTCCCTGCACCCGGGCTTTTAATCCGGTTTCAAATCGGTTAATCAGATATATCACATTATTTGTATACTTGGTCAATTGCCTAACGTTCCTTTTTTCTAAATAAAACCTTTGATCACTGATTCAAAACAAATTTCAATTCTTAAAAAACACTACTGATCGATTTTTAGAAATTAACATTATTTTTTAGAAATTAACAATAAACTAAAATCAATTTTTTGTTGCAGGTACGTCCGTGGAATATTTTTTTGGAACAATATGGACAGACAGTGAGTTTAAATTGAATCTAATTTCTATACAGTAAGATAAAAAAATAACCTTGGAAAGTTTTAACGATGATGAAAAATTTTTTGGAAAAAAATACATAGAGGAGGAGAAAAATTCAGGCGACAATCTTTGGAAAAGAAGTTTGTCGAAAATTCATTTTTTTACCGGCAAACAATGCAGTCGACTTGGCCTTGGTGTGGAACGTTGAACTTTTATCCTCCTCGGTCGATGGATATACAGGGTCGAAAAAGAGACACACATCGCGCTTATTTTTTGGTGATAAAAAAAGAAATAACGATAACGAAACAATATTTTTTTTGTCTTTTATTTTTTATTGTGCGTTATTTATATTTTCTTGATGAAATATTTCTTTTTCATTTTTTTTTTTTGAATCGTGTCAATGAAATATGTTTTTCTTAATTTGAATCAGTGATAATATTACTTATTCAAATAAATGAAATCAGTGAGAGTAATTTACAATTTTGTAATGATTTTTCTTTGTTTTTTTTTCTTAATTTTTCTACGCCTATGCTTGACAATAATCCAGTATAGTGGAACATAAAAGGAGAGAGTGGGCGTAATTCTTTGCCAACGGTACATGCACGAACTCGCTAACACAAGTTTCTACTTGTCGCGCTTAGTCCCGTGTGTGGCAAATTGTTTCCCTTCTTTGGATATTCGTCACAAATGTAAAATAAGAGGAAGTTGAGAAATTCCATTATTGTTGGCAATTTTAGTAATTTGCCCTCTTATTCTGTTATTCCATTTTTGAAATTTTTTTCATTTGTATAAAGATTGGTTTATCTATATATTTTTTTTTTTTTTGAAAAATTCTTGTTGCGAATTTGATCATTTTTCTCTTAATTTGAAATTAAAAGAAGTTGCGAATTGAATCTAAAGCCTCTTTGTTTATACTTTGTCCTGTTTTTAATAGTAATGAAAGCAATTTCAGTGTTTGCTGCAAACCGGACTCACGAGAGAGCTCTCGAATTCTCCGAAAGTCTTTTTCTTCTTCTTCTTCTTCTTTTAACGGCAATAATCTCTCTTTAACTTCTTCTCTAAAGTGCTGTTAGATGAACGCACATTGCGTACATATTATAAAGAAACAAAAATTGAATTTCAACGAATTCCCTTACGGTATATAAAATTCAGTTCGACACTCTCCATTGTGTTCTCAAAATAATCACATTTTTTCTCAATAATCACCTTATAAACGTGAGAAAATTGAGGCGCATGATTAACACATAAAAATTATTATTTAGAATGATTTTAAAGAATTTTATTAGATATAATTAATTTTCAAACGAATTTGCAATTTTCTAATTGCAAAACTAATTTGAAAATTGAAAATTCTTTCGAAAAATAAGTATATTTAATAAAATTATTTAAAATGAAAATTCAAACTAATGATTTTCCTAGCACTTTGAAAAATAATTTTTTTCCAAATTTTTTATTTTCTGTAATTTTTTTTTCCAATTCATTATTAGTTAATCTTTCTTTGCAGAATGAATTTTCTTAATTGAATTGGTTTCTTGGAATTGAAAAATACTTCGCGGGAGACGATGAGTGAGAAAGCTTTCGATGATCATATGTTGGAGATTTCAGAGAGATATATAGGAGTTTCTGTGACGATACTCACGTCGCTTTTTTTTTTTGACGTGACTCAATTTATAAAACAGAAAGACATCTATTTGTTGAGGAGTAAAAAAAAATTCAAGGAGCCTTGGTCAATATCTTCGTTTCTCCATTTGACGAACGACGAAACGTGTGGAGCATTCATTTGGGTACATCGCCAAGAGTGAATCCTTCTAAGGTCGATGACGACATTAACCCTGACCCACTGAGAGAAATATATATATATATATATATATATATATATACACACACAACGTTCGTCTATGTATGATGGGTTAAAATTAGCGCAACTTGTGAATTTGCCATCGAGATAGAGAGAGAGAGAGACTTCACCTGTGTGTTTATATTTCGACCACACTTTCCAGAATCTGTTTCATTTTCTCACAAAACTCCCGGAATTTTTCAATTCAAATTTTATTTAAAATTTCATAACAGTTTTTTTCCGAAAAAAAATTACGAAATTCGCTATTTAAAATTTTGTTAGTTTTTTTCCCTCACAAAAAAAATTACGAAATTCGTTTTTTAAAGGATAACAATAATTCTTGTTGAAAAAATATATATATTCATATATCAATTCCGCCAATTCGCAGTTATGGATCACTTTCTTTTCATGCTTTCTAAATCGTTAAACGATTAAACACTGCCATCAAATATCTCAAGTGTTAACTTGCATTAAAGTGCAGTTTTCACTTTCGAGCCTATTTCCGACATCCACCTTTCCAAATTAAATGACTAATCTAATCTCATATTGATCTTTTTTTCTCTCGTCTTTACAAAAAATTAGTTTCTTTTTCAAAAAGCAATTTCCTTCTTTTTTCGAAAAAAAAAAATCTATTATTTCAGTGATGAATTTAAAAAATTATTGTTTTTCGGATGAATTGAAATTTTGGAAAAAATGATAAATTAATTAAAATAAAATAATTTTTGGAGAAAAATTTGAGGGCAATATTCGCAACGAATAACGGGTTTTGCTTAGCGTTTTGTACCGGCTTTCAAAACAAGCCTTTTTTAAATGGCGACGTAAACAACATTGAAGCGCTTGCGCGCGAAGTAGTCTTCTTCCCTCGTGCAATCACCCTTCCCCCCTCTTTTATCCACCCCCCGCACACCCACTTCTTTTCGCGGTTAAGGCTGTGCATTCTTACTCGGTAGATGTACTCTTGAATCAACATATATTGTATAATTCATTCTCCGTTTTTGATTTCCAACGAAATTGATTTGTGGAAAAAATTTCTAGACGATATTTTGATTTTTTTTTTACCTCTGGAATTTTTACATTTCTTGAAAGAGAAATTAAAAGTCGAGAAGAAGGAAAGGAAAAAGGCTTTTTAAAAAAAAAAAAAATACCTTTGACTTTAGCTCGTGCAGTGCGAACATTAAAGTGCTTTTTTCCAGTATACTAGTAACTGTAGGGCTCTCTAGTGTCGGTTGCCGCGGCGACGACGACTCCGACTACTCGATCGAAAATATCGGGGTAAAATACCCGAGATATGGATTCAAATTATTAAGAAAAAGAAATTTATCTCCTAGGGAAAATAAAAACGAGAGGCTCTTTCTACATCTCTCTCTTTCTTTTTTCCCCCCCTTTTGATAGCGTTTCAAACCTGGAAAAGACCCATCCTGCTACTGTGGCGTAGTGACTCACTCGCGATCATTGCCCCCTCTTGCCTCTCTATCTCTTTTCCCTCCCCTTCTTCTCAAGCCCCCGCTGACTACACTCGTTCGGGACGATTCTCTTGTGTCGTCGACCCCTGGAAATTGCGCCGAATCCCACATTCCCTATACACAGAGTGGCGCGTCCCTATACACGATGCAACAGCGTCAAACTTCTGGCTGACAACTCGATTTTCAAGGACCCTATTTTATAGATTTCCTGGAAACAAAAAATAACGGAAATGATCCAAAAAAAAAAAATTCTAAAAGGAAAATTCTGAATTTCGAAAAAAAATTGATTTTGCCCTTCGCGAGAAGGAAAAGAAATGAAAAATTACTCCAATTTCCCTCATGATATATTAAACGGAAAATTCGCTTATCAATTCAAAGAGAAAAAAAAAATTTTTTTTTCCTCTTATCGATAGCTTTTAAAACCTGGAAGGCTTCTTATCTGACTTACAAGGTCGTTAATCCTGAGTGCATATACTCTTAACGTATGATTATCTGTAACGGAACTTCTTGTAAAGACAAAGCGAGATTGCAAAACCTCAGCGGATTTTTTTTTTAAATTTTTTTATTTTATAAACATTAAGGACTATCATTAGCGAAAAAAAAATTACATCAGTAGATATAGTTTTTATTTACTCATTGAAAATATTGCTCTCTTACTCTGAATTTCATTTTCGGTACTGAATTCGAATTAAAATTAATTCAAATTTCCATAAATTAATGAAAATTTGAATAAATAGAAATTTCATTGATTAAAAATTCTGTTAAAGTCTAGAAATTCGATTTTGTGAAAAGTTTATAATAATAACGATGCTTTTCCTTTCGACAGTTTCAATTTCACGTGCAGAGAGAATTTAGTTTCGCTATCATCATCATCATTTGGAGAGAATGTAAAGAACCGTGAGCTTGGATAAGGAATATACGATCCTTTGTCGTTCCAGGAGGGAAAAGATGATCTCGTCACAAGCGTTATGGAAACAGTTTTGCCAGATTGAAGGAAAAAAAAAGCGATGAAGAAGCAATGGAATAAGAGAAAGATTGTTTAAAGAAAATTTCCTTTTCGCACAAGCTTTCAAGTTTCGAAATTGAAAATCTCAATAATTTTTACAAGCATCAAAATAATGAAAATATGTAATTTTTTTAAATTTTCGAATATTATACACGAATTTACACGTGTATTAATATAATTAATTATTTTTATGGAATAATCATGTTGCAGATGATTTTCTCTTTTATAATTGAAAAAAAAATATTTTCTCTACTGAGGAACAAAAAAGAGGATCAGTGGAAAAAATTGATATCTTTGGCAAAATATTGTTATTATTTTAAAGAAGATAATCGATCTTACTTCAGGTTATAGTCGGACATGAATAATAAATTCTGATGGTGATATAAGAAGAGTTTGCCCTCTTGCAATTTTCAATATAAATATAAAGAGAGATAGAGAGCAATGGCCTCTCTTCAATATTTTGAAGACACAAAGAAAATGGAAAAGTCAATTCTTTGGAAGTGAATTTGGAATTTTTTTTTTTTGTCTAAAAGGGGAGAAGACCCCATGGATTTTTCTCGTATATGGTTTTGATGCGTGAGCTTAGTTGTTAGTGGTGTGTTAAAGAAGGGTCAACGTCCGACCCTCACTCTATACACACTCTCTTGCGCTAAGCACGCTTCGACGAGCGTACGCGCCAACACATGGACGACGGTTTGTTTTGGTTCCCCGGGCGTTACCCCGATCTCCCACCTTATCATCATTCAACCGGTCGGCGGATCCCTCCTTTTCTCTCTTTGAGAAGGAAGAAGAAGAAGAAGAAGAAGAGGATCAAAAAGAGGGGAAGAGCTCTCCTTTACTTCTCCTGATGCTCACATTTTGCTCTTGTCCTTTTCTCTTCTCCCTTTTACGATATATGCCCGTGAACCGAGTCACTGATGAGATCCCGAAACCTTGGTCTCGTCGCATCAGGATGAGGCAAGGAGCAAGGGACTCCTTCGAGGCCTTTTACCTTTTCGCTCCTTTGTCTCGGGAATATTTAAAATAATTTCCATTTTCTGACAAATTTTCTTTCATTTGCTAATCCTTTTTTTCGTTTTCTAGAGAATTTTCAAGATCCTTGCCCTTCAATTGTTTTTATTTGTTGAAGAGAGTCTGCAGGTCAACGCCGTGGAAGTCGAGTAAGTGTGCGTAAGGCCGTTCTGTGCACCGATACGCCCAGGCCAGTGCACCCGAGGCCTATCGTGGCCATCAACAAGGGGGGAAAAGAGAGAAACAGAGAGGGAACTCCATGGTGGAAGGAGAAGAGGGAAGAAAGAGAAAGAGGACTCAAACGAGTGAGACCGAATGAGCTTTGCCCGATCGATTTTTATCGGTCGTGTACCAACCGTTTGCAAACTGAAAGTGCATGACGTTCTACTACCAGGAATCAAATCATTATCTCTAAAACACTATCTTTTCTAATTATCTCCTTTCTTCCATTTTTTTTCTCTCTCATAGGGAAAAAAAAATAAATTTTTAATTCTTAATAATTTACGAATTGGTAGAGAAATTTAGAAAATGGAAAAAAAATTGAAGGAGCAGTAGAGAAAATAAGGATAGAGGGATATTTTGTGTTTATGGTTGGAGAACGGATACCAAGAATCGAAAGGGATGGAGTTGAACGAGCAGCAGGGTTGCCGGTTGACTGTGGTAAAAACAGCATCAAGGAAGACGATACAATGTTGCCAGAGTGGTAATCGTGAGCTAGGCAAACACAAACTGTTGGGGATGTACACGCGTGGCATGAACACTGATGATGATGATGATGATGATGATGACGGCCATCTACCCTTGATCACGAACACACGAGATCATCGTCGAACAACTCTTTTCTTATAACCACCACTTTTCAATCAATTTTTTTCCACTGAATCAATTTCTTCTTTTTTCATCCAATTTTTTTCAAAATACTTTTGCTTTCGCCTTCCAAAGATCTTTCAATTTATTTCTGAGAAAAATAGTTTAAAATACTTGCAGTTAGGATTTGAAAATCCTACTTGAAATTTGCATAGGAAAGCGATTTTGTTTTCTTTCCGCATATTTCGTAAGTGATGAACGAATCATTAAAATTCTGCATGATCGACCTGTGGACAAGTTTTCTGATGAATGGAATGATGAATGGTACACAGTATATTAACTCACGTGTGAGATTCTGTAATGTTTACACATCTTCAGTTAGGTGGGAGTCTTTTTTTTTCACAAAAAATAATTTGCATATACGGTACATTTGGCTTATTTTCCAAAATTGATTATTTAAATCAAATTTCTTTTTTTCAGTGTAAAATTATTCAAAATTATTCAAGGCGTAAAATTAAAAAAGAAAAAATAGAAAATTTTGGTTTTGTAATTCGTGGAGGATTAAAAAAAAAAAAAAAAGAAAGCTTATAGTTGAGATTAATAGATCATCTTTTGTGCTTATTTGCATGACACACGAGGAACGCATGCCGCTGCATAAAAATTTCAACTTGAGTGAAGAATAACGTATGCAACGAGCAAGCGGGACTTTCCTTTCAAGAAGAACGATCGACAAATTTAAAAAAAATGCCTTGGAAAATAGGTCAAAAATTCTTGGTATCTTTTTCTTTACAAATCTATTTTTTTTGTAAATGGATTCAATTTATTTTTTTCTTTTCAGAAGATGAAATTAAATTAACGATATTGAAATGACATGGAAAAAAAATGCAACACCTCGACAAGTGGAAAACGCTCGAGTGATTATTTATAGAAAGCTTTCAAAGTGGCATCACATCTGGTCTCACAGGAGCACGATGAAGATTCGAAGGAGGGAAGTAGAGAGAAGAAGAAGAAAATGATGAAGAAGAAGAAGAAACCTTGAATAGGAGAAACACGTGTGGCACCCTGGATGTGTTTCACTTTCGAGATCATCGACTTCTCTCTTCCTATATATATATATGAGATCCTATAATCTGCATTCTACGTTCTTCTATATACTCCCTACCCATCATTATATATTGAATAGGGGCGAGGGCGGAAGATATAGAGGGAGAGAAGAAGAAGAAGAAAAGCCTTCTTCAGGCCCAAGACGAGGAAAGGCAATATATATACATATACATAGCAAAAAAAAAGGGTAGAGAGAGAGAGGGGAAGAGAAAATTGCCAGGCAGGCACAAAAGGTCTCTGACCTCGGCAATGGCTATACAAGAACTGCCTGGACTCAAGAACTGCGTATGAGGTTTCAGAGTGAGAGAGAGAGAGAAAGGTGATGTCACGAACTGATCGTTAGGATCCTTGAAAAAGGCCTATGCCTTTATACCAACAAAATGGCAAAAGAGCAGCAAATTGAATTATTGTCGACTTTTATCACCACTTACTTTTATCACGGCTGCCGCACGCGTCTCAAATCCACGCGATTTCATGCCAAATTTCTAAAAGAAATCCGTTTTTTTAAAAAAGGAACAATTTTTTCTTCCAATTTAGAAATTATCAAATTGGAGTAATTCATATCAATTTATGACCGTTTTTTCAAAAGGTAAACGACGTCTTATCAAAATACAGAACGGAACTTGAAATTGGTTTTCTTATTATCCCCCCAGTATTTTCATTATCAGTCGATGATCCTTGCGTGCAAACACTGGACACAAAACATTGAAAATTTGCATAATGACACTTGTGAACAATGAAAGCCACTCGAATTGAACAGCAAAAGGTATTTTATAGGAAACATAATTCCGGAATTTCCGGCAAGATGCAATTTTTCGAATTTAGATACCAAATTATTCTTTTTCTTACATTAAAAAAAAAAAAACTCATGAAAATTACATCGATTTTTTCAAAAAAAAATTATTTTTCTTATTTGAAAAAGAAAATTAAAGAATAAAAATAATGGGATAATTTTTTTTAGAGTATGACATTTATTGTGTACATTGAAAATACAACCTTGACTTGAATGACACGATATCGTCAGTGAAATTCCCATCTAGGGAGGTTTCCAATAATCGTCTTGAATGACGTCGAGGAAATATCGTCGTCATGAGTGTGTTTCATTACGTCATCCCCCATAGGGATCAGTGGGAGAGAGATGCTGCGCAAACAAATTTAACTTAGCCTCCTTACGATGAGAATCCCCCATTACGTCATCGCGCGCATTTATTATTATAAAACTCTGCCAGTCACTCTCCTCAATAAATACGTATGTAATTACAATTTTTCCGATTTCAACAATTTTTGAATTCATAAACAAAAATCGCAATTTTTCCTCCTTAATAAGCAAAAATTAATGTTAAATAAAATTAAAAGAAAAAAAATTATTAATTAATTACTAATGAATTTTTAATTTATTATCAATTTATTATCAATTACTAATAAATTATTAATTTATTATTAATTAATTAATAAAATAAATAATGATTTTATAGTTAAATATTATTCTTAATTGTCTACTAAAATTAGAAATGTTTTCTTTTTTGAAGAACAAAATTTAATACAGTGTAAAATTTTCTGTATTTTGTTTTCTATTATCCTGGCCTACCGCACATGGTTTTTGCGATGTAAACAAAGAAACGTGCGCGCGACGAATTTATGTGCGAACAACATCGATTTTTGCACAACGTCGCGACGCCTGGCGTCTCCTTTCGACTTCTATATATTATTATTTCCTCAATGATCAATCTCCAAGGTTCTCTACATCATATGAAAAAAAATGATTTTATTTTCAGTTTTATGAATTTAAAACAATATTTGATGATAGTGTAAAAAAAATATATCTTTCGAACTTTCCAAGGTTATTCAGATAATAATTTGTGATTTAATTAAAAATCACGAATTTTTTTTTTTTTTTTAAGAAAAAATATTTATCGTTATTCAATATTAATCGTATTTTTTTTCAGGAAACGAGAAGTGTTTTCAAATGTTCATGGCGTAGCTGTTTTGCAGTACGCTCGACAATTGAAATGATTGAGAAACACGTTCGTGAAATTCATTTGGGGTAAGGGATATTATATTTTAGAAAAAAAAATTGCTCATTTTCAAAAATCAGTTCTAATTTCCATGACGCAAATATTAATTATACAAGAGCGACCTTGAACTGCGTACTGATAAGATAAATTGCCAATAGTCTAGACAAGCTTTCCGTCATATATTTTTTTTTTAGTATTAAATATTGAAACTTTCCCTTTGGAAAGATTTTCTCCCTCAAAATTGCAGTAAAATTATCAAAGAAAAAAAAATCGGATGATAATCACATTTTTTCTAATTGTAAAATAAAAATAATTGTAATAGAATATTATTTTCTCAAAAATTGGAAAAGTGAATTGTTAGTTATTATTTTATGGAAAGGAAAAATGTTTTCAATTTTTTTTTTCATATAGGCCAAGGAAGAACGACGAAACTGATCACGAGGAAGAATTCTACTACCAGGAAATTGAAATGGACCTTGTCAGTTCACCGCCGACCATGTCCCATCGTGATATGGCAAGACCTCCACATGAGGATCCGGAATATCTTAAACAATTCCACGTAGAAGCTATTCCAGCCAGCATTTATGCAGAAAATGCTTTGCGTGGAGATCGACCTAATCCATTTTCAATTTCTTCTTCATCTAATGTGAGTTAATTTTCTTCTTTATTTATTATTTAAAAAAAAAAATGAGAAAAACAATTTCAAATAAAATTATTTCTAGATAAAAATAAAAATCTATTTATACATATTGGATGGTAAATTTTTTTTTCTCTCAAATTGTAATTTAAGCAAACATCAAAAGTTAATTTAAATTTACGATTTTTCTGTAAAAATTTTAAAGTGCAATTGAATTAACTTTATTATGGAGAGTCTATTAAAATCTCATTTCAAAACTTAAGTTTTACGTAAGAGTCAATTACCGTCCGTCGAATAAGATTTTTGATAGACAGTTTTTAAAGAGTGCTTTTCATTTTTTTATGAGAATTTTATTGAAGTAACTCTTTTTTTAATTAAAAAAAGATTAAAATTTTAAATAATCTGGAAGTTAATTATATTTGACGTTTTGTTATTAAATTTTTTTATCTTAAAGATCTAATTATCAATTAAAGAAATTTTTTTTCAAACAGGCAAAACACCTGAAATTGTCATCGAGGTCCTTCCACAATTTACAGCACAATGTTGGCCTTTTGACACTCACCACTGATAAATTGACAGCGTCATCGCCGCGAAGAAATCGTGGCGAAACGAAAAAATGTCGAAAAGTTTATGGTATGGATCAAAGGCTTCTTTGGTGTACGCAATGCCGATGGAAGAAGGCATGCACTCGTTTCAACGACTGAATTTGTCCTCATCGATAAATGAAGAAAAAAAAAATCGATGTCGCCGATGGCGGGTTTTTCTCGCCAAAAAAAAAATCAACCTCAGGGTTTGCCAGTGCTAATATATCTTTCTTCTTGAAATAATTTAAAAAGAAAAAAAAAATAATATCAACCGTCGTTAATCGCCAACTGTCAGTCATCGTTTCCAATCATCAATGACCAATTTTATTCATTATCATTGCCTCATTTCCATCGATCAATCGACGGTCGTCATCTTTAAAAAAAAAAAAAAATGCAGTGCAACAATTTCGATGGAAACGTCAATCCCATGACGGATGACGGACAGTTGAAGAGTCAAAACCTGACTAATATTAACAAACATTAAAACTTAAATTATAAACATAAAATATAAATCACTGAATCGAGGAGTTTATCACTTTGGCACTTGGCAAACCACAAGGGGGGTTGGATTTTTTGTTTTTTTTTTTTTTTTCGTAAAAGATAAGAAGATAGATAGTTAATATTATGAACGGGAACCGGCGATTATGGACTGGAGCGTTCTCTATTAGAGCGCGTTGCGCAATCGTTTTGGTTGTCGTTCAAAAACCATGAGTGTTGACTTGTTGCAGCAGATCTCTCTCTCCCTCTCTTTCCCTTTCTCAAAAAACAGAGAATAAAACGGAAAATCTGGTAGGCTTTATGCGCAAGCAATTGATTCAACCTCTCGATTCCTCCGAAAACAAAAATTCTTTATTGAAACCAAATTCCGTTCGATCCTCGCAAAAAAAAGTGACGATCTGCCGCATCCGATCAAACACTGATTTTGGTACGTAAAATGGTACGCACTCACGAGTTTAATTCTTGCTCTCGCTATGGCCCCCCGATCAGAGTGAGTGTGTTGAAAAAAAAATAACGAGCTCGGAAAGCGGATCGAATGCCAAGCGAAGCAACTTAGAATTTATTATTATTATTATAATAAAGGGAATAACATAGCAAATTGTGATATTTTCTCTAAATCAATTGGATCCCGAGGGTCAAAAAAAAAAAAAAAATCGAAAGGAATGGCGGTTCGTAACTAGACAAAATTCTCAAAAATTTTGAGAAAAAGGAATTTTGAAAAAAAGGAGAAGAGAACAAAATTTTATACACCAATTCTATACTGCCAGACAAATAATAAAAAAAGATCGTTGTTCGAGTTTCGTAAGTACCCGAAAAAAATATATTAATCTGTAAATAATAAATGTAGTAGGTGCGTTGATAGTCTTGGTATCTTATCCGCTAAATGAAAAGAAAAAAAGCGATCATGGGACGCGTAATATGCTATGAAGTCGAATCGATCGATCGATTTTTATATATAAAAAAATATATATATATATATTTCCCTCCCATCAAATGAAAAAAACGTAGTTTCTTCAGAATTCGAATTTCCATTTTTTTCTAGTTTGTCTCTTTTTTTTAGTCAAAGTCTCTCACGACGCATGTGATCTCGATGAAAGAAGATTTTTTTTTTATCCAAAAAGAAAATCCTCTGCGATTTTTAATTTATTTTTTAAAGAGCTGCGATTTTATTATTTTGCTTGTTTTTTTTACATAATATATATATATATATATAAATAATGAGAAACGACGCGATTCTGACGAAGCTACTTCGTAACGGAAGTTCTCGTTCGATGAAGAAGAACGCGTGCGTGTCGTTAAAAGAAATTTCTCGACACGCTTAGCTAGAATAATTTTGTAAATACGTATACCCCCCCCCCATCGCCCTCCCCTCATTTTCCCCTCCCTCTTCACGGCGAAAGAGAATTACTCAAATTTTTGAAGAGCTCTCTATTAAAACATTCGGAATTTATCTTAATGCAGTCACTGTAATGTAAAGTTTCAGAATTTGACTGTTGTGAAACTTCCAGTTTTAAATTTCTCTTTATTGTCTCAGAATATATTTACTTATATTCTTGAAAATTATTAGAAATTAATTGAAATTTATCATATATAGGAAATGTATAAACAAAAAATTTTAATTTTTTTTTTTAACAAAAATTGAATGGATTTTTACAATAAATTAGGGAAAAAGTTTTTTGATATATAATTATTATTTAATCTATAAATTGATATATAAGAAAAAAAATTGTGTTCTATAAATATATATATATATATTTAAAAGAAAAATTAAAAAAAATTAGATTATTGTGAGACTATTAGATTTAAGTTTAAAATTCGAAAAAAAAACTGGTGGTTTAAAAAAATAAACCCTATTTCCATCATTTTGGAAGAAATGAAGACTGCCGCATTGATCTTCCAAAAGAAAAAGAAACGTGAAATATTAATTGTAGGATTTTAGGATAATTTTAAAAAATCTATATTTATTGGACTTAGTAATATTAATGTAAAGATTAACAAATTTAAAGACTCAAAATTTAAATGTAATTAAAATTATAATAAGGAAAAAAAAATTGAGCAAGACTTGAAAAAAAATTGGAACAAATGGAAATAGGGTAGACTGATTATGACATGATTTACGAATATCGCATCGTGCCTTTTTTTTGGCAAATATTGACGCCAATTTTAGACTGAACCTTGAACATTACAGTTTCTGCGATGTTTTTTGTTTGACAAAGTCTTTTTTTTCTCTAATACCAAAAAGAAAAACGAAAATCCGAATCAAATTTTGCAACTGACAGTATTATGCCAATGAAAATTGTTTCAATGTTTCTAATATTTTTGTGTAAAAGTTATTTTTCTTTTTTTAAAACTCAAATTTTTAAATTTAAAGATTTTTGGAAATTTTTCAAAATACTTTCCACATATATAGAAACATGAAATATTATCGTAAGGCTAAGGATTTTTCCCCCCGGCTATAGTTAGTCGTTTTGACGCAACCAAAGGAATTTGTAAAAAAGAAAATTCATTTATTGTTTTTTGTCTTCTCTGAATTTTTTTTTTTTTGAGAAAAAAAATCGAAACGTAAAGACGCTAGTTCATTTAAGAATTTTTTTTTCTTTACTCACTTTTCAATCGCCAGATAAAACAAATTAGATTAATCGTGATAATTTTCCTTTTTGGCTTGCAGATCTCACCATGGACCAGTAAATCTAAAAAAAAAAATTTAATTGCAAATGATCAAATTGAAAAAAAAGAATTTTTTGGAAAATATATTTTTTTTCAAATTGATCATTGTGCAAAAAAGAAAATAAATTGGGATTCCAAAGGGGCATTTCGGGATCTCGATTATCCTGACAAAATCGATCGTGCCAAAGTTCTGACTGCTTTTACTTTCTTTCTCTTAAGGGAGAAATTATTATTATTATTCTCGAAAGCAGATATTCATTACCGAACGAACATAAGTCACAAAGATTCTATTGATAAAACAGTAAAAAAAAAAAAAAAAAAAAAAAAATACAAATAGGCAGAGAACTCGCAGGTAGAAAGTAATTACCGTCCAGTTAGGTACCTTGCCCCCTCCCCCTCTTTTTCTAGGTCAAATCCGCACAACTCGATCAATTACGCGATCGACGTAAATCGATAAGCAATTTCTCCTTTTTAACACACACACAAAATATCAACTGCGAACACCAGCATCGCTGGCTGCAAAAGAAACAAACAATATCTCAGGGTATATCAAATATTTATTTTTTTACATTCTCTCGAAAAGCGCATCTCGCGTTTTTAAACTCGGTCATTCTAATTATGAAAAAATAAATCATCTTTATTATTCAATTTGCAGTCGTCGATGAAATTTTTCACATTTTATATTAATTTTTTTTTTAAATTGAATTTTTTTTTACTGTAATTCTTTTTTTTTTACAGTGATTTTTAATCATTGACGGCAATGACAATTTTTTGACTCCCTTACCCTCCCCCATTTTTGAAAAAAACATTCCAATTTCCCATGAAATTCTGATTTCAGTGACTCAAAAAAAAAGAAATCATAAATCACTAAAGTACGTAACGTTAATAACAAAAAAAAAAAATACTTTTACCAAAGTAACAAAAAAGCGTCGATTTGACGAACTCTGTGCACCATTATACAAAGTACCTCAACACAACAGTACCTTGTAGTATCGCAATAAAAGCAAATTTAAAAAAAACTAGATTTAGGTGAAAAAAAAAAGAATTTTACCAATGCGATACATATTTTCAAGCTCCGGATAAATTTTACTTAAAAAAAAAAATAACGCTTTTTCTCAGCGTCAAAAAAAATAAAAAGAAGATATTTTTCGAAACTGAAATCAGACTTAGAGAAAAAAAAAATTAAATAAACGAGAAGACTGTATAAATCTTCAAAATATATTCTCCCCCGAGGAATAATATAACAAATCCACAAAAAAAAATGATCTAAAACAAAAATTTTTCTATAAAAATTTATTTCCTCAGGGGAGGAAAATTGATTTTATTCAAAAAAAAAAAAAAAAAAAATGCGACTCTATTTTCGATCGATTCGACTCGAGCTTTGATATTTAAAATCGTTTTTAAAAATAAATTTTATTTTTTTCAGTTTTTTTCTTGGGTCGGGAAATGTTGTTGTCGTCGCGGATACCTAATGACCGGGATATATCATACCAAAACGATCTCATATCGATTTTAAATAAAAAAAAAAAATGCAATTTTTGGAGATAAAAAATAAAAGAAATGGTACGTTCGACAAAAAACGAACACAGTTCTCGCCGGTCGAGGATCATTTACACCTCCCCCACCCCTTGTATAACTTTTTAGTGGCTGTTTAGTAAAATTCTATATAATGAAAGAGTTATTTATAGCCAATCTTTAATTTTTAGGTGATAATTAATTATAAAACGATTTTTATAATAATTAATCGAGATATATATATATATATATAATGATCCTCGTGTGCCGCTTGAACTTTTTATCGATTATTGATCGTTCGTACTAAGCAAAGACATATTATTATTATTATTAATTATTAATTATTAGATATTAATTATTACCATCGTCATCGTCATGATCATCTTCTAGAAATATTATATACCATTTATCTCTATAGAGCATTAGATTATTATCATCTACGTTGTCGCAATGTTGTATACACGCTATTTCTCTGCGAAAAAAACATTGATTATTATATATTAATATTATAATAATATTATTATTATATCTATTATTACTTTTGTCGGTTAATACGATTATTATTAATTATTACATTATTATGATTATGATGATTATTATTATTACTATTATTATTATATTATTATTATTATTATTATTAATATTATTATAATTAATATTATTATTAATATTAATTTTATTAATATTAATATTTTTATTACTATTATTATTATTATTACAATCATTAATTATTATTATTATCATTATTATTATTATTATTGTATAAAAAATATATTAGGAAACTCGTTATAGTATTTCACAATACTCCACAAGGACGATATTGTAATCCGATTAAAAGAAAAAAAAAAAAAAAAAAGCGTTCGACGATCTCCGAGGGTGAAAGACACACACGCTGATTATTATATAAAAATAAATGAAACTCGAATGAATTACTGTACCTTGCATATCGAGTGCTGCTCACGCATCGAATTTTAACATCGGACAAAGAATGGAGATTTTACGGAGAAAAACTATGTAGATTTAAAATAAAAAAAAAATTATATGACGAAAAAAACTTGACAACAATAAATAGAAATAGAAATAAAAAAAAATAAAAAATACTTTTAGATCTAAATTGGCGATAAAATCCATTTTTTCATTAAAAATTCAATTTTACAACAAAAAAATTTGTTTTATTTTTTGGTAAATGGAGAAAAATCCATGTTTTTTTTTGCTATCGCTAATTTAAATTTAAAATTAAAAAAAAGAGCAAATATATGAGAAAAAAAAAAAAAAAAAAAAAAAAAAATACTACGAGATAATATACAATAAAGAGAGAAAAAAATATATAAGAAAAATATATGACTAAAAAAAAAAGAAAGAGATAAAAATTAGTTTGTTGCAAAAAAGATATTTTTCTGAATCCCTACAAATAAGTCCCGAATAAAAAAAAAAGAAAAAAAAATGGTAATTCTATTTTTTAATTGTAAAAAAAGGCTCTAATGACTTGTCCGATGTTTTGTTCGTTCGTTTCTTCTTCCCTTATATTAATATATATAATATATATATATTATATTGCGCTTGAGATTTTTTTTTTTTTTTTTTTGAAATAAAAAATGCACTTTTGCGCATTAATAATATTGTGATTCAAAAAAAAAAATCTCACAAAAAAACTTCCATCGAGAAGAGCATGAACATCAGCAGTTGAGAAACAAAAATAATTGTATATAGATGCCGAAATATATAGAAAAAAAATCTAGTTTTACATTGGACATTATATAAATCATTATAAAAAGAGAGAAAAATGCGATTCTATTTAAAGAAAATAACTGTCATTCTCGACAGAATTTAGCAAATTTTTCTTAGATTTAGTATATGAATTATAAAATTTTTTTGTCACTTGTAAAAAAAATTTGTAATTGTACATTTTTTAAATTTAATTGAAATTGAAATGAGTTGGTTCATTCTCTTCCGTGCGGAAGTTTTGAAAACAATTCTTTTTTTTGTATCGTTCGGCTTACAATGCTGTAAATCAATTAATTGTAAGGTTCCAACATCGAACCATTGTTTTTCTATATATAATAATATATAATATATATAATTGTGTGTCGAACATTTGTAATTTTACAACAATTTTTATACATATGTGTGACATATTCTAATCAGATTAAAATAGTAAACGCTTAGGCATAATTTTTTTAGACCGCTTTAAGTGTTCTTCACATTTTTTTTCATATACGAATTGATTTTTATTTTTTCAATATGTTAAATTTTTGAAGTCTTTCGATTTTTATCTATTTAGGCATATTCAAAAATTTATGTATCTTCGAAATTCAGACACATCCTTTGGAGATAAAAAAGGGATTTAAATTTACTTTTTAAAAAAAAAATATTTCGCAATAAAGCGAAAATAAAATAGTGTATTGTCTTTTCAAAAAAAAAAAAAAAGAAAACTTTGTTTATAGCATTGTAAACCGCACAAATTTTTGAAAATGGCATTACGACAATGGCCCTGATTGATTTTAAAAATGAGCGTAAAAAGAAAAATTTAATAAGTATACAGAAGTTCGAAAAAAAATAAATAAAAGCGGTACATATTTATTCGTATTAAGCTGCGTTCGCTCGATCCGCGCAAATGCATAATAATAAAAAAAAATAAAGATATCAATATAAAAAAAAAATAGTAATTTAGAGAGAGCTATATATCTACGATCTACCCACGGAGCACGATGCTTACCGTTTACGAAAACGAATTTCTATATGTCGTAAGAAATCAGTCGTTTAAGTAGTGATAATTAGTAGTCTATAAAAATTAAAAAAATTTTGTGAAGTTGAATTTTTTGAAATAAATTCAACTTCCATCACTTATAGATCGTCAGCGATTTTTGTTAAAAAATTATGTTCGTAGATTTCACTTTGTTTTAATTTCACACAAAAAAAAATGAAGTGAAAAAAAAAACGATTGACGCTCTCAGCGGCTTCTCAATTAAAAAAAAGAAACAATTATTTAACAATTTATGACAAGTCTTATTTCAAATTTAAAATAACTAAGAAAATTAACAATTTTTTTGATTTTAATTTTTAATATTTAAATACTTGAATATTCAAGTATTTATTATTGCAATATTTTTTTTAATTTAATCTTTTTTCTAATTAGAATATTTAAATGATTTTTTTAAATTTAATTTTTATTCTTTGTGACTAACGATATTTTTTTGCAAAAAAATGTACTTTTATTGGTTTTTGAGTGTATTTTTAATTTTTATTTTAGTTTTTACGCCTGTTGGAGAATGAAAAAATTTTTTTTATTATAGAAATGAGATTTTTGAAAATTTAAATTTAATATGAATTTAAAAATAAAAATGCTATTATAATTTCATTTTTACAATTAGAAGCCACTGGGACATTAAAAATTGATCATGTAACCGCTTTTTAATTTAAAAAAAAAAAATCTTGTAAAGAGTCAAATTTCCAAAAAAGAAATTTTTTTTGAGGAAAATTTTGTATAGCGTTGACTCAGTTGTGTTAAACGAAATATTTTTTTAGTCGCGTTTCAAGTTTTACAAATTGTAACTCACGATGTGTTCTGGCGGATTTAAAAATATTTCCATAATAATAATGTTTAACACAGCTTTGAGACGAGGCACATTATTTTCATCTCGAATTTTTGCAAAATTTGGAATTTTTCAAAGTAACAGTCCTTTTTTTAATTTAAAAGATTCTTAAATTGAAAATTTCCAATTTTTACAAAATACTTTTAAGAATTTTTATTTGAAAAGTTGTTCTCAAAAATTTTTAATTCTAAATTTTAAACATAAATTTAGAATTAGAATTTTTAGAACTCTTTTTGGAAAAGAAAACGCAATTCTCTACCTTAACTGGAAATTTGATTCTATTTTATAACAAATTCGCTGTTAAATTTCAAATTTTTCTGAGGCCATACAAAAAAAAAAAATTTGTTCGCCCTCGTTAGATGTTGATCTTCTCTAGAAAAAAAATAAATAAAAAATTCGTAACCACGTCCTGCCGCGAAATCACGAGAAAAAATATTTTCTCGAGACAAAAAACAAAAAGAGTACAAATAAATAGAGAAGAGTCATTAACACACGATTTCGCAAACATGAAATGCTGGAAAAATTTGAAAATTTCACGACTCATATTATTAAAAGCGGAAAACGAGCTATATATCGTTGTCGATAACATTGATTAATTTTGTCTCTGTTGAGCTAAAAAAAAATCGCCACCGTTTATTGTCATCGTCGTCATCAAATTTAGATTCATCAGTTAAACGAGTAACTCTTAGAAATAAAGAGAAATTAAATATTAATGAGAAATTATTTATCATTGACTCAGTAAAAATCAATTTTCAAATTAATCTTCTTTTCCATTGACACTTTCGAGAAAATAAATTTATATATTGTATTAAAATTAATCAATTGAATAAAATAATAATTAAATTTAATAGGAAATTTATATTCAATATGATTTTTAATTGAGTTGAAATTTAAGATACTCGTTTTTCATGTTGAATCATTAATTTCTTTTTCCGTTGACCCCATTCAAAACAGCGATACGATTGATAATATTGAAGAGAATAAATATATAAATATATATTTACGGAAAAATATAAAAAAGATAACGAAGATAATTTAAACAACAGAGTTATTTAATAATGGAAAAATAAAAATTTCGAGTTTACAATTTTACGCTAAGCAGTTATCGTGTGTAAACTTTTCGAATGTTATGATTATATAATATATATAAAAAAAAGAAATGAATAAACACAAGTTGTACCATTAGTTATTATATTTATATTGAGCGCATAAATATATTTATAATAACTTTGTCAACGTATTTATTATACTATTATAAAGATATATAAATAAATATATATTATATATCTTAGCGGCGACGAAAAAAAAGACAAGACGACGATGACGATTGAAATATTGGCGAGATAATAATATATTGTAGACATACGATTAATGTTATTAAACATTATATTTTATTAATTATTATATACATACACATATAAATATATAAATATACTTATATAAGTATCATGTTACATAGAATATATGTTACTACAACTTCTTCCGTAATTTTCCTTTCTTTCATTTATTCCTCCCAACCATAGTTAATTAAATTTTACAAAGAAATAAAAAAATAAGATATAAATAATGAAAACTCAAATTAATATTAATTTAAATTAATTTATATTTTCTTTTTTTCTTTTACTGTGTATAATACAATTAATAATTATATGTTTTATTATTTAAAATAAAAATTCTTTCTTTCTCAAAAGATTCAAATAAAATTTACCGCGCAGGGATCACGTGACAACCAATGAAATTCTCTATTTCAAAAAAAGGAGAATGCAACTTCACGCATGCTCAGGACAAATCCATAAAGTCACTAGACGCTCATCAGTTTAAGAAACACAAAAAATTATAATTCTCTATACTATTTGATTTGAATTTGAAAAAGTATCGAAATATCTCGATGGTCGAAAAAAATTGAATTTTTAAGTTAAAAATAAGAGAAATAGGAATTTCGCTTACAAAAGCAATGTTCATTTTATAAAAATTACCTTATATTATTGTTTTACATATTTTGCATAATTTACTTTACTGCAATATATATACTTGCACAGCATTTATTTATTTTAAATATTTGTCATATGAATCACTGGTCCAGACCAAAATAGCGCGCACTTATCTGAAATAATTAAATTTTTTAAATATTTAATAAAATAATTGTAATAAATTATGAAACATAAATTGAAAATTAAATTCAATGGACAAAGAATAAAAGCAACACTATCTGAGGTGATAGTTGTCAAAAAAAAAAATTATATTTTAATACAAAAAAAATCATAGAAAAAAATAATTATCTTTTTCCAGTTCTTCAAATTATGACACAAAAATCTTTTTATTTTTTATCGTCAATTTATTCAGATCAACAATCAAACTAAAAATAAAAATGACGTCGTTTATTTTACCAATCTATTTTCTTTTTGAAAATCAATAATTAATTTTTTGCCATCATTAGGATGATTAACGTTGCAAAAAAAAGAAGGAAAAAATAATTATGACCAAAGGGAGTTTTAAGTTTCATGAATGCGAGTATATATATATATATATATATATATGTTAAGTCGCAGAATGGGTCGAATGACAGAAAAGTATAATATCGAGCGATGCGTGGCGCCGACGCCGGGCGTCGGTCTCTGGTAGTTGGAAATACATTCATTTAACTCGAGTTGATTTCAACTTCGCCCAGTTTGCCGCCGGTGCTCATTGTGAATACTCTGTTTGCAAAATTTTTTTTGCTACCTCAATATATCTCAATAAAAAAAAAATCATTTCTTTACAAGAGAAATTTGTTCAGTGAAAAATTTCATTATTAAAAAATAGAAATTCTAAAAAAAAATTCACCCCCTTATGGTTGAAAGAGAAAAAAAAATACAAAAGTGACTCGAAATTTGTTACAATAAAAATAAAAAGGACAGGACAGAAAGTCTCGAGGCAGAGTGTGATTATAAAAAAAGAAGGGACTGATAGTGGAAAAACTAATTGCTTTTGAAAAGCCGTCAAAGTGTCATGAGAGGCGGTTTCACAGTCCGCCCTTTTAATTGGTCCCTTTTAGAGTCATGCATGTCGCGCCCTTCAAACGAGGTAATCCACCCGCTAAATCTCCATTTTTATTTATATACATATATTAGTCACTTGACCACGTGAATAAAGCACGTTTATTTTATTTTTATTTTTTCGAATATACACATTAAATAATTTTTTTCATAAAATTTTATTTTGATAAATATATTTTAAAATTTGGAAAATAATTCGCTAAATATTTAAATGTGAAAAGAATACTTTTAACATTTAAGAAAATTTTCTCAAAAAGAATATAATATCTTTAATTCAATAATATTAAATTTTTGAAAATATTTGTAAAAGAAATATTTGTATAAGATATATATTGAAATAAATATTTGTACAGTATAAATGTAAAATATTTATCTAGTAAATATTTTCGAAATAAATATTTTGAGAAGAAATATTTACATTTAAGATATTTTTAAATTATATTAATTTAAATTATATTAATAATTGATAGAAATTAATACAATATCATTAAAAAAAAATTTAGTATGATTAATATTACATGATTGTAGGTTTGGTGCTCTTTGCAAAATTAAAAAAAAAAAAAAAAAACGAGAGATGATATTAAAGTTTGAAACTTGTTAATTAATAAAAATAAACTTTCGATTTATACGTTAGATATGTGGCTTTAACAATAAAAAAATAAAAAAAACTAAAAGCATCAGTGAATAAAAAAAGGAGTTATTGCAAATGCAAACTTTTTTTTATGACCACATAGACGGTCGTATTTTTATCCTCGCGGAAATAGTCTATCGTCTATATCTCTATATTAAAATTGTATATGAATTCACAATAGAGTTGTGATAATTTGAAACAAATAACATGGTAGTAATTGAATGTAAAACTTATAATCTTTCCTTTCTGCTCTTGCATAATTTAACAAAAACAAAATTCAAATGTCACCTTCTTTTTTAATTGAAGAAATTGATTTCAAATAAGAAATTAATTTCATTAATTAAAAAAAATTTAATCAAATTAATAAGAATTAAGATAGTTAATTTATTATATTATTTTTAATTTATTAAAATATAAATAAATTAAAATTTAATAAAATAATTAACGTTATCTATATTAGTTTAATTTTTTTTGAAAATTAATTATTTAATTTAAAAATTAATTACATAGCTATTAATTAAATAATTATCTTTTTCTAAAATAAAACAAAAAAAAAAGTTACTTTCACTTATTGAATTTCTATTTTTACATTTCGATAAATAATTTATCATTTAACGATAAAATAGAAAAAGTTCTTTGCTAATGAAATAGGACGTAAAGGGTGGCACTTTACAAGACTAGAATTGCATCATTCGCCTATACTATCCCTCTCTCTGAGAGCAAAATACATTGCTCTGAAAATACCTGTAGTCAATTCTATATTTGTTCTCGATCGAAAAATCACTGAATGAAATCACTCGATGAACGTAAAACTAAAAATAAAAATAAAGTCTACTCGTATCACTTTTTATACTTTTTCTTTTTCCTCTCTTTCTTTTTTTTATATGATTTTAATTTAATTATAAAAAAAGAAAATTCAATTGAATTACCACAGAAAATCTTTTTAAAAAAATCTACTTAACGAAAAATTAAAAGTTGCAAAATTATTTCATCTTGTTTCAAACTATGTTGACTCAAGAGAAAAAAAAAGTGAAAAGAGAAAAAAATTACAAAAATGAATATATGAGAAATATCGAAGTTTATTTTAAATGTTCCAAAATAAACTTGACCTGAAATTTTAGTTTCACTTTTCAGAAAAGATTTGTATTTTAATATTCTCTTGAAATTATTTAATATTCAATGATAATTAAAATATTAAATAATTTGATAATTATTAAAAAAAAAAAATAATTTCAAAAAAGAAATTAATTATTCGATACTGTTTTATTTTAAAAAATTTTAATTAATGAGATGAAATCAATTTTTCACGAGTTAAATGAATATTCTGCATATTTTACAAAAGTTAGAAAATGACAAACGTCATTTTCTTGAAAGCTTTTTAACCGACAATACGAATGTAATGCAAAATGAAGATTAATGTTGACTGTGCTTTAAATAAAGCTAAAGCATTATTATTTTTTTTTATCTCCAAAAAAGCAAAAGTTTGCCATTAGTTTTAATGAAATCTCGTCTAAAAAAAATCAATAATTTAACACGCCCTCGTAAACTTATATTCCGAACAAAATAAGTGGATTTATTCTTTTGTAGCTGATACAAATTATTTACAATATAAAAAGAACTACGGGAAAACTTGTCTTTTTAAATATAAAGTAAACTTTAATTTCATTCATTCTGGACTTGCAAATATTGAATGGAGTGTAATTTAAAAAAAAATTTTGAATAAATAATTTTTTCTATGTAAAAATAACTTTGAATTTATTTCATTTTTTTTTTGAATAATTAAAAAGTATTATAAAATAAAGAAAAAATAATTTTAAATTCAACTCTGACATGATCAATTAATAATTTTTGTAGATTTTGTTTTACAAATTTTTGCGACCTTGAGGAATGTACACGTTTTTCTATTTGACACCTCCTTGGGATATTTTGTTCTGCACGAGCGAGAAAATTAAAAGCAATTGAATCGTTACGTACGCAACGAACGCTAATATGATCATATGATTTAATAGCTTTTATTTTCAATAAATATTGACGTTTAGCAATTGTAAATCCTAACTTGTATCATATTTTTGTTTCTTTTTTTTATATATAGAAAAAAAATCCTTGTCTTTTCAGTTATTTTTTTTTTTATTTTTGAAAGAAAAAGAAGTTAGTTGATTGAAAAGTTTCTGGAAATGAAGTTCTTGATAGGACAACTTTTTTTAATTAAAAATTACAATTCTTTCGCTAACTCATCTCTTTTTTGTGTGTGTTTTCTTAATTAAGTTTTTTAAGTAATTAACTAAGTTTTTACATTATTCAAAATGTATTATTATCCGCAGAAAATCAGAAACAAAAGAAAAGTTAAAACTTATAAAGTTTTGATCATTTTTTGAAAAATTTCTTAAAAGGAATAGTTATTAAAAAATTCGTTGTAAAAATAATAATGAAAATAATTTATATTAAAAAACTAATTTTCAAAATAATTGTGTTTAAATAATTTTTTTTTATTATTGAATTACGTAATAAAAAAAAAATTTATTTTCTTTTTTTTTTAAATAAAGTGTAAATTAACTCTAACTCATTCAATTATTTTGCGACGTACTTGTTTAAGAATTATCTCCTCGACTGTATAACTTAAAAGTAAACTTGCTATTTCGCTCAGATTACTTCTTAGTATTTAAAATTTAATTCACTCTGTTATGAGATAAGTCACTTAGGGAATTTATTAATAATATTCCGTGAAATATTTTAAAACTATTTAATTATAATTGTCAAAAAAAACATTTTTTTAATTACTAAGATTTATAAAAAAAAAAAATTGCAACGATTTAAATTTACTATATTTAAATGTCAATATAGAATCCTAATTGAATTCTCCTTATTCGCGTCTGTTTATTTTTAGCATTTTCTTCTTGAAAGCACATTTGTCAACTAGATGAATTAATTTTTGGCGAGATATTATTTTCCGTATAATGTATAAAATTTGTATCTTATATCATAATAATTAAATTACATAAATCCAATTAAATTTAATATTTCATTGAAGCTTAAACTTGTTTTATGAAATTTAAATTGACAAATGAATAAATCCCTTGGGTATTTTCTACTAATTCTGACTTCACTAAATTTGCATTATAACTCCCTTTGAAATTCAAATTATTTCCATGTTGCGAAATATTTTTATATTACATTTCGAAAAATACGAACTTTGAGATTAAATTAAACATTTTTTTTAATTTTACAATCAAGTTAAAACAAATTTAGATTTATTATTTCAAAGAGAAATTTTGATTTAAATGAATTTGATGCCAATATTCAGGTCAGTTACCCACTCGAAAAAATTTTGCTTTCCTTCGCTTGTCAATTGAGAATCTAACGCAATCGAATTCTAACCAATTAAGAGCAGAATATTTGTCTCGCTCTAAATTTGTCTTCATTATCTTTAACTGTTCAATCATTTTGCTTTAGATTAATAATAAACGTTACATTTTAGCTTAATTTTTTCAAAAAAAAAAATTCTTAAAATTTAAAAATTATATTTATTCTTTTGTAAATAACTGTCTTCTCTAGCTATATATTAATTTATTCGCGAGGAAATTAATAATAAAAAATTCTAGGATAATGAAATTTTTTATTTGTCGATTTGATATGTTCATTCAGCTGACACTGAGCAATAGAAGCCAATTAATATTTATATTGCTCTAAGGCTCGTTGGCTCTCTTGCCAGTTATTATATTCACGGTCCCACGTTAAATTCTATTTTTGTCATCATTTTCATTATCGTCATTTTAGTCGAACCTGAACCATTTTCAAAGACTTTGCCAATATTAAATACACGTTGAAACGTATTCAATTTTGGCAACTTTTTTTTAATACTTTCTCCCTCAAACAAAGTACAGAGACTAATAAATTTGTCTACAAATGCGAATTTATGTAATCACCAAATTCGCAATTTAATTTAATTCTTTAGAATGAAATAAAATAAATTATTATAATTAAATTTTTATAGTAATAAAAATGTACTGTGAAACCAAAATTAAAAAATGGAATTAAAATTTTTTTTTTATTAAAATGAATCTAAAACAACGCAATTTTTTTTCTAAAGTTATGAGGAATAATTTCCCAGAATTAAATTTTTAAAGAAAAAATTAAAACTATAATGAAAAAAATGCAAAGTCTTTAAATCTTCAAAGCAATAAAATTAAATATGTTCGCATTAAAACAACTATGGCCTTGAATTAAATAAATAAAATTATTTAAATAATAAAAACGAGAATAATTATTTTTACGATTTTTAGTTATTAAAATTTAAATTTTAAATGATTTTAAATTATTCTTCATCTATTGTTATTAATTGCGAATGTCGATTTTTAATTGTCTTGTGAGGTTTAAAAATTAGTTTCGAATTTTTTTTATGATTAATAAATTTAAGTTCTTTGTCAGATAATAAAAATAGCAAAACATCTCGGGTATTTGAAGCGAGTGATAAAAAGTGATACTTTAAAGAAATACAGAGCTTTTTAGACTAATTTGTTATTACAGTACAGATTTTCACGTTTCAAACAAGTGTGTCTCAAGATACAAGACTTAAAACAGAAAGCTCTCGTGGTTCAGTTTCCGCGAAGTATACATCTTGTCTTGCATAATAAAGCATCTTACAGGGGAAAAATATTCTTGGTCTCTGACATAAAATTCTTGAAGAAATGCATTAACCTTTTTTTTCTCTCTCTCTCTTCATTTCTCATTTTTTTCATTTTTTACTCACTTTAAAAGAATTAGTTTATTTTTAATTAATTTAAATAAATCAAAATAAAAAACGCGAAAAATAAAAAGTAAATAAATAACAAAATATTTATTAATAAACAAATTTTAGTTTTATATTTAAAAATAATTTTGAGATAAATAAATAAAAATATTTGCTGAAAGAAAAAAACATTTCTAAGAAAAAAAAAAAAATTCCGTAAAGAATATATATATACAAAGAGAGAATCAAATAATTATCACGTAATAGAAACCTTTGAAGTAACTATTTTTATTTGGAAACAAACAATTTATAAAAATAGCTTCTCGTAAAATTTAAATTTTTCTAAATTTGAAAATTGAATTCGATATAATATCGAAAATATATAATTATAAAAATAATATATATATATATATAAAAATATGTACCAAAAATAAAATAATTTTTGATTATGAATAATAATTGTTGCGTTATATTGAAATTTAAAATCGCGAAAATTAATGAATTTTTGATAAAAGTAGATAACGCCTGATCGTGAAGTTAAATATTAGATATGTAGAAGAGAGTAGAAGTGGTGAACGCGTAGTATGGGTTGAGCACGAGATCAATATCCAGGGGTCACCTTGAAGGAAAAAAAAAGAGAAATGAATCGTGATTTCGACTTTTTGGAGGGTCTTTTAATAAAAAGAAAAAAAAATCATCAAATGAGAGAGATGGAGAGAGAAAGAAAGAAAGAAAGATGTCTTGTACATCTCAAAATGTTTGTCTCGATCACGAGAAATTTTTTGGCATCATTCCATTCGATCTATTCCGGTAACACTTTAAGCAATGGACTATAATAATCCATTTTATGATCAATATCTATAATATTTAAAAAACACTTGTCTGTTTAAATCATTTGCAATTTTGTTGATCGTAAAACACATGATTGACTTGCAAAACTTTTTCTTGACAAGATTAAAATTTATTTGTCAAACAAGTCTTGATTTATATATATATACGTAAACAATTTCGCGCTTCTTTAACAACTATTCGATTAAATTGATAATTTATATTATATAAAATAAATAATATAGAAATTATATTGTAAAAAAATATAATTATTTTAATAATAGATATTAAGTATCCTACAGTTTATTGTAATATTTATATTCAGTATCTGAATTTTAAAAATAGAATTCTATATTTAGAAAATATGAGCTTTCTCTCAGGAAATAATTTTCTTTTTCTATCAATGGTGAAAAAAGAGAGAAGAAAAAAATAAATAGTAAAATAATTTTTTTTTTTTTTTGTAAAGAAAAAGAAATTATTTTTCAATAAGAATCTTATTGAAAAAATTGCGAATATAAAAATTGTCAGTTCAAAACTATTTTTTAAGAACTTGAAAACTTTTTTTTATTGATCTCTGTGATGTTTGACTGCAAAACATCATAAGGAATTTAAAGAGTCAATTTATACGTATATAATGAAGGTAATCATATTCCAAAAATATTCGACAAAGACTATACACAATTACGTAGGAAAATTGCCCGACAATATAAAAATTAAATCAGGGAAAGCAAGCAGGTGTAAACAGAAATTGATTTAGAAGTCTCAATTATCTGTAAATACAGCGTAACATATTTTTTTCCCCTTTTTGATAATTCATTAACATTGAAATTAATCACAAGTGGTCAAGTGTCTAATATTAATTTGAATAAATACAAAATCTAATTCGAAAAATGAAAATTCATCAATTAATTAAAAAAAAAAATTAATTAGTAAAAAGAAGCAATTTTTTTTACTCCAAAAACTAAGATTTAAATTTGTTTTTAGCAAATTCGGGATATGGTCCACAACCGATCAACGGGACTGGCCAGTCTCAATCGCAACAGAATTCTCAACAGCTTCCTCAACAACAACTACAACAACAATTATTACAACAACAATCTGGAAATGGAACGAGAAATTTACGAGGACCTGGAGACACGTTGGGGAGCAATGGCTGGGAAAGTGGGTCGCCGTTGCACAAAGAGAAGGGCCTGTCTGGAGGTTTGGGGGATGACGAAGACGGGGGTGGAGGGAGCGGAGGGTTGGAGGGGACGGACCCAGAGGAGAACCACCCTGTTCACCTCAAGAGACGGGTGGGACTCGTCAGTGGGGTGGCTCTAATTGTTGGCACAATGATCGGATCAGGAATATTTGTTTCGCCATCAGGACTTCTCCAGCGTACCGGAAGTATTGGCGTAAGCTTCCTGGTGTGGACAGCCTGTGGTATACTCAGTCTTTGCGGTGCATTAGCATACGCAGAATTGGGTACAATGAATACAAGCAGCGGTGCTGAATACGCGTACTTTATGGACGCATTTGGTGCACCGCCCGCTTTTCTTTTTTCCTGGGTATCAACACTCGTTTTAAAACCCTCACAAATGGCCATCATATGCCTATCATTCGCACAATATGCCGTTGAGGCATTTGTTGCTGAATGTGATCCACCTCAAGAAGTGGTCAAACTTGTTGCATTATTGGCAATAATTCTCATTCTTTTGGTGAATTGTTACAGTGTCAATTTGGCAACCGGTGTTCAAAATGCATTCACAGCGGCAAAATTAATTGCAATTTTAGTTGTGATCGTTGGTGGATCTTATAAATTGATACAGGGCAATACACAGCATTTACGTGATCCTTTCAAGCCAAGTGAGGATTTAGATGTTGGAGGTGGAATTAATATTGGTAAATTGGCGACTGCTTTTTATACTGGACTATGGGCATATGATGGTTGGAACAATTTGAATTATGTCACCGAGGAGATTAAGAATCCGTCAAAGAATCTACCAAGATCGATAATGATTGGAATTCCACTTGTGACCCTGTGCTATGCACTGATTAACATCTCTTATCTCGCTGTTATGTCGCCCTCCGAGATGATCGACAGCGAGGCGGTCGCTGTGGTAATTTTCTTTACTATTTTTGCCTTCAAAAAAAATTTGAATTTTTTTTTTAATATAAAATCCTGTTTTTCAAACGAGTTTTTTTTCCCCATTTGGAAAAGTCGATAAAAATTTGTGAAATGAATATGTGTGGGAATGGATAATAAATGTAGATCAGATCTGAGTGGAATCAAACCCGAATAAGTTTTTAGGGGAGTAAGAGACTATAAATAACTTGAAAGATTTCAGAGATAATATTTTCAAGGTCAAAGAATGTAATTTCCCTACTCCGCGAACACATTGATTTTCCTTTCAATTTGAATAATAAAGCAGTCAATTATGTTTCATTTCTCATGTTTGTAATGAAATTAACTTTAATTATAAATCATTTAAGTAAAAATCGATGAGAAATAATTTTCCCTCTATATTTCTAAAAAAAAAAAAATTACTCCAAATAAAAATAATTTTTAGAATTTGAAATGTTTAATTCATGAATTTGGAATTTTTGCTAAAAATAGGATTTCATTTTTTTTCAAATGCCACTTTTATGATTCTCTATAATAAAATGGATATAAAAAAAGAAAGTCAATATCACTTACACACAATGAAATTGAATAACTTCTCTTCTCTATTATGAAAATTTCTTTTTTTTTTCCTCCAGACGTTCGGTAATCGTCTTCTTGGTGTTATGGCATGGTTAATGCCTCTCTCAGTGGCAGTGAGCACATTTGGATCAGCAAATGGAACTTTATTCGCTGCCGGACGACTTTGTTTTGCAGCTTCACGAAAAGGGCATTTACTCGATTGTCTCAGTTACGTTCATGTGCGACGTTTCACACCTGCACCGGGTCTTATTTTCCATTCCATTGTGGCAGGTAAAAAAAAAATAATCTGAAAACATTTGAGAGAATAAGAAAAAATTTGTCAAACATTAAAAAGAAAAAAGCAGAAAAACGTAAATTATTTCTTGAAATTAATTTAAAAAATTCGAAATACAATTATTATTAATAAATATAATTTAATTGAAAATATTACTTTTAGGTACAATGGTGATTTCTGGCAATATCGATTCATTGATCGATTTTTTCTCCTTTACGGCATGGATTTTTTATGGTGGTGCAATGCTCGCGTTGTTGGTCATGAGAAAAACACGACCAAATCATCCTCGACCATACAAATGCCCACTAATTATTCCCGTGCTCGTACTTGGCATTTCAGCGTACCTGATTGTTGCCCCAATTATTGACAAACCTCAAATTGAGTACCTGTACGCTGCTGGCTTTATTGGCGCAGGAATATTCTTCTACCTCCCATTCGTTAAATACGGATACGTTCCCAAGTTCATGGGTAAATAAATTATTTAAAAGTTTAATATTATAAAAAATTTAATTCATTAATAATTATTTGCAGAAGGAGTAAACGCTTTTCTCCAAATGTTGCTCGAAGTAGCGCCAACGGCAGCTGCTTTTGACTGATAAAAAAAAAAAAGGAAAAGCTCATCATGTTTTATAAGATGCCAAATCATTCCATTTGAGGCATCGAATATAGCGCAACGATGCTTATTTTAATACAAAATGTTTTTTGACAAATGACGAATAGAAAAAAAGAAAGTGAGAAAGAAAAAATATGTTATTGTTTCACTTGAAAATTGATATCATAAAAATAAGAAAACAAAAATATTATTTTATTACTTGTTGTTCTTCCTATATAGTGTACAATATTATACAACGTTATTGTTAGCAATAGTTGATTGGCGTTATAGCAAACCAAAATATTGATAAGAAAAATAATAAAATTTTTAATCCAATTTTATTATTATTAATAAATTTATTCATTAAAATTAATTAATATTAATAATTTTAAATTAATACCAATTAATATTCATTATTATTTACAAATAATTGAATAATGCTTACATTAAATCATTCCTTTTGAACCGTACCATAAACTCCCAATATTCCAGAATCTTTTTTCACTTTTCTACGAGTTTTTCGTTTCTTTAAACTGTCAGTTGCGCCGGAATATGATTTTCGTTTTGATTCTTTTATTTTTTCAATTTTCCTCTCCTTCAATATTTCTTTATAATTTTTCTTTCGATTTTTCGGTGGTCTTGCTCCTAAACTAATTGCCAATGCAATTTTTGCTTCCTTTGCTTTTGTCTTCTTCAAACCGGACATTCCAAATTTCATTACTTCAAATCTGGCTCTCTTCATTTCAAGTTCTTGTTTTCGTTTAGGATCCATATTATTTTTGTCATCGTCATCGTCATCATTGTCACTGGAATTTTTGACAATATTTATTGTAGGCGTGTGAGAATTTTCTGCTTTTTTTTTCTTCTTTGGCGCTTCGTATGTTACGGTCATAAAATTTTTTAACGCCTGATTCTTATTTTTTGCTCCGCGAGTCACAATGAATTCCTCCATTGTCAAAGGCTAAAATCGTAATTTTTTTTATTATAAAAACTTTCAATAACAGTATAAAGAAAAGGGATCCCTAAAGAAAATAAAGTTGAATTCCAATCGCGACAATAAGGTGATAAATAACAATAAAAAAAAAATAATATATTACAGAAAAAAATTATAATTAATAAAAAAGACTTGATAATAAATATTAAAATTATTAATTACAATATTGACAAATTAATGAAAAATTTTAATTGCTGAAATTTAAAAATAATTTTTAAGGTTATGTTAGCTTAATTTGAATAGTTTGAAACATAATTTACCACCTTGGAATTTTTCATAAAGTGGAATATAATTAAAATTCAATAATTTAAAATAATAGTGAAAATTAGAACTTACGTATAAATTGATTTAATTAGAAAAATCGGTAAAATAAACTTTTACAAACGTTACAAACAAACAAATTGCATGATAACCACGTGATCACAATAATTGACACAGATGGCTCTGATGTCATTTTTCCACGCATGCCCAGTAAGGTTTGCAATTTTGACAGTTTTGACGCTTGGAAGAAATGTCAAAAAAACAATGACGTATTTATTTATTTAATACAAATTAAAATAAATACCACTTTTACAAAGTGATTAAAAATTTAGTCAAAAATTGTTAACATCAATTTAAATAATTACCAAACTTATATAAACTTTCAAAATGGGAGGAGGAGATTTGGTAAGTTATTCTAACCTATAAAAATAATTTTCCCGTGTTTAAATGCTTTATAATTATATAAATATTACAATTATTATATTTTTATGTTTGTTAATATTATAATAGAATTATATTTTGTTTAGAAAATATAAATAATAAAATTTAAATAAAATCAATTTTTTTCTCTAATTAAATAAATTGTACTCATTTAATTTATTATTATTAATTAGAATTTGAAGAAATCATGGCATCCATCAACAATGAAAAATATGGAGAAAGTATGGAAAGCAGAGCAAATGAGCAATCAGGAGAAAAAGAGAATAGCTGAATTGAAACGAGAAATTGAAATGGAAAAAGATCGCGAGGAATTAACAAAAATTGCAATGGATCATGGAACAATTGAAAAGAAAGATGATAAAAAATTAGATTGGATGTATAAGAAGCCAAATCAAACGGTTGATCGCGAGGAATATTTATTGGGAAAAGAAATTGATCAAAATTTTGAGAAAATTGTACAAGCCGAAAAAGATGCAGCATTAAATAGAGCTCCGAAAAATCACGTCGAGCACGGTATGAAAATTATTTATTTCATTGTTTTTTTAATTTCAAAATATTAACAATTTATTCTTTTTTTCAATTCTCTAGAATGTATACCACCTTCTCTAAGATATTTTTCTGGTACCGAACAAGTGGACCTGGCGAGAAAACAACAAGAAGATCCATTGTTTCTAATCAAGAAAAAAGAAATGGAAACCCGTTCGCAATTATTGAAAAATCCCGTTAAAATGAAGCAAATAAAACAATTAGTGAGTTAAAAATATTTTACACACGTTTACTTGTTAAAAATACAAAAATAATAAAACCTTTTTTTTTTTTTAATATTTCAGTTAGAAGCGGAAACAAGAAAGAAGAAGGAGAAAAAGTTTAAAAAATCCAAAAAACACAGAAGTGATTCCGAATCTGACAGTGATAAAGAATTGGATAATTTACTAGCTGAAAAATACAAAAAGCTCAAGGGGAAAATATCCGAAGAAGATTTAATGAAGTCTGTGAAAAAGGGGAAAAAATACGACAGAAAACAAAAACGTAAAGATTCATCAAGTGATGATTCTGATTCTGATTCGGATTCAGAATCAGATTCAGAAAGTGAAACAAATAAACGATCAAGGAAAAAAGAAAGAAAAATTAAAAAACGAAAAGACTCGGATTCTGAAAGTTCCTCAAGCGAGTCGGACAGAAGATCAAGCAGAAAGGATAGAAAATCAGAAAAAAGAATGAGAAAACGAAAAGATTCTGACAGTTCGGAGAAATCAAATAGAAGGGGGAGAAAATTAGAAAGAAAACATAAAAAACAAAGAGATTCGGATTCTGACAGTTCGGAAAGTGAGTTCGAAAGAAAATCACGAAGAAAAGATAAAAAAAAGCGAAGAGACGAGAGTAGCGATTCAGAAAGTAGAACTAGAAAGAATAAGAAAAACAAGAAACGAAGAGATGAAAGCACCGATTCAGAAAGAGAAAAATCGAGTAGAAAAGAAAAGAAAAACAAAAAACGAAGAGATGAAAGCACCGATTCAGAAAAAGAAAAATCGAGTAGAAAAGAAAAGAAAAACAAAAAACAAAGAGATGAGAGCACTGATTCAGATACAGTGAGAAAATCCTCTAAAAAGTACAAAAAACATTCTAACGAATCAGAAGAATTTAAATCAAATAGCAAAAGCAAAAAACGAGATTCAAGCGATTCAGAAACAGATCGAAAAAATAAAAGACACAAAAAGGAGAAACAAAATAATTCCGATAGTGATAATGATAAAATATATTATAATAAAAAAATTGATTCTCATAATGTTAGATCAAATTTTGGATTAATGGTGATTATAATTCTGTATTCTCACTAATTATTCTTTTTTTTTCCTGTTTATTGTAATTTTTTTTCTATTCCAGAGAGCTGATGGGACAAAAATGACGATAAATCCACGAAGTTATTCTCCTCACAGAACAAAAGATATGGGGAGAAAAATTGAGGACAGAAATGAGAAGCGATGGATACCACCGAAACGGCAAAAACTCACGGAAGAGGAAAAAGAAAAACGTCGCCTCGAGATGATGGATAATGCCACTTGGCGTGAAAAAGATCGTGAGGAAAAAATACGTCGAGAAATGGAGGAGATGAAAAAAGAGGAAGAAACTAAAAAAACATATAGCAAAGATTTTGTCAGGTGAATGTCAAAAATTTTTATAAAAAAATTCCTAAAATGTCATGAAACAAAAAAAAATTGTTGAATTAAATTTGAAATTTTTTTTTCAGAAAACAATTAGCTGCGGCTGTTGAACTAGGAACATTGGAATCACGTGTGAAATCAAGAAAAAATACTATTCAACGATCGAGTCGCGATATGAACACTAATTTCGCTAGACGGTAACGTTTATAAATTTTTGTACATTATAAAGAAATGTAAATATAATTTAATTTTACTTTTAATTAAACGGAAAGTAAATTTGATTTTGAAAAATAGAAAAAAAAATTTATAAATAAACAATGAGTAAAATTATTTTTTACCTTTAAGTTCTTGGTGGTCGACCTTTACCGCGATCGCTATTTTCACCTCGTCTTCGTTTATTAAGTGGATTCCTAGGATCATAAATTTCGAACCAATCGTCATCTTTTAAATTAGCGTCCCTTGCTAATATGGGTGTTTTATCTTCGCAATGAAGTGAATGTGCTAAAATGGTGTCATCAATCTTTTCATCGTCCTTATCGTCAGTTGGCTTTGTCTCCGTTTCCTCCGAATCTGCGTTACATTGTTCTTTCATTGCGTGTATTTTATTTCGAAATTTATTCAATTTCTGCATTATAAAATCGTCATCTATAAAAAAAAATTTAATCAATTATATATATTTAATTTTCATTTCTAAAATTCTGTGAAAAAAAATGATTACTTCTTTCTGCTTTATTCTTCTTTTGTTGTTCTTTTAATTTCTTTTTTATTTCTTCGCGTTCCTGCTTCTCAGTTTTCAATTGTTTTTCCTTTTCAGCAGCCTCTTCCTCTAATTTGGCAACTTCTTCCTCTTTCTTTTTAGTCTTCTGAATACCTCGTTTGAGATCTCGAATTTCCTTTTTTATCGATTCGCTGAATTAGAATTAAAAGAAAATCATTTTTAAATAGTAAATTTATTAAATTAGAAAAGTTAATTTATTTTATACGTACGCCATTCGTTTCCTTTCATCTGCACGATCTTTTCCCAAATAATATTTTTCTTCGTCTTCGTTTTCTTCTTCTTCTTCTTCATTCTTGTCAGATTTTAATTTTTTGGAACTAGGTTTTTTTCCACTTTTCAATTTTTCTATCACTCTCTCACTCATTTCCCTGAAAGGAAGGAAAATATTTTAGAAATAGATTAATAATTTTTTGGAAAAAAGAATACATAATTAAAATTCACCGTCGTTTTTGAAGTTCATCATCTGGTATTTCATCATCACTGTCGCTGTTCGTTCGTTTTTTATTCGAGGAACTAGCTTCTTCTAAAGCCGGCTCTGAACTTAATTTTGGATCATCTAAAACATCATGAGCAGATTTACTTTTGCCACTGAATTTTTTATTTAATTCCTTAAATTCCTCTTCGTCCTCCTCCGCCTCCTCGCCAAAGGAAAGAAGTTTAAAATCTCTAAAATTATAATAATCAAAAGAATAAATAATTTAAATATACAATTAATTTAAAATCCTAAAAATAAATATTTTAATTTACTTCACTCCTTTCTTATTCTTTTTCTTCTTTTCCTTCTCCTTCTCTTTATCCTCGTCAATTTCTTTTGTCGTTTCACTGGGTGTAATATCTTCAAAAGGATTGGTCAATACTTGTGTTTTCAAAATTTTCGGAGGATAAACTGGCCTGTCATCCTTCAAAAAAAATAAATGTAATTATAAACAAAAAATAATAACTCCCTAGATATTTTCAAAATAAAATTAGAAAATTGATTTTTAAATTAGTACCTTATCAATAAGACATTCTTCGAATTTCAAAACGTTGTATAAAGTTTCACCTGTAACTTTTCCAAAAATCGTGTGTTTATTTTGCAATTCAGGTGTTGCGGAAAGGGTGAAAAAAAATTGTGATCCATTATCGTCTTTTCCTGCATTCGCCATTGCAACCAAACCACGCCGACAAAATCGTAATCTCGAGTGAAATTCATCCTAGAATAAATTAAAAAGAAAATCTAAATATTAAAAAAAAATGTTTTAAATTGAATAATTCTTTTTAATTAAATATTTATATTGTTACTCTTCAATTACTTTGAAGGGATGTCCGTAAATACTTTCACCTCCTTCTCCAGTTCCCAATGGATCACCACCTTGAACGATAAAACCTTTTACAATTCGATGAAAAATTGTATTATTGTAGTAATCATCATAGCATAATTTGATAAAATTTTTGCAAGCTTTCGGTGCTTCTTTTGTCCACAATTCTATATCAATATCGCCAATCGAAGTCTTCATCATCACCTGAAAAATAAATTTTATTTTTTAAATAAAACGTTTTTTTTTCTTAATTTTATTACAAAATTATATCAAGTACTTACTTTTCCCGTCGTGGGTGGTTCTTGAATATAAATATTACTCATTTTGTTTCTTCTATTAATTCAACGACACAGGAAAATCAGAAGCTAAAACAAGAAAAACAAAACTTAAAAAAAATCCTCAAAATTGAAAATATTTCTTAAAATTAAAATCTTAAAAATCTTTAATAAATTTGAATTAAAACCTAACAAAATTAATAATAATAATAATAAATAAAATAAATAATGTTAAAAAAAATTTTTAATTAAAAAATTTAAATAACAATTTTGTAGAAATATAAAAAAATAAATAATTAAAATAACAACATTAAATAATTTTATTAATTTCTGATGTAAATTATATTTAAGTTTACATATAATTTCGTTTCCTTAGATATCGATAAAACAACCGAATTGAAATCAGTGTATGCTCCTCAACAATGGAACAAAAAATAAATAAAATCCAAAAGAAAAATAATGTGAAAATAAATCTATCACAATTTCGTCTGGAAAAAATAAAAAAACAACAAGCATTGAATTTATCAAAAAAAATAGTAGAACACTATAAAAAAGAGTTTTCAAATACAGAAAAATCTCAATTTACCATCAACAATGAAATTTCAAAATCATTATGTTTGGAAAAACTCAGTTCCTGGTCAAAGGATATTCCAGTTGAAGGACTGTCACCAGAATGGGAAAAAAATATCAAAAAAACAGTGGTGAAACTATTTAAAAAGAAATACGATCGTTTTTTCACAACATTAATGTGTGAAATTCGACAACTTTATTTACAAGAGATGCAAAAATTTGCTCTACGAACAATTCTCGCAATTGAATCAAATGAGAACAAAAAATTTGAAATTCATCCCGAAATTCTTCCATCGAAAGACAAATGTTTTTTAAAAAAACGTTTATCTCTATCAAAAAAATATTTTCTCTCTCATTCATTCGTTAGATTTATAATAAAAACCGCATTTTTTAATCTTCCAAAATTGTTTCTCAATCTCGCTGATTATAGATCATTGGGAATTTTACATTTATCAGAATTTCAAATAAAAATAAAAAAAGATATAAAAAAAGCATCGTTAAAAATTCTCAGTAATTATTATAATTTGATCATAAAGGCATTACCAAAATTAAATATGAAAAATCTCAATATCAATGAACTTACCCGTATAATTCATTGTGGAACAATTTTATTTTCTCAACAAATTTTAAATATCAAAATGAATACAATTACTCATTTGATAAATTCAATTAAAGATTCCTTATTATGTCCATTATTAAATTTGGATTTAATATTCAAAAATAATGATTTAACACTAAAACCAAATATTTCAGAGATTTGTCACACATTTCATGAGATAATCAATGATATCTCCATAATAACCTCAGATCTTGTTCCATTTGAATATTATTTTCAAATTAAAACGAATCAGGATTTTATTAATGTTAAATTACCCGAGTGGTTTATGCACGAATCTCACAATAATTTAAATGAAGTTTTAGAAAATATTTTCCAAATTCTCAACGAATATCATTTTAATGTTAATATTCAATTTCATCTCATTTGTCAGCCAAAAACTCGTGAAAATGTTTTGCAATTAATTTCCGAGGATCTTGAATTTGAAGAGTATTGCTCTGAGGTAAATTTATTGTAATATTTATTTATTTAGTAATAATGATTAAATTTAAAAAAAAATAATTTCAGGTCAAAGTTTATTTAACATATCTAAGTGATGTGAACGCGATGGTTTCGAAATTCTACTACAACACAGGAATTCTAAATCAATCATCAGCTAAAGATATTCTAAAAACAAAAAGTTTGGAATTAATAAATATCCTAGTGGAATTTCTCACACAAAATCATTTACAGGAAGCCGTGAGTATTTGTTCAGAATTTGAAATCTTAAAAAATAGAGCACTAAACATTCCAAAAGATGCGAATTCTTTGTTTGAATTAAGCGAATACATGTCGCATGGTGCAAAAGATTTAGTATCAAATTTAGAAAAACGAGTTTTTCGATCAATTCAAACACTTGGTTCACTTCTCGAAATAACTCTCTTAACTGAAGATCATATTAATTTAAATAAACAAAATATCAATTGGATCGAAACAATAAAACCAATTTTCATTCAAAGTAACACATTATCCGAAGCAATGAAAAGTGAATCCGAAGACGAACTCCAACGTGAAATAACAATATTAAATTTAGAAATTGATCAACTAATTCCTGAGTTTGTAATTCTAGACGATATGGACGATGCAAAACGAGTTCAAGATTATCGGGAATATTTACAAGGTCTTGTGAGAAAAATGCATCAAATTGAAAAAAAGATTTATCAAATTAATTTTGAGGAGAGATTATTTAAATTTCCTGAAACAAATTTTCCCAAAGACATGGAGTTACGAGAAGTTATTGAACCATTTTCAGCTCTTGTTCAATTAATTTGTGAATGGCAACGTGATCATGAAGTCTGGCTAAAAGGTCCATTTGAATATCTTGACGCCACAGTGATTGAACGTAAAACAAAATATTTTCATCAAGAAATCAGCGAGAGTAATAAAACATTTAAATCAAAAATTAAAATGGATGTTACTGCCAATAAGGCGTATAAATTTTCTGGAATTGTTGATGATCCAGATCCAATGCAACAACCAGCACCGCTAAAATTATGTTGGCAAGTTCTTAAAGATATTAATAATTTTATTAATTTTGTTCCACTTGCCATTTGTTTTTGTAATCCTGCTCTAAGAAAACGTCACTGGAATGAAATGTCCTCAGTTTCTGGATTTAATCTTCAACCAAATGCGGGAACAACTCTGAAAAAAATAATCGAACTTGATTTAATGAAACACATCGAAATCTTTCAGGTAATTAAATTTAGAAAAAAAAATATATATATTTTTTAAATAAAATTCAATTTTTAGGTAATCAGTACAGGTGCCAATAAGGAGTTAGCTCTTCAAAATCAAGTGGAAAATATGTTTGCAAAATGGGAATCAATAAACTTCGAAATAATCGAAACCAATGAAATTTTCCATTTCGTCGAATCAGAAACAATTGAAATTCTCCTTGACGATCATTTTTCAAAAATTCATGATATTCGTGGTTCCTATTTTGTAAAACCGGCAGAAATTCGTGTACTCGAACTTCTCGATGATTTAACGCGGATAAAAATTTTTAGTAAAAATTGGCGATATCTACAATTACAGACAAACAAATTGTTGCCATTATTTTCAAATTGTCAAGCAATTGATCAACTTCCCGAAGAATCGATTTTATTTTCTCGCATAAAAAAAGCACTTTTTGAAATTAGAGAAATTATCTTCTCTCAACCGGCATTTAATCAAATAGGAAAAAATCAGGAATTAATAAAAAATCTAGAAGAAAATAATTCAAATCTAAAAATTATACAAGAAAGCATACAAATCTATTTAGAAAAACAAAGATTTGATTTTCCGAGATTTTTCTTTATCTCCGATGATGAGGTACTAAAAATTCTCTTCAATAAACAGCAACCCTCAATTTTTGGATTATATCTCACAAAATGTTTTCCGGACGTAAAAACTTTCTGTCTAACAAAATCATTGAAAATTAAATCATTAATTGGTGATTTTAGTGAAAAAATTAATTTTCAAAATTCAATTGTAATAAAAAAATCCAATAAAACCTGGTTAATTGAATTAGAATCAGAAATTAGGAGAACTTTACAGGGAAAATTATTCAAAGCTTGGGAAAATTTTGATTACGAATCAATTTTCCTAAATCCTGGAATGATTATTTATTGTTGTTGGCAAATTCATTGGACAAGACAAATTGAAAATAGTTTCGATGTGGAAAAACTGAAAAATCACAAAGTTAAACAAAAAGAATTAATATCGAAAACATTGAATCAATTAAAATACGATAATTCGAGATTAAATCGAAATAATTTATCATCATTGATAATTCTTCAAATTTATCAAAATGATATAATTGAATCGTTAATAACAAAAAATGTAAAATCATCAAACGATTTTAATTGGAAATCTCAGCTACGTTACTATTCTAATGATTCAATTCAAGTTGAATTGATGAATGCTTCAATAAATTATGGTTTCGAGTATAATAATCAATTTTCAATAGTAAATACACCTTTAACTGAGAGATGTTATCAAACATTAATGGAGGCTTATAATTATAATTATTTTGCAAGTCTTATTGGACCATCAGGTTCGGGTAAAACGGAAACTGTGAAAAGTTTAGCGAAAGCATTTGCTCTTCTCTTTCACGTCTACAATGGAAATGATAAATTAAATCTCGAATTCATTGATAAAATTCTCAAAGGACATGTTTTATGTGGAGCTTGGATTTGTATAAAAAATTTCGATCAAATCAATGAGGGAATTTTATCTGTAATTTCACAAACAATTGTCTCAATTTCAAAAGCAAGAGAAACTGGAATTATCCACTTTGTTGATGGAACTCTAATAAATTTTAATAAATCTGGTTTTATCACGATTGTTCTAAATTCTGAAAATTCAAAAAAATCTTATCTACCAGAAACAATTAAATATCGTTTTCGTACAATTGCAATGATTCAACCGGATATAAATCATATTTGTCAGGTTGAATTATTTGCCGCAGGATTCAAAAACTCTGAAATTCTTGCCTTAAAAATAAAAACAGTTTATCAATTTTGTTTCGAATTATTAAAACCTTATTATTTTGGCTTAAGAAACGTGAAACTTATTTTAAAAATAGCGATTTGCTTAAAAGAACAATTTCCAAATGAAGAGGAAAATATTTTAATTGTTCGTGCATTAATTGACGTGAATATATCGAAATTTACTGAATTTGAAATTAAAATTTTCCAAGGAATTTTAAATGATATTTTTCCTGGCATTTCATTGCCAAATTTAAATTTACAAAAATTTCTCCAAGCATTTGAAGAAATTTGTCAAACTTATTGTCTCAATGAAAATGTAAATTTTAAACTTAAACTTATACAAATTTACGAAATGATTTATGCACGTGATGGAATTATAATAATAGGTGAACCATTAGCGGGAAAATCGACAGTTCTAAAAATATTGAGAGAAATTTTAATATTAATCAAAGAACAAATTATCCTCGAAACTATTAATCCGGGAGCAATTTCAATTGATCAACTCTATGGTTATTATAACAAAATCACAAAAACATGGAAAGATGGAATTTTTTTGAAAATATTTCGTGACAAATTAAAAAAGTGGATCATCTTCGATGGACCAATTAATAATTGGATTGAAAATTTATATTCCCTTTTGGATGACAATCGAACATTAATTTTAAATTCACATGAAAAATTAACAAAATCCTCGGAAATGAAATTTTTCATCGAAACTTTAGATCTTGAACATGTTTCACCTTTAACGATTTCTCGTTTTGGAATCATAAATATACAGATTGAAGACTGGAGAAATTATCTGAAACCTTTAATCAAAAATTTAGAGATAAAAATTTTGGAAAATTACGAAATCATTGTTTATTCACTTTTTGATTGGACAATCGATACTTGTGTGAAATTTATTGAAAAAAATTGTCAAACAATTGTGAAAGTGAATAATATACATTTAGTAATGTCCACTTTTAATTTATTTCGTATACTCCTAAGAGAAGCCTTAATAGAAAATTCTTTCGAAAAAGGAAAACAGGAATATTTAATGTCATGGGTACAAGCAATTTTTATTATTTCTACAATTTGGTCATTATCAGGAACACTGGACACTAATTCTTTAAAATTATTCAATTCCTTTTATCTCTCATTATGGAATTCATCGACCGAAAATCGACCCAATTGTTTAAAACAAATTGAAATGTCATTTCCAAATGAAGGTTTATTAACCGATTACATATATATTTTTAAAGGAACCGGAAGTTGGAAACATTGTAGCGATTTAATGAAAAATGAAAAAATTCTCGAAAATCCTGGATTTAAAGATATTTTCATTCCAACTGTTCATTCAATGAAATATTCTCTAATATTTCAAAAACATGTGAATCAAAAGAAACCATTTATTCTCTGTAGTGACGAAACATTAGGAAAAACTTCTCTACTTCAAGATTTATTTTCCAATAAATTACCAGAAACATTTACGACAAATAATTTTCATTTTACATCGCGAATTACAGGGCAAAAAGCACAAAGATTATTTCTTTCGAAATTAATAAAAAGAAAACGTGACGATTATGGTCCATTGAAACAATTTTGTATCAATTTTATAGACAATTTTAATTGTGATTATTTTCTTGAAAATAATTCAACTTTAGAATTATTGAGACAATTTTTCGATTATGGACATTGGTATGATATTGAGAATTCAAAAATTTTCATTCACGACACAACATTTATAATGGAAATGAATAAGATTAATAAAAATATTTGTCGACGATTTTTGCGACATTTTAATATTTACATGATGCATATACCATGTAAAGAGAGTATATTTAAAATATTTACAAATCTTTTGTTTCTAAATTTAAAAAAAAATTCCTTTGCAATGGATGTAATGCCAAGTTTAAATGGAATTGTTAATGCGACGATTGAATTTTATTTTTCGATAAAGGAAAATTTGAAACCAATTCCTGACAAGTTACAATATATTTTCAGTTTAAAGGATATTTCAAGAATAATACGTGGCTGTAGTATTGTTCAGAGAGAATCAGTCGAGACGAAAATAACTTTTATTCGTCTCTGGGTTCACGAAGTATTTCGTGTATTTGCCGATCGAATAATCGATGAGAATGATGAAAATTGGTTTTTCTTGAAATTAAAAGAATGTGTGAAATCAAATTTTAAAGATTCGTTTGAATCGGTTTTTGATCATCTACCAAAATCCAAACACGACGAATTGACAAGCGATAGTTTTAAATTTTTACATTTTGGTAATTTTATGGACGAGAAAAATGATTCGCAAAAATATGAAGAAATCAATTCAATGGAAAATTTACTAAATAAAGTGAATTCATTTATTAGCGATTATAATGCAGAGAATAAAATAAAACTCGATATTGTCATTTCTCGTTTTATTATCGAGCATTTAATTCGAATTTGTCGAATAATGTCAATACCGGGTGAGAATTTATTAATGATTTGCTCAAGTGGTTTCGGTAGAAAATCATTAATTAGACTCGCGAGTTTCATGGAAAAACAAAATTTATTCGAACCAAATTTAGACTTTTACTATAATCTTGAATCATGGCGACGGGATTTAAAATCCCTTTTCAAAAATTGTGCCAGTAAAAATGAAGATTATACAATTTTAGTAACAGATCGTGATTTAAAGGATGAATTTCTAGACGATGTGATGAGTTTATTGGAAACTGGTCAAATTCCAGAATTATTTAATCACAATGACGAGAGGGAAATTGTCAATAAAGTTCGTTTAGCAGCTCAAAATGGAAATCGAAATCTTGAATTAACAATATCCGAAGTTTTAGATTATTTCACAAAAGAATGTAAAAAGAAACTTCATCTCATTGTTTGTCTATCTTGGATTAATTTCACTAAATTGGGTAAAAATTTTCCTTTAACAAAATCATGTACAATTAATTATCTTTCATCATGGCCAAAAGAAACATTTGAAAAAGTATCTAAAAAATTTCTTAAAGAAGTCCCAATGAAGGAGGAAATAAAAACAGAGATTATTGTATGTTTTCAATTTTTTCACACCAATATTGTTAGTGAAATTGAAAAAAATTTGAAAATTCAAATTACCCCGACAATTTTTGTTCGTCATGTGAAATTGTATAGAAAAATAATTCTCGCTAAACAAAAGGAATTAAAAATTGCTAAAAGTAAATATATGTCGTGTTTGGAGAAATTAAAACTCGCCTCGAATCAAGTCGATCAAATGAAAAAAGTTCTAATGACATTGAGACCACAACTTGAATCGTCAGCTGAACAAACGAGAATTACGATGGAAGAAGTAGAAAATGAAAATTTAGCGGTTGAAAAAGCGACAATAATTGTCAAAGATGAGGAAAAAATTGCTAACGATAAGGCTGAAATCGCTGGTAAATTGCGAACAGAATGTGAAACTGATTTAGCAGTTGCAATTCCAATTCTCGAGGATGCAATATCAGCTCTAAATACTTTAAAACCAGCCGATATAACTCTAGTGAAAGCAATGAAAAATCCTCCTGACACTGTGAAATTAGTAATGGCTGCTGTATGCGTAATGCTCGATGTACCATCCGAGAGAATACTCGATCCCGTGACAGGTAAAAAAAGTTCCGATTATTGGGGTCCAAGTAAACGTGTTCTAGGCGATATGAATTTTCTGCAAAATTTAAAAGACTACGATAAAGACAATATTTCCCCGTCAATAATGCAAATAATTAAAAACACCTACATGACTGATAAAAGTTTCCTTCCACACATTGTCGCAAAAGCCTCAAGTGCCGCCGAAGGTCTCTGCAAATGGGTTCGCGCAATGGTTTCCTATGACGAAGTCGCCAAAGCCGTTGCGCCGAAAAAAGAAAAATTAGCCTTGGCCCAAAAAGAATGCGACGATGCCGAGGCATATTTAACGGAAAAACGCGAAACACTCGCCGATTTAAATGAGAGACTGGCAAATTTAAAAACAAGTCTCGAAACAGTTTTAGCCAAAAAACAAGAACTTGAGAAAGAAGTCGCTGATTGTACGGACAGATTACAAAAAGCCGAGAGTCTTTTAACGAGTTTAGGAGGTGAAAAAAGTCGATGGATCCGTTGCACTGATAATTTACAAAAATCATTTAATTCATTACCCGGTGATATTCTCCTAGCCTCTGGTCTTATTGTCTATCTCTCTTCGTTTATTCTCCCAAAACGAGAATTATTCCTTCAAAATTGGACCCAATTCGTCAAAGATCATAAAATACCAATAAGTGATAATTTCCAATTTACCAAAATTCTAGCCAGTGAAAATCAATTTTACTCCTGGTATCTCTCTCATCTTGTTGAAAATCCCTTTATTCATCAAAATGCCGTAATTATGGATATCTCTCACAATTGGTGTCTATTCATTGATCCACAAAATCAAGCCAAACAATGGATAAAAAATCTGGAAAAAGATTTAATTATTATCAAATCGTACGATAAAAATTGTATCGACACAATTTGCAATTGTATAAAACTCGGAAAACCGATTTTAATCGAAAATTTCCAAATTCTACAAGCATGGTTAGATCCAATTTTTTATTGTTCAACATACATGGAAGAAGAAAAAATTTACATTGAAATAAAAAATGAAAAAATTCCCTATTCTGAAAAATTTCGTTTCTACATAACTGGAACAATTTCAAAAATAACAACGGAAATTTTTAATCGTGTCACTCTTGTTAATTTCACATTTCCCGAGGAGGCATTAACGGAAAATTTACTCGACATTGTGATTGCTAAGGAAAATTATCAAATACAGGATAATTATGAAAAATTATTGTCAGAATTGTCACACGATAAAATGGCACTCAATAGAGAAGAGGAAAAAGTTTTGAATATACTCTCAACATCCAATGTTAATATCCTTGAAGACAAAAAAGCATTGAAAATTTTAGATTCTTCGAAAAATACATCAATCGATATTTTAAAACGCAATCAAACAACAATAAAAGAAAAAAATAAAATCGAATTATTTCGTCAAGGCTATAGGGAATTTGCTCAATATTCCGCGCAACTTTATTCCATTATCAAAAGTTTGGCAAATTTACATCAAATGTATATTTTTTCCCTACCCTGGTACTATCAACTCTACACAAAATCAATAGAAATTTCCAAACGTAGTACAATTTTACAAAAACGTTTAGGTTTCTTAAAATTCCAAATTACGAAAAAATTACATTCGAGCGTTAAAAATACCCTCTGCGAGAAAGATAAATTAATATTCTCATTTATACTGTGTTTAAAAATGTTACAAGTGAAGGGAAATATTTCTCAAGATGAAATCAATGCCTTTTGGAAAATAGAAATTAATTTAGAAAAACAATGGAATCGAGAAAAATTTGAAGAAATAATTTTTCAAATAAATTCAAACCTCGGTGAAAATTTTCGTCAAAATTTACAAGAATGGAAAAATTATTTCCATAATCCACGAGAATCAATTATTAAAGAAATGAATTTTGAAAAATTGATAATTATGAAAATAATTCGTCCCGATCGAATTCTGGTGTCCATTATCGATTTTATTGAAACAACTCTTGGTAATTTGGAAGTAAAAACTAAATTTCAAACATGTGATATTTCATTGGGTTTTGATGAATCCACATGTTTAAGTCCATTAATTTTTATTCTACCAAGTCATGTGTCAATTTTACCAATTATTTTTAAATTTGCAACACAAAAAAGGTGCGCTTCAAAATTATTATCACTCTCACTAGACGAGGATCAAACGGAAAAAGCTGAATTTCTAATTAAAGATGCGCAAAAAAATGAAAAATGGCTTTTCTTAGAAAATTGTCACTTGGCTCAAAATTGGTTACCTAAATTAGAAAAAATTATTGAAAATTTCAATGCCACGAATACATCACTTGGATTTCGCCTATGGCTTTCAACTTTACCCACTGATAAATTTCCACCAAGTATTTTGCAATCAGGAATTAAAATCTCCTGTGACACTCCAATTGGTTTAAGAGAAAATTTATTATCAATTTACATTTCCGAGCCAGTTAGTGAAAAAAAATTCTTCGATGGCTGCCCAGGAAAGGATAAAATTTTTTCCAAACTATTATACTCATTAAGTTTTTTTCATGTCATTTTAAAAAAAAGAAAATACTACGATCATCGAGGATGGAATTTAAATTACAATTTTAATCAATCAGATTTCTCCCTAAGTGCAATACAACTTCAAAGTCTTATTAACACAAATCAAGAAATACCTTTTCAGCCATTTTTACATTTAATCAATGAATGCAGTTATGGAAGTAAAATAACAAATCAATTCGATAGAAAACGTTTAGGAATTTTTATAGATGATTTTTTTAATCCTAAAATAAACGAACCATTTTATTCATTTTCTCATGAAGTGGGATTTTCAATGCCAAGAAGACACGAGTACAATGACTACATCAAACAAATAATGGAAATTGGAAATGACTGTAATCCGGAATTTTTTGGTCTTGACGAGAGTGGAGAAGTAATTAAAAATTTAAAACAAGTGAAAAACTTTCAACATTCTTTCAATGTTTTAAATGAAATTGAATTTGATGTTAAAATTGAAATGAAAATGGTTCTAGAAATAATTTACCAAATTCGTGAAAAAATGAAAAAAAGGTTTGATGTGGAAGAAATAAAAGTAAAATATCCAATTAGTTACAAGGAACCACTGCACGGAATATTGATACATGAAATTGAAATTTTCAATTTTATTTTAACATATTTGGAAAATTCTTTTTGTGACATCGAAAACGCCTATAGTGGTAATGTAATGTGGAAAACGGAATTTTACGATTTAAGTAAAAATCTTATCTTGAATTTCATTCCTGAATTTTGGAAAACAAAACTAAATATCACAACTTGTTTAATTTCTACCTTCATTGAAAATTTACGAGAACGAATTAATTTCCTGGAAAATTGGATTAATCACGGAAATCCAAAATCGTTTAATTTAGGATTATTAGATTCAAGTAAAGCTCTTCTAATTGCAATTAAAATGACATTTGCGAGAATTAAAAATCTTTCAATTGAGGATATTAATTTTAACTTTGAAATAACGTCAACGTTTGAATTGACAAATTCTATTGATTTTCAATTTTATGGATTATTATTACAAGGTGGACGATGGAATATTGATAAGAAAATATTGGAAAATAATTTTTCAAACACAATTTGGCATCAAATGCCTTTGATATGCTTAAAAGAGAAAATTAAATGTAAAGATAATTTTAAATTAAATGATAGATACAATTGTCCCCTATATAAAGTACCATATCAAAGAAATTGTGAAAATTATTTAGATGATGAGAATAATTTTATTATAAAAATACCTTTATTAAGTGAGATTGACGAGAAATATTGGATTAAAAAAGGCACTGCATTATATTGCAGAAAAGAATAAAATTTTAGTTTTTTCTTTAAAGTTGTAATTTTATATAAATCTTTTTTGTATTCGATAAAATAATTCATAAATATTAATGATATTATTAAAGAAAAACAGTAAAAAATTATTCTCCAAAATATCGAATGTAAATATTTACATTTGATTTTAGGTTATGTAATATTTTGATATGGCAACAATTTATACATTTTTTATGATAATCAATTATAAATAATAAATTCTCTATATAAATATTGCAAATTTTTTGAGAAATTACCTTGAATTTGCATGATTTAAACTATTTAAACAAAAAATTGTTATTAGTAAAAATTTTAACAATACTTACACAAACAATTGTTTTAAATCCTATTTTTTTTAAATCAAATCCACTTCATCGGCCTAGTATTATGTTTCGTAGACAATATATCAACAATCCTTGATAATAATTAATAATATTTCATCAAGAGACATAAACTTCCGTAAATATGTAATTGAGGTTATGTATATTAATCACGCTGTACAGTTGTCACAAATTCCTTCAATTGTATTCTGAAAAATATAACATAATTATAATAATGTAGATAGTTTAAAATAATGATACATTAATAAAATCAACTAATAAACGTTTTATAATACAATAATATAATAAATGAAATACAATCAAATAACTGTCATTTTTAAAAGTAAAGGTACATTTACAACTTTGGTAAAACTTTGTATTTTTTGAAATACATTTACCTGATTGGTTGTCCACAATGAATCAGATTCTGGACAACCAATCAGGTTTGTCTATTTCATAAAATGAAAAGTCCCTAGATAAGAATTACAAATTGTATACTCGGCATAAGGTGCGCATGCGCATTACTGGCGCGTTCACTAATTAAAAATTTTATATATATAGATATACGCTTTAATAAATGGTGAAGTTTTAAGTTTGTAAACGCCGATCACGCGGTAAATACTATAGGGTTATGTGAATTTTATCCTTGAATTTGCCACGATTTGCGTGCAAATATATTCGCGGCTTTAATAATTAATAAAAAAGCCGCGATAAAAATGTTCATTTTTGACGTTCTACGAAAGGACAAAGTGTACCAGGTTATTGTTAGTGATCTACGAAGATTTGGTGTCAAGTATCGCCATAAGAAGAATGCATCAGTGAAAACGGATAAACCGGAAAGAAATGGCAATCAACCACAGAAGGTAAATTGAAATGTTTATTTTCTCCACATAATTTATATTGAATTTTTTTGATAATTGCGTTAAAACCGAATAATGTAGAAGTAAACGAAATTTTATAGCGTAGCATCATTTCCAATGATATCAATATCATTATCTAAACTGCTGTTTTGTAATTATTACATAAATTCACAATAGTGCGATAGTATGCTCGAGTGAATTCGCTTTTTTCCTTTCAGACTATTGACACAATTCTTTTTTTAATGGTAAAAGAAAAAAATTAATTTTTACGAAAAATTGTGAAAAAGCGGATATGTATTTTGACTCATCTGTCACTTGTGTAAATTGATTATAAACGTTATCATTTGAAAAAATAACTAGATAAAAAGAAAAAATTATCTTGTTTTTTTTTTCTTAATAAAAATTATATTTGTAATTTTTTTTTATTAGATCTTCAAAGTACATTTAACATGTCTTCCACTGGATCTTGTGAATTTATCGTCGGGGGCGATGGTTCATATTCCAATATTCGTCATACAAGCGACGGCCTATCTTTTGAATTATATCGATTTAGAGGGAATATTTAGAAAAGCGGGTTCGAAAATTCGTCAAAGAGAAATATTATCTCGACTTGATAATGGTGGTTGTTTGGCGGATAAAGATCATGGAATTGACATTGCTAATTGCTTAAAGACATTCTTTCGTGATCAACCTGAGCCATTGATACCATTTTATTTTCACGATTTATTTGTACGTTGTGTTGTATTGAAAAAAAATCGTATCGAAGCATTACTTATGGCTTGTTTATTATTGCCACCAATACATCTCAATACATTGGCATTTCTTATGGAATTTTTGAAAAAAGTCGCATCATACGAACAACTCAATAGAATGAGTATTGTTAATTTAGCAACTGTCGTTGGACCAAATATTATGCCAATAAAAGAAGCTACAATGGGCGCTATTCAAAGTCGATTAGAGACACATAATTTAGTTGTTCAGGTGAGTAGAATTTATTTTTATTTTAATTATTTAAAATTTAGATTTAGATAAAAATGGAAAAAATTTTTTTTGTTTAGCTACTGATTGAAAATGCTGAAAAAATTGGTGTTTTACCCGATCATATTACAGAGACAATTTCCGCTGAATGTGAAATTGGTAGTACGGAAAATGAGCTTGAACGTTCCGATAATAATTTAACAAAAAGTAAAAAGAAAAAACATCGAAGCGGAAGCTTCACACGTAAGCCACATCTAAGTGCTTCGAATCTCAATTTAAGTATGTTTTGTAACTAATAATTCCTATCTAATCTCTAACTTCTGATTTTCCCTCGTCTTTCTTTTCTTGTTTCATTTAAGTGTTCATCATTTTAAACATTTTCTTTATACTAATACAATTACTAATATCTAACAAAAACTGCATGAATAATTAAAAAAATTATTATGTAATAATTTTTATCATTTTTTCCTGTGGAAATGTATTTTTTTTTTATCATTTAGATATTTTCATTTAAAATTTGTGTCATTGCTTTTTATAATAAATAAATGTTACATAATTGTTAATTAAGAGTTTAATTTAATTTTACAGGAATGTTAAGTGGATTAAAGAAAATGGTGGGCAAAACTTCTCCCCATGATGGTGAACCAGTTTGTGAAGGATCGAATTCGGTTTTTTTATACACTCCTTCCCTGAGAATAGGGAAAAGACGCAAAGTGGAAGCAGTAAATGATGAATTAAATATAAAGAAAGAGTAAGTTTTTATTTTAAAAAAATATTTTTTTCTCTTATTGTAAATGAGTGTTTTAACAAATACGCACGCACAATTATTGCACAAAGTAAATAATTATTTTTGTGTTCATTCTCCTATAGCGAACTTTCTCCATTTCTTTATCTATATTTATTTTTCACGTTTTGTAACTCGTTAATTATTTCCGTATTTTTCTAATATACTTTCCTCATTATTTTTTTTTTTAATTTTGTTCCACTTGGTTAATTTCTTTTTTAATTGTATACTTTTATATTTTTTGTTTTCCTTTCTGTGCAAGTTTTTCTTTTGAATATTTTTGTTTCATGTTTTAAAATTAATTTTTTTTTTTGCTTTAAAGAGTGAGTTGTTTGTTTTAGAATTTGATCTTCTAAACGAGTTATTTTTTTCTATTAAAACTTGTGCCACTTATTACACACCCTTTTTTGTTATTTAAATTTTAATTACTTATTATTGGCTTTACACAATGCACTTGATGTTTAAAATTTCTGGTTGCCTTGCAGAAATGATTTATTGGAAGTCATGCCTGAAAGATTTCCCCTTCGCTCACGTTACTTGTTACACTCCCCAGTTAATAATCATCCAAAGTATGTAGTGCATGTCTTTTTTGCTTATGTGTTTGTTTATTAAATATATTCTCTAAATCACTATTAAAAATCTTGATCGATGAAATTACAATTTCAATAAACTAATTTAATTATTTTTCACTTACCTAATCATATATATAAAAAATATTTTATTAATTTTTTATTATTATTACTTGTTTATTGATAATTAGGTTTATAAATTATATTTCAAATATCAAGATTTTTAATTAGAAAAAAAATTGTGCTTTAAATATCACTGAATTTATTAATTTTTGCACCTCTTTTATTTTATGTAGCCCTATAAAAGACGGAACTCCGACTCATATGTCCAGAGTGGATAAATTTATATCCAGTCGTAAAGTTCCTACAGAAATGTAAGAATTTTTTTTAGACAAACTCTCTTATATTTATTTAAAAGAAGTTGATAGAAAAAATTGAATTTTCACTTTTTTGGTTTTTACTATATTCTATAAAAGTAATAAAAATTTTTGTTTCTTTACAGAAAACCCATAAATAAGACGGAAAAAACAAAGAAAATAAGACTTAGCTTTGATAGATTTGTCTCACGAACTAGACAAGTGAGTTGAAATTTAATTTTTTAACATTTTCATTTAAAAAACAATAAAAAAAAATTATTGTATTTATTTATTTTTTTTTGCAGAAAACATCAGAAGCGGAACATATTATAGAAAATGATAAACCACTAACAAGAAGACGAAGTTGGAGTATAACTGGACGACCAATATTATCATCATCATCATCATCGTCCGAATTAAAGAAAAAACGTCGAAGCGATTGTTCAACAAATCGTTCGCTATCGCGTGAAACAAAAATTCCAAAATTAAATTCAGAAAAAGAATACGATGAAATATTCATGGACGCTAATATTAATTTATCGGACATAAGTGGCGAGCCGGCCTCGCGTGATAAATGTAAATCAACGCGTATTATTGCCACAAGATCAAGTACATCTGACATTCCAAATAAAATTTCCAAAGATAATAATTCAATTTTATATTCGACTAATACAAGTGATTATGTTTCTCATAATGAATCTTCATCAATTAATGATTCATTAACGACTGATGATTTAGAAAAAAATACTAACAAAAATGAAGAATATGTAAAAGTTCCAAAAAGTGAATATTTGGATATTAAAAAACGTGTCTCAGCTATTGAAACACAAATATCACAAGAATTTGGTACATTTGCTAAGGAATCGATAAATAATTTAAGAAGAAGAAATTCCGTCGATACAGTACAAAGTGAATATGAAAAAACATTGGAACAATCAAATATTGGAAATACAATGAATGCTGATCAACTTGCAAAGAGACTTGGCAAAGAATTGAAAATTCGACGATCAAGTGAACATAAAATTATTCGTTCACCAAGTGCGAGAAAAATTGGCGTTCTTAGACGAAGATCACAGGAAAAGCCAATCAGGTATTATTTTTTCTTTTAATTTATTTTTCACTAAACAAATTTTCTCTTTAATTTACTACTAATTTTTTTTCTTTTTTCAGCAAACGAATAAAACGTACATCATCGTGGCACGTTTCTGATCGAACTGATTCATTGCGACGATCAACATTAAATAATTTTTACACAAATACAAAAGATAATCAAAATTTAATGAAATCAAATGATCTGGGTGTTGCTGCATTAGAAACGGAAACATTTTGCAGCGAAGAAACAAATAAAAGACTTAATTATTTACAAGATCAATTATTAACATTAATTGATCACACTAATAAACATACTAAAGGTTCATTTAGTGATGATGATTTTAGTTCAAATGATAATCATACACTAAATGGTAATAAATTAAATTTGAGTACAAAAGTAAGAAGAATCTCATCTTTCCATGGAAATGAATTTATCGATAATTCACAATATTTTAATCGAATGGTGAAAGATTTAAAAAAATCATCGAATATTGTCAATAATGAAGTAACACCAGCGAAAACCAATTTACCCTCGGATAAAAAGGATAAAGTTATGTCGTGGAAAGATGCCGAAAAGTGAGTTTAAATTTAATTATAAATTTAATGTTCAATTTATTGATTTTTGTTAATGTTTTCTTTTTCTTTTCACAACAGATACTTTAAATCTGAAGGACAAATACCGACTCCAGTTCCAGTGACGGGTCGTGCGTCTGTTGCCAAATTACGAACACAAAATGCCGGTATGGTATTGGCAAAGGCAAAATTGTTTGACGACACAAAACGAACTCCAATTCAATGTGAAGTTGCTAATGATAGGAGAATTTCACATTATCAGGGACGTGAAACAAGACGTCAATCAATGCGTTCAAAGGAAATAAAAAATCTCACTACTGTTGATATTACCGATAGTCCACGACGTGTTGCTCTTCGTCGTAAAAAAAGTGAAAGTCCAAAAAATCCCAGTGCCAAAGTACGAATAACAAAATCGCCAAATTCTATTAAAATGGAATTAACCCTCGTTCAAAATCATGATTCATCGCCACATCATCATAATAGAAAATGTACAAATACAACAAAACGCACATTAAATTATCAAAAGGAAAATCATGCAACATTGAATTTACATACACCAATGAGAAAGGATTCACTAATTATTCACGAATCAAATGTTGATAATAGTGCAATTTATAAGACGCCATTGATTAAAAAACCCTTAGCTGTTGTTCGTACACCAAAAAGTGGTAAACCATTAACACGAAGGCCAGCAATTGACGTTAAACGTACACCATTGAAAGCAATTGGACCACTTGCCACTCCAAAACGACAGAGTCCGCGGAGTATATTAAAAACATCACATTTAACTGCTAGACGTTTTAGTTAAAAAAAAAAAAAACTAACTTCTATTCATGTACAGGTTTAATTCTTTAAGAAACAAAATAATGTTTCAGTGTGATTTACTTTTTTTTATAATATATTATTTTTTTATACATATACATATATATATATATAATATTTAAAATTCCTCGCGAAAAAAAGACAAAGCTTTTTTTTAGTATTTAGAAAAACAAAAATTATTTTGAAAAAAATAGTCTCACTGTAAATTTTTCAAAATGATAATTAAATTAGAAATACTTTGATCGAATTGAAATATTTTTGAGACTTGCTTCATAAAGTATTCAATTTTTTTTTTGTTTTGTTTTTGTGTATATTTCTTTTGTTTAGAGGGGAAGCTAATAGGAATTCTTTTGGTCTTGAAATCGCAAATTATTCTTATTTTTTTTTGATAAATAGAAAGAGGTTCTTATTTTCCTCTTTAAGAAAAATATATGAAAATTAAAGAGTTTTCATTAGACTAAAAAATGATTGGAAAATGAAACGATTCTGAATGTAGTATTTAACTTAATAATTATGCGTGAAAAATAATGGCATTTGCTGTATTTACATCAAAAAATTACTCTGATATTAAAAATACACATGTATTATTGTACTTTTTTTTTATAGAACAATAAATCGTGTAATATATATTATATTATATATACATAACGGAAAACTTTCTATTTATCTTTTTTCGACTTTAAAGAAAATTGTCTCCCTTTTTTAGAAAAATAAGTTTTCTTATAAGAATTTTTTTTTTTTTATTTCTCTTTATATAAGTTATCGATTTTAAATGAGATCAATTAGAAAATATTTTTTTTAAACGCTTGGTAAAACAAAAAAATCTTTAACAACATCTTGGACAACGAATTCTTCGTCTGGAAAAATGTTACAAATATTTACAATTTATGCAAAAATCTATTCAATTATAATATATGTTAATTACCTTTTAGATTGACTCACAGCACCGGAATGATTTATGTGTCTATGTCTCTTCCAAATTTCGTGATTTGGATTTATTTTTCGCATTACAGTTTCACAACATGTTCGCGATATTGTTCCTCGATATCCAATTTGTCGAAAGAGATATTTTTGTAAACAAAAAATGTCCAAATTTTCATCTTCAGTTTCTAACCAAAGTTGAACATCCTGAAGAACATCATCGTCGTCCTCTTCCATAGCCAAAGCTAAATGTCTGAAAATTATCAATTTACATTTCATTAAAATTGACAAAAAAGAAAAATTTCAGAAAAGATTTATTTTTTAACTCACAAAGCAACAAGAAAATTAATAGCTGTATATTCATCAACAGGAAGATCTGCTCTTATAAAATAAACAAAAACCATTGCTATGAGATAATTATCAGCTAATCGATAACATTTATCGTATTTTAAAAATGCAACTAAATCTTCGTCTGAAAAAAATTCGAGGTTAAAATGCATATTTTTTTTTTTATAAATAAATTGAAAAGAAAAAATGAATAATTACCAATGATTTTAAAAAAATTCTCAATTTGCCATGGTCTAATTGTAAGAATACGTTTATTTTCTGCTTCGTAATCGTAAATTAATTGTGATTTATAATAACCATTCATTTTTTGCAAAAAATTACAAACAACAGTAAACATAATATTTACTTGATTTTTTTAACAACAACAGGATTTTTTTTTCTTTTTTCCTATACAGAATCAAAAATATTACTGTTGTTTTATAAGAATACTCTTTTTAATTAACATAAAGTTATTAATAAAACGTTAAATTATAAAATTGTTTATATTATTACAAAATACAACAATAAAATTTAAATTCCAAATAACGCCTTCACTGCGCATGTCAAAAATGAACAATTTCATAGACCAATCACAGTGCACCGTTTGTCCTTTTTGATTAATTTTTAAAATCCCTTATTTAAATAAACTAATAAATTTTCAAATTTTTTATTAAATTCTAAAATAATTTCAAACTAATTTTTCTAATTTCACAAAAACTAATATTTACTATTTCAAAAAATATAATATTCAATGAGAATAATTAACTGTAAAATATTGTTTAATATGTTTTATTAAAAATAATTATTTCGCGGTTAAAACAGCCAGACGACACGTATGTGTCATGTAGTTCGATAAAATACCGCAAGTATCAGCGCTTTCTTTGCAGTTGTCAAAACGTAAAATTTTCGGTGTGATAAGTTAACAAGAAGATAAATTAAAAATCAGCCTCCTGGCTGGAACAAAATTTTGAAAAAAAAAGATGAGGGTGGCGGGCATAATGCTGATAAGCATTGCTCTAACGAGCTTTGTTATCGGCAATGCTTATTACCAAAAAAAACAATTTTATCCCTCCGTGGTCTACATAACCAAGTCCAATCCCAGTATGGCTGTAAGTTTTTCATGTTTTTTACATGTTTATCATTTGTATAATTGACTTTTAACATTGTTATACAATTCTCAAGGATATTAACAATTTGTCAAATCACATGGATTTATTTCTTATTGCTCAGTTCATTATTTATGTCACATTAAAAATCAGTTTATCCCAACCATATTCCATTGTTTAGTATATGATAATAATACACCTCAATATTTTTTTTTTATCATTCTTATTTATTTACCTTGAACGAAATGTTCAGATAAATATTTCAATTAAATAAGAGTTCAAATTTTTTTCAATTGTATTTGTTTATTAAAAAAAAATTTATATTTAACGAAAGAGACATTTTTTTATATGAATTTTTATATTAGTAAATTATCTATCCCAGATAATAAAGAATAAATGAATATTGTCTACATTGTTATCACTTTGCGCACCTTTTTTTTCATGTAATGACAATTATTGACTTCAAAAATAATTGTATGAGGAATTTTTTTTTATAACGTTAATTTTTTGTTTTGAAATTAATTATTTTCCATGAATTTCTAAAATAATTGTAAATTTATATTACTTGAAATAATTATTAGATAGTTTATTTTGATAAATGAATGTAAATGATTCTGAGATAATTTAATTTTTTTCAGGTGATGTATGTACAAGGATTGATACTTGTGTTTATGATGAATACATTTTTAAGAAAAATATTCTTTGGCAATTTAAGAGCAGCGGAACTTGAAGTGAGTAGTTAAATTTCTTTTTTAATTGATAAAATAATCAATTTTTTGGTTTAAAAATAAGGTGGAAATTCTTGTATTTTTTATTTTTATATTATTATTATTATTTTTAGCATTTGGTGGAAAGAGTGTGGTATGCTGTGACAGAAACGTGTTTAGCGTTTACAGTTTTTAGGGATGATTTCAGTCCGAAATTCGTTGCATTATTTACACTTTTACTGTTTTTGAAATCGTTTCATTGGCTTGCTGAAGATAGAGTCGATTTCGTAAGTTTCAATTTAATTTATGTATAAATTTTTATCTTATCAGTGGTTCTACGTAATCTAATTATCTATTTCCGTAAATTCTTTTTTCTATTATTATAATTTTTATTGTCTTATGTAAAATAACATTAATTTTATTAAATTTTTACAATAACCAATTTTCGAAAGAAAATTCTGTATTTTTTTATATAGAAATAAAAATTCTGTTAATTTTAGATGGAAAGGAGTCCCGTGATAACATGGCTATTCCATCTAAGAGTGGGAACATTATTAGTTCTTTTATTTATAATAAATGTGACAATGTTTCAATATGCCTATAATTCAACACTTGCAAAAGGCGCATCAGTGCAACTTGTCTTTGGCTTTGAATACGCAATTTTATTGACCGTTGTTTTAAACATTTGGATTAAATATATTTTGCATACTATAGACTTACAAAGCGAAAATCCCTGGGACAATAAACCCGTCTTCCTTTTATATACGGAACTTGTTATTGGTCTTATGAAGGTAAGAAAAAAAATATATCATGGCTAATTAATTTTATTAATTCCTTTATTTATAAGTGAATAATTTTTATTAAATTGCTAATCGATTTGGGGAGATAATTCGGTCATTTTCTATCTATTTTTAAAATTGAAAAAGATATTAATCGAAATTATTTTCCCCTCAGGTAATTTTGTATATTGGATTTGTCGTCATAATGGTTCGAATATATACACTTCCCCTTTTTGCTTTCCGACCAATGTACTACACAATGAGAAATTTCAAAAAAGCTTTTCACGACATTGTCATGTCTCGAAGGGCAATTCGAAATATGAACACATTGTATCCTGACGCAACAGCTGAAGAATTGGCAGCGGCTGATAATGTTTGCATTATTTGTCGGTGAGTTTTTTTTTCTATTTTTTTGAAAATAAATACTTTCAAAATTAATAATGAATAATTTTTTTAAACAGCGAGGAAATGGTATCCGCGAGTAAAAAGTTACCCTGCAATCATATATTTCACACAGCATGTTTACGATCTTGGTTTCAACGACAACAAACATGTCCGACTTGTCGTTTGAATATTTTGAGACCAACAAATCGAAGAGAAACAAGACCACCTACACAACCACAAGCAACTGCTCATATTCCTCAAACTGTTCCCGTTCCTGGTGGCGAACAAAATCGTAAAAATCAAAAAATTTTATATTAAAAAATTTGAATTTAAGTTACATTTTAATGAAAATAATTAATTTTGTTTTTGCAATATTTTACAGAACAAGGTATGCCATTGCCGCCATTTTGGGCGAATTTTCAAGTTCCAGGGGGAGCAGCTCATGTTCAAGCGCAAAATAACGGGAATTTACCATTCCCGTTGCTTCAACCACTTGGAACAGGTGGAGTTCCACTTTTTGCCCCACCATTCCCACCACTGATTAATTTACCTCCAGTGCCAACTCCTCCGCCAAATTTAACAACATTAAGCGAGGAAGAATTACGTGCGATGGAAGGAAATCTTCGTCAAAACCTTGAGGCAAGAATACAAATGCTTCAAAGGATTCAACTTTTATTAGATGCCGCAAATGCAATGATGAATCAGTATCAAACTGTTGCTGCAACATTAAATACAAAGTAAATATAATTAAATTTTACAAAATAATTTTAGAATAGCTAAAAAATAATTAAATTTCTTTAGTGTACCACCACCACCGACAACATCGGCAGCGAATGAGGTTCCAGAATCGAATCAAACCTCAACAAAAGATTCCACATTGTCAAATGACATTGGAAATCATAATTCCAAGACTGTCGTAGATTTTCCAAAACCAAGTACATCAACGGAAAATAATTCGGCTCCAAGCACAAATAGTAATGACATTAGTTCATCTACTACAATAATCAACTCAGAAACCTCAGAGGAGCAGGAAAATATTAGGAGACGGAGATTACAAAAATTCACGACACAAGCAGAATAAAAAACATAAATAAAACTCTGTGTTGTGAGATTGAGAGAAGAATGATTAAGAAGTCTTATTCTCTTTTGATAGTTATTCATTCTGTGAAAGGAAAAAAAAACCGAAAAAAAAAAAGTGGTGTTCCCGACTATTTGAAGAGATTTGGAAAACTTAGGCGTTTGTTAATGGAACTACAATTGCAGAGTTTATAATGGAAAAAAATAGGAAAATTTTGTCGATTTCAGAGTGAACTCTTCTTGCTGTGTGTATGTTTGTGTGTATGAAGCAAGTGTTTTATATATATTTAAAGAAAAAAAAAAAAGAAACTCATCTATGCGCTTAAAAAGCAGATTTACTTTATTGTACATACGTAGATTTTACATTGGCGCTTTAGAGAGTTTTCTTTTCCTCTTTTTTTTCCCTCACGGCTATGATCAAATTGTGAAAAAAAGAACATTTTTCAAAAATATTCCTATTTGAAAAATTACATTAAAATTCGAATTTTTTTGAAAAATAAAAAAATTACTACTCTAAAATAAATTGAATTCAATTTGTTCATTGCCGTTTTTCTCTATTATTCAATTATTTACATTGTTTTTCTTATTATATATATATATAGTTAACTCAAAAAAATTATGAAAACATTTTTTTTTTAATTTTTTTTTCTTTGGTAATACCAAAAAGAAATAATCACCGCCGCTCATTCGCGATAAGTGTAAAAAGAAGATTTGTATTACTATATACAAAAAAAGAACATAATTTTTGGATTATATTTCATAACGAAATGTTATCGACTTTAATCCATTTATACAAAGAACGACGGCACTAATATATAAACATATATATTATTTTAATATTATTATTAATTATTAAAAAAAAAGCGTGCTATCTGTTCAATATTTTGTTTTAAACGACATCTGACGTCTGCAATAAACTTTGTTAATCTATGTTCTGTTTTTTTTTTTTGTTTATGTGATTTTACAAAATTTAAATTTCAAACATAGATTAATTTATAAACAAAATAAATATTTATTTCTTGAAATGTCTTGAAATTATTTTCTCAAATTTTCGCCAAAAGAATTCTTTAATGAAATTATCATTTTTAAATTAAAAAAAAGAATCAATAACTTTAAAAAACTTAATAAATAAATATTTATTGATCAATTACGAAAATTATTTTTTTTTTTTACAAAAACCAAAAAAAAAAATCTGTATTATCAATATGACAAATGACGATCGAACAACATGACAGAAATTCGTTTTTAGAAAATTTAGTTGCGATTTACATATTTTTTTCATAGTAATTTTATTTCTATTAACAAAAAAGGGAACGATTTTGTTTTTTTTTTATTTTAAATGAAACTATTTCATCAAGATTAAATGTCAGGGAATTATGGCATGTCACGAGAAACATTTAAATTTCAAGAGTTTATCGAAAGAATCTCATTGTAACGGTGGTAAAATTAATTCTTTGCCATTTAAATTTGCCACGAGTGGTGAAAATTTAATAACAAACAATGGGAAATTTCATGTTGGCAAGTTACAGTAAGTTTTTGAAAATATCTTGGTTTTTTTATTTATTTTTTGTACTAATAGATTTTTCTTTTTTTTTTTTTTAAATAGAATTCCTGCTGATCCATCCTGGCCAAAAATTCCACAACGCAGATTTCCTTATAGTTATGGTGATATCGATCAATCAGGTGTTGTCACAGTAACTAGAACCCCAAGAAGAAGTAGTTCAATTGGTAGAACTTCTAATTCAGTGTAAGTTTATTTTTTATTTACTTTTATTTTTATATTAATTTAAAAAAAATTTTTTTGACTAAAATTTTTGAATTTTTTTTACAAGAACTATGAATGGAATAACATCGAAGGAAAATTTCGAGTCGATAAGTTATAATTCGGGATTTGTTTCTCATTCACAATCAATGCCACCGCCAACGCTGAGAAGAAGACCTGGAAGTGCTGATCCACGTTTCAAAAAGTTTGTTATTTTTATAGGAAAGAGGAACTATTTTTAATTTATTCACCGTTATTATTCAATTTTAGAGTCACTACCGTCAAAAGTCAAATAAAATCAATGAAAAATGATGATAATCGTGATTCAGCCGATGTTTCTTCAAATCAAGTGACTGTTGATAAATCAAAAAAAAATGAGCACTCCAGACAGGAAAAGGATATTAACGTGTATATTTTGTCTCCAATAATTGATTAATTTTTTTTACTTCTTTGAATTTTTTTTTGAAATTTTATTTTTTAAAATTCTTTCCATCAGTGAAAGGATAAATCAACAAGAGGCTGAAAAATTAGATAAGAAAGAAATGAAGGAAGCAAAAAATCAAGATAAAGAAGAATTAAAAATAGAACGAAATCATCGTGTCCCTGACAATTGTCAGCAAAATGAAAAATGTCTTTCAGTAAAACGAGAAGTTAGTAAAAATGTTTATGAAACGACAGCAAAAAAAAATTGCAAATTTCAAGAGGATAGTAGAAAAAAAATTCAAGAAACTGAAAAAACAAAAGGAAATGAAATGGAATTAAAAAAAATTATGGATCTTCTTCCAGATGGTAAATAAATTTTAATTTACTTTTTTCTTACTGTTTAGAATTAAAAATTTAATTAATAAATATTTTTTTCTAAAACAGATAAGTGTCTATCTCTGAAAATGACTAGCAATTCTAGAGAAATATTAGAAAAAAAAGAAGAAATAAATTGTGTTTGTAGTGAAAAATCAAATTCTCAAATAAAAAAACAATCGTCTAATTTAGATAAAATGGAATCAAACGGCTCGGAATCAATGTCAGACGATGAAAATTATAGAAAACGATGTAAAGAACATAATATGGATGATAAAGAAAGTTTTTTTCCAGCAACAACTGATTCTGAATTAATAGACAATGAAACAGTAACGACATTGAATAGAAAAAAAATATTTCATAATTATTATAATTCACCAATTAATGACGAACAAAATTTAATAAAAGATTACGAATTAATTGATTATTTTCAAACACATGGAGATTTTTACAAATATCGTCAATCAATCGATTATTTTGATCTCGACGATAAACGTGGTAAATTCATTGACAACTCAAATTATAAAAATAATAAAATAAAATCCGAACAAAATTTATCGCACGGTGTTTGGCAAAATTTTCCCAATTCCGAACCATTAATTCCCATTAATCAACGAAGATGCGCAACATCTTATTCACAAACAAAAAAAAGTGATGGTAAAGATGAAGTAACTGATTCGGAATTTGCATTTCTTTGGCCTGAGCAACAACAACAACAACATCGAACAAGACGAAAATCGAGTCATGGTTATACACAAAAATTAATAGACGAACGACGAAATCAGAAACGTAATAATTTGCCACGATTATTTCAAAAAAAAATGGACAATTCAAATATTAATAATAAAAATTGTGGGGAATTTGTGACACGTTTTAATGAAACAAAAGTGCAAAGTGAAAAATTCTATCAAGATAGTAATGTGAAATCAATTGATTCAAATATTCAAGAAGAAGTGAATTCACCGCGAACTGAAACTGATATTGCATCGGAAAAACCAAAGAGAATACCATATAAAACGCAAAAACTGCTCAATAAAAGTTATTGGGAATATTATAGGAAATTGAATAAAAACAAATTAAATGAAAATTCACAGAAACAATGTGATACAGATGATATTAATAATAAGAATCGAGGAAATATGACAATTTACGAAGAACAATTGGAATTAAGTCCACCTGAAATTCGAACACTAAAAAGATGCTCCGTCTTGTCGACTATGATTAATAAAAAATTGTAAGTTTTTTAATTTTTATTAAAAATTATTTTTATATTAATAAATTTTAATGTTATAGATAATATATTTTTTAATAATTTTCCTTTTTTTTACAGAGATTCAGATTCGCAACCAATTTTATGTACAAAACGGCTTCCAATAAATAGTGTTAAATTATCAGAAAATAATGAACAAGCTGAAGAATTTTTTGACAATCAAGTTGAATCTGTAGTGCCGATAAGAACAAATGATGATTCCAGTGTTTCATCGAGTTCAGAAAATAAACGGAAAAATTCACAAGTTGATATTAAGCTTATTAAATTAAAAACAATCGGTAAGAATTTAATTATTTTTATTAAATAATTTTAGTAATTAATTACAGTAATAATAAAAATTGATTTTATTTTTTTTAGCTTTCTTTGGAATTTTGATGTACCTAATAATCATATTTCTTCCAATGTTGTACGATCACATTTTTCATGAAGATTACGACGAGTATGCAGATTTGACATACATTGAATTAGCTGTCGACTACGTTGTATCCTCCTATCGTGAAGCTTTCAATGGAATTCTAGAGTTTGTTAATAGAATACTTTATCGTCCGGTAAGTGTTAATGAGATTTTTTTATTTCTCTAATTTCTTCCTCATAAAGGAAATATTTTACTTTATCCCTAATTTAAACATTTTTTTATTCAATATTAAATTATAATTGAAAAAAAGACGTAGAAGAAAATTTTTTTGAAACAGTTTTTAATTGTAATAATAAATTGTAGAAAAAAATTTGAATGCACAAATTTAGCTTTTTTTTATATATTTTTGTTTTAATAATTTTAAGTAAATTAGATTTATTCAGATGACACTGAACTGTTTGTAGTTCTTTATGATTTTCAGCTCACATGTAAAAGGTGTAACGGGATTGTTTAAATTTATAATAGCCATCATTCTGCCCTTTCGTTCATAGAAATAACATCTTTTATTTGATATCCCTTATACTCGATATTTTTATGCTTGACGCAGATTTACTTTTGTTATTATTTGCAAAGTATTTGTATTTCCGTTATTTATAATTAAAAAAAATTACATTTTACAGATTTTTATCAGTTTTATTAATAAAAAGTAATGTTTTAATTTTGAAAGGATTAAATTGGAGAGTTTATAAATTATTGAATATTTTTCTCTGTAAAAAAATATTTTCAAGAATTTTTTAGCCAAATAAATTTGGAATACCAGAATATCCGGGAATTGAAAAACTTGCTCCATATTCTGGAAAACCCAATGAATATGAATTTATCGGTTGAATTGGTTGCATAGCCTCCAGATAAAGATGAATTTGAGTAAGAATTACTTCCTGATTGAAATTGGTGATAATCCACCACATTATCCATTGGCTTTGCAGAAATAATTCCTACCAGAAAACTACTGACAATAATTAACGTCTAAAACAAAAAAAAAATAAATAAATTTTTTTTTAATTTAATTTTTTTTTTTTTTTTTTTTTTTTGCTTTAAAAAGTTAAACTTGAAGAGAGAAATAAATCGATTCAGTTTGATGGCAGAAACCTGTTGAGTTTATCTTAGAAATGAAATCTAATTAACTCATTAAGAATTTGTAAATTGAAGTGTTTAAAAGAAAAACCTATTTTTAATCGTTGAAAACAATTGAAACAATGTAATTGTTAGCGAATAGAACTTTTGAGATAAAAAATAATTTTTAAAACATTTTCAAAATTTAATTCCAAATTAATTATTACATTATTAAATTAAATTGAATAATTATAAAATTATTTTTTCTTTTAAATTAATATTAAATTATTTTAATTTTTTTTTAATAAATATTTTTCTTGAAAAAAAATTAGGAAATAGTTCATAAAATTAATAAATAAAAATACATTGTATGAGTATTTATTTTCTTAATGATATATCAAATTTCTTTTAAAGAGAAATATATATTATCAGCTATAATTTAATACGCCTGTGTACAGAAATACTTGATATTCAACAAACTTTATTCCATTAGTTACTGTAATTAATACATTTTATTTCTAGTGCAAAATTCTTTAGTAATCAGAGAATAATTTATTTTTAACAACTATGATAAAACAATGGTAATTGAATTTTTAATTTGAATTTATTTTATTGAAAATTATTATAAGCATTCAGTGAAATAATTTTAAATAAATTTAATTAAATAACTTTTTAAATTAATTAAAAATGTAGACAATTTTTTTCTTTACAAAAAATATTATATTTAAAAATTTTTATTTTTAATAATTAACGATTAATTTACAATTTTTAATAACCTATAATAAACATTATTTACGAAAACCTGTATATTTTGAGTTTTAATTAGCACTAAATAGTAATTTTAATCAATTTTAATAAGAATTATATTATTGACGTTAATTTGAATTTTCAAAAAACTTTTCCTGCACATGCGCAATGGTTTCCCGCCAAAGTGAGAATTTACAAAATTTTGAATATTTCATTAAACAAATTATATATTTCTTATTAGGTTTGAATTATTTAAATAAATATTTTTAATAATGTTAATTTAATTTAAATCAATTTAAATAGAGTGCAATTAAATTTGCAAAAATATGTTTTAAAATCGATTGTTGTTTAGTTACATTCTAAAAATGTAGAGGGCCTTCTTTTTTCGGAGTTGGCAACATTGTAAAAATGGCAACTTCGCGGTACTTCGCGCACGTTACTCTCGGTCATTTCGTCCTGTGAATTGCAATAAGAAACATTGGAGCAGCTTTCATTAAAAGTCTGCCACGTGCTAATATAGTTTATTATAAAAAATTTAATAAACACAGAAAAAAAACAATTAATTATTTACAAGTGCTTTTAAACTGGTCGTTTTATTTTATAAATTTTTAAATTAAAAACAATTTACAAAAAAAAAAAATATGGCAGACTATGTTATTGGTAACGCAAGGCCAGCCGACGTCCCGGTTCCTGAGGATGGTCTATCGGCGGCTCAGTTATTTTCCAATGGAGGTTTTACTTATAATGATTTTATTATTCTTCCCGGTTACATTGACTTCACTGCTGACGAAGTGGATTTGCATACTCATTTGACGCGTGATATTGTCCTTAAAGCACCATTGGTATCATCACCGATGGACACTGTCACCGAATCCGATATGGCCATTGCAATAGCACTTTGTGGAGGAATTGGAATTATTCATAGTAATTGCACCATTGAATATCAGGCCAATGAAGTTCATAAGGTAAATTTTTATTTTTCGTTTAAAATTTGAAAAATCATTTCACGTTTTCAAAAAAGTTATTTTGGAGTAGAATTTAAAAAATTGGGATATATTTGCTATTTATTGCCAAATTATCTACAAATTAGTAATTTTTTTATTTTTTCTTCTAATGAAGAAGTATTAATAATTAATTCTTTAGGGGATGAAGCAAATTTTTCGATTTTGTATATTTTTAGGTTATGAATGTTTATATTTGTTAAATATTATTTATTTTTATGATTGTTGTTTTCAATCGAGGTTACAATTTCCAGTGATTATTGCAATTATTTTAATTTCAATTTTGTTTACAGAATTAAAATTTTGGAAATATTTATAATTTTTGATATATTCTAATTTTGTAGTATTTATTATTTTTGCAAAATTTTTATTTAAGTAAACTGATTAAAAATAAAATTTTTTACTTTATTTTTTGAATTAGGTTTATTTTTTTTATGAAAATGTTGAAATATAATAAAAACATATATTTATACACAAATGTAGTAATTCATATCAAAGATTTTTTTTTTATCCGTGACCTAATTTAATTATTTCAATCCGTAACTGATTTAATATTGATTTTCAAAAGCTCTTTACCTTTAAGAAGACTTTAATTTAATCAAATAGAAATCAATTCGTTTCTATCAAAACTTGTCATTGTGAAAATGATAAATTATATATTTTTCTTTTTTGATTGAATGCGGAACGAGAACTTTATTGCAATCGATAAAAACAAAATTGTTTCGATTTAAAAAAATTATCTTTTTTTCAGAAATTTGCAACTCAGGACTTGTTTTAATATTAATATTTAGTATTAAAAAAATGTAGATTTCTAATTAGTATTTTTTTTAAGGTGAAAAAGTACAAGCACGGTTTTATTCGAGATCCAGTGGTACTCTCACCGAATCATACAGTGAACGATGTAAAACGTGTGAAGGCAGAAAATGGTTTTTGCGGAGTGCCAATCACTGAAAATGGAAAAATTGGCGGTAAACTTTTGGGAATAGTGACATCCCGTGATATTGATTTTCTTGAATCAAACATTCAACACAGCATGAAACTTGAGACGGTGATGACAAATCTTGAAAATCTTGTCACAGCAAAATCGGGTGTTTCATTATCCGAGGCAAATATGATTCTTGAGAAATCGAAAAAAGGAAAATTGCCAATTGTCAATGATAAAGGTGAATTAATATCATTGATGGCGAGGACAGATTTGAAAAAAAATCGTAGCTATCCAAATGCAAGTAAAGATGCTAATAAACAACTTTTGGTTGGCGCTGCAATTGGAACACGTGAACAAGATAAAGAGAGACTTGAACAATTGACAAGTGCTGGTGTCGATGTAATTGTTCTTGATTCATCGCAAGGAAATTCTAAATTTCAAATTGGAATGATACGTTATATTAAATCAAAATATCCACAACTTCAAGTGATTGGCGGCAATGTTGTGACAGTGAGACAAGCGAAAAATTTAATTGAAGCCGGTGTTGATGGATTGAGAGTGGGAATGGGTTCGGGTTCAATTTGCATAACACAGGAAGTAATGGCCGTTGGTCGTCCACAAGCGACGGCTGTTTATAAAGTTGCTGAATATGCGAGAAAATTTGGTGTACCCGTGATTGCCGACGGTGGAATACAATCGATTGGTCATATTATTAAGGGATTGAGTTTAGGCGCTTCAACAGTGATGATGGGATCATTATTGGCTGGAACATCAGAAGCGCCTGGTGAATATTTCTTTAGCGATGGTGTGAGATTGAAAAAATATCGTGGCATGGGATCAATTGAAGCAATGGATAGAAAAGATGCAAATGGCTCGGCAATGGATCGTTATTTTCACAATGAACAGGATAAATTCAAAGTTGCACAGGGTGTAAGCGGTTCGATAGTTGATAAAGGTACTGTTTTTAAATTTTTACCTTATTTACAATGTGGAATCAAACATGGATGTCAGGATATTGGAGCAAAATCGATATCATCACTGAGATCAATGATGTATAGCGGTGAGCTGAAATTTGAAAAACGTTCATCTTCCGCTCAACAAGAAGGAAATGTTCATAGTTTATTCTCCTATGAAAAGAGATTATATTAATTTACACAAAATTTTTTGTTTTTTTTTTGACAAAAAAGGGGTAACTGCATTATATTGCAAGTGGTAAATTTTGTAAAAATTTCTTTTTTTGAAAAAATAATATGAAAAATCCAAATACATATTTCTTGGATAGAAATAACAATAATAATAATAGATAATTAAACTTTGAGAATTTTTACAAATATTTTCTCGATCTAAATTTTTAATTGCATAGAAATTTTCTTTTGATTCTTGGATTTTGTTTCCTCAATTATTTTCTTTTTTGAAATCAAAATCTATTTTTTAATATTGAGTTTTAATTGTTTAAAAAAAATAATATTTTTTATATTTATATTTAATGCCTTTGAATGTTAATGACTAGAAGTTAAAAAAAAATTAAATTTCGTCACACCTGAGGAAATAGAATTAATAACAATTAGATAAATGATTTATAATTAATTGACAATGGAGAGAAGGGATCTTTCACAAAAATTCCTTCATTCTTAAGCTGCGATAGAAACAATGTCTTGTCTTAATAAATGTCGATCTGTATTGTACTTATGTAAAGCTACCTATGAACCTGAAATACGTCTACACAGTATCGAATAGCTATATGAAATAGGAAAATGAATTTTTTTTTTAAGACGCTGTTTTTTCTTTGAATCTTCAGTATATGATTGTTCAACTAATCTGTCAATAATTCTCAGTCGAATTTTAATTTAGTGCTAAAAAAAACATTTTAAATCTAAGTAAATATTTCTTAAATCAAAAAATTAATGTATTGATAAATAATAATAATAACTATCCAGTTCAATTTTATTATTTTTCTAAAACAAATTTAAAACTATTATAATTTGAAACAAAAGGAAAATTTATTTAAGAAACGTTTATTAGATTTATTAATAAGTTTTATTACTCGATTAAAATTAATAATTGACTGAATTATTTTTTATCAGTGGAAAAAATTTGCGTGTCAGTCAATCCAAATGCCAAATTATGGAAACACTATTTTTTTATATACATACTATATATATGTTACTTTCATTTTTTTGCATTTTGTTTTTTTTGTTACTAAACTTTATTAATTGAATAATAATTATAATAATAATAAATGTAGACAGTAAAAATAGTAATGAAATTCTCAATGTTTATCGAGGATTGGAAATAATTTGTGTATTGTTTAATTGACAAATGTCCTTTTTTTGTGACACCTGCGAAATTTTTCAAGTATTGTTTTATAATATTCTGAGAAAAAAAAGAGAATAAGAAGATAAAAGAATACATTTAACCGGTGGAGAATTCCTACGAAGAACATATTACATAATAATAGTTACTAATATGGCATTTTTTAAATGAAAATTTAAAAAATAATTTGCAAATAGATTTTTGAAGAAATTATCACTTTTTCTTTTATATGTTAAATTAAGTTGAATGTTGAATGTTCGCAATCTCTTCGTAGGAGCTCAATTTGTAAGTTTTCTGAGTGAATGGCAATTTTATAATTTTAATAATCTTAACATAGTCTACGATGTGTAGATTTAGAACAAAAAAATATATATTTCAGCCAATATACATATATTTTTTACAGACAAAGATATCATGTCAAAAAAAAAAAAAAAAAAAAACATTTAGAATAAAATTTTTCTTGGTGTTTTATCGAATTTTCTTGTTTTTATTAACACTGGGCTAATTAGTAATTTTTTTTAAAAATTATTATCGGTTTTTATATTTTATTATGTTTAAAAACAATTTAACAATTCAAGTCAAATACGCCGGAAATTCAAAAACCAATTCCTAAGTTTTTTTTTATCTGAAATTAAAAATCGAGATTAAGGAAATAAATGAATCTATAAGAATTCATCAAAAATAAAAATTTATTTTTGTAAACAATGAAAAATTATAATTTTTTAAAAATACCTCTAAATAACAATTTTACGCATGTTACAAAATAAAATCATATTCATTTTCGAAAGTAGTACAAATCGATCGCATTCCAAAAAGAAATAATAAGATTATTAATCAATAATAAGAAGAGAAAACTGTGTAATTAAACCTAATCCGATTATTCCTAATAGTAATTTGGTTTGATAAAGCGTAAAAATATTTACGAAATAGATGAAAATCCTAATCAATCTAATGGTAAATTTTACAACTACGTAAATCGTAACGAAAAACTATTTTCTACACAAAAAATATATATAAATTATATTTTCGAAGACTATAAAATTATTGCACTCAGTAAAGTAAGCATAAAATAATTATTATAATTTCCATTAATTGCTATATTTAATTTATAAATATAGTCATTTTTAAAATTACTTATAAGTATCCTCAATAAATTTTTTCCATTCTATTTGTAAATTTAATAATCGACAGATAAAGAATTTCTCGATTATATATACTGATTTCAAATATAAAAATATCAGTCATTCTTCAATTTCATAAATTATTAATTTCACACAAAGTCTATGTGTAATTAATAATAATAATTATTTACATATACAATATAAATTTCTATAGATATTCACAAAAAATATTCATTATACGACTAGCAGAACAAAAAATTTGGAATAAAACAATTTTAATTGGCATTATATTTCAATCTTTGGAATTTCAATAGGGAAATTCGTCATTTAATTAGAAGAAATTTTTTTAAATACAATTATTCTTAAAAATGCAAGAATAATTGAAAAGAAAAATTGTTCTCTATTAATAAATTATTAAATCATTGAGAAATTATATAATTAAAACAGACAGATAATGCTGGTCTGAAATATTAATAAAAAAAATCAAATAAAATAAATTGTATCATTCACGTAATAACGTGAAATGAACAATTTAAAATTGTAAAAGTTTTTTGATAAATCAGTGAATTAAATTTCAAATTTATTTCAAAAATCAATAAATTAGAAAATTACGAATACTAATTAAAAATAAATTTTCAATCGTTTAAAGAATGAAATTAAAAGCAGAATTAGATAAACATATGCTTATAAAAAATCATGCATTAAAAAAATTGTCCAAACAAAAATATTTAAATTAAGAAAAATTTGCAAAATGTCCCCGGAAAGAAATGAAGAGAGAAAATGAAACTATTATCGATTCCAAGTCGTTGAAGTTATTTTATAAATAATGAATTTGAAGATGTGAATAATGTATAATAAAATTATATTGCTGTTACTTTTTTTTTGTTAATATGAAAATCTATAATGAGAAAAATTTATGACAATTTATTTTCATCTATTATTTATTGAGTAAGTGAATCATATTTCAATTCAATTTCTTCGTCACTTTCATCAAATAAACACTTACGTGATTTTATTGCTGATCTATAAGAAATTTTTTCTGGAACACTGTTTACAACATTATTCACAATATCTTCAAATTCATCGTCCATTATAGAACCTCTTCGACGAATTGGAATCGATAAAGTTTCATTTTCCTCTAATTCAATATTTTTATTTGGAGTTAACTCCTTTTTTAATTTATTAAATTCGTTACTTGTCGAAGGTTTTGGACTGTTAATAAATTTATTTTCTTCAATTTTCATTTCCTCACTAGGGGTAAATTCGAAAGACGTTTCACTTTCAGTTTTCACCAAACTGCTATCGTGAAATACATTACTAGTTGAAGGCTTTGGACTACAAGTTACATTCATTTTATTTTCATCGTCACTCATTTCCTCATCAGTAGACAACTGATAAGGAGATGGTTCGTATTTTTCTTTTAACATTTCAATTTCTCTAACTAATTCTCTAATATGTTTTTTCTTTTCATTTAAAATTAAAATAAATTTTGTAAGCATATGTTTCTCTAAATCCTTCAATTTCAACATTTCCTCCAATTGACATTTAAAACTTTCATTTTCATCTAGTAATTTTTTATTTTCTTCATCAACAGATGAGGATATTAATTGATTTTTAATAAAACCTTCAAGTGTCGTTAGAATAACATCGGAAAAATTAATAATATCAGCTTCAGCAAAAAGTTTTATCGAACCTCTTGTCCATAAACCTAATTCCCATTTTAACATTGTTTCCTCCATATAAAATTTATAATCTTTTCCCTTTCCCGAAAGGGCTTTTTTTGTTTCTGCATGAAAATCATCCTCATTCCCAGGAAAAGATTCTCTCGCCATCTCCCATAATTCAGAGGTGGTTACCTGAATTTAAATAATTATCAAATTTTTTAAAATTGTTTTTTACTAATTACTAACAATTGTATTATTAAACTATATAGAATATTATATTAATATTTTTTATTATTATTATTATTTTACAAATATGACAAAAAGTCAAGTTTATTATATTTAGTTCAAAAATTAAAAATTTTAATTAAATTAGTATTAATCAGTTTATTTAGTTTTTAGTTAAAAATTTTTAGAAGAAAATATTTAAATTTTCTCATTATGAAAAATTAATTATTTTATTTAAATAAAAAACTCACGTCTCCAATTAGTGGGTAATTATTATTTCTCAATATAAGAACTCGTATTCGATAGCGTAAAAATTCCGAACACAAAATAAAACTGTCTTGGCTGCCATTTGCCGAATTAAAAAATTTGTTGACTGCTGTAGTCATCCCAGTAAACTATTTAAAGCACATTATATTTAGATAAAATGTTTAATAATTAATTATTTAATATATTACAAACGTACGTAAAACTCAAAATAATATTTTTAAACGATACTATTAATTTAATTTGAAGGTTAAATAACGATAACAAATAAATTTCGAAATTACTATCAGAGCAAGTTACAACTTGTTTTCTCATCAAAAGAGCTTCTCATAAAAATTAAGATATTACAAATTTTTATATCACTTTATGAATTTGTTTTTAATAACAAAAAAGAAAATGATTTTTAATTTTTGTTTACTTTCCGTTTTGCTCCAAAAAAAACGGTTTGGAAATAATTAGCATATTAAGATAAAACAAACAATACATAAAGAAAACTATAATTAAAAATAGTTAATAAAACAACGTTTACCTATTAAAAATTTTAATTAATTAAATGTTTGATTTCAATTTATGTTACGAGCCGAGTTACCTTTTATTACGCAACTCTAAAAATGTAATATGATTGGCCGGATTCTCTTTAGTTAAATCCTTTAAGAAGGAAGCGGGAAGGTTTAAATAAAAGATTATTAATTTCCGATACAACGGAAGGGAAACCCGTTCAAGGAAGAATAATTATTAGTTCTTCCTTCGAAGGTAAAACCCTGTAAATTTATTAATATAATATTTACAAAGCTGACTAAGGAGTTTAGAAAACAACCTTTCAAGTCAGAGTCAAGATTAGAACTAACTTAGAGAGTTTTTGGTCCAGCGGAGTCGCTCTCCGCTTTTGGTCCATTTTGAGTTTGTGCGCATGCTTCACTATGGAGCGTATTCGCTACTCCTATACGTGTATCACTTCACTAACACTTATCACATAGTTCTTAAGTGTTACTTATACGTTCACACATACATAAGAGAGATTATACTTATTCTCTCCCATCATACAACATACTATTTATTAAAATATAATAAACATTAATCATCACAACATTATATGGTTAATCCATAATTATATTATTATAATATAATTATAACAATATTAAATTATAATATTCTGATAGTCAATTATTAATTAATTAACAATATTAATAACGCTTACATACAAATGTGTAAATATACTAAAACATGTGCATAAACAATTATTTAATTATTTATTGCTTTCTAATACAAAGCATTTCCGTTGTAGACTTTCGTTTATTGTTTAGCCCGTACGCGACTTTTCTATTGAAGGTAATAAAAGTCCGTGTCTGGTCAACATGTGTTTAGTGTCCCTTTTTTTTATGGAAAGGATCACATTTTTTCAAGTGGTTTTTATGACGTTCTAGGATTACATTTTAGAATTGAAATAAGAGGAAATATGTGAATATATTTTCTCTTATTTATTTGTACTGATTTACGACATTTCTCTTTTAATCTTTTATGTTGCTAAAAGAAATACGATATTGAAATAAACTTAAAAGTTCAACAGAAATACTTTAGAATTAGTCATGCTATTTCCTTTATGTGAAAACTCTATTTTATTTATTATGAGAAAATGTTAAGAGTATTATAAAATGTTTTATAATGACACTTATTTTAGGTTATTTAAATCGTAACTTTAATCATATCGTATCGTTCATTCGATACCTCGAAATGATTCGAGCGAGAATATAGTCGCTCGTTACACTTTCCCCCTTACGGAAATTTTCGCTAGAAAATTGAAAAATAAGAATAGTACAGATTGTCAAAATTTATTGATTAATTACAAAAAAATTTTATTGTAAGAAAAGTAGAATTAATGAAACAATAGTTATACAATTTTCTGAGCAAGGTATAGTTGATCAGCTATCACTCTCCCCCCTAAGAGAATGAAAAATTATATTTCAATTCATTAATTACACTCAACAATAATTTGACACTATGTATTGTTTAAAAATCTTTACTTTGTTTTAGAAATATTTCCAAATTCAAGATAACTATTATTTTCCTCGTCAAAAATAATATTATCATAATTTATTTGTTAATTTAATATTGTTAGAAATATTTCCAAATTCAAGATAACTATTATTTTCCTCGTCAAAATAATATTATCATAATTTGTTTGTTAATTTCATATGGAATCTCACCACTACAAGGATCTCAATATCCAGCATGGTTGAAATTGGTGCACAAACCATTCGGTTCTATTTACAATTTCGTGGCTGCAGTCCACCTTACGATCTCATATTAATAATCATATCGCAATTTACGATTTCGCAGATTATCAATCTCACATCGCAAGTAATTTGATTATCCAATTTATGTTACGAGCCGAGTTACCTTTTATTACGCAACTCTAAAAATGTAATATGATTGGCCGGATTCTCTTTAGTTAAATCCTTTAAGAAGGAAGCGGGAAGGTTTAAATAAAAGATTATTAATTTCCGATACAACGGAAGGGAAACCCGTTCAAGGAAGAATAATTATTAGTTCTTCCTTCGAAGGTAAAACCCTGTAAATTTATTAATATAATATTTACAAAGCTGACTAAGGAGTTTAGAAAACAACCTTTCAAGTCAGAGTCAAGATTAGAACTAACTTAGAGAGTTTTTGGTCCAGCGGAGTCGCTCTCCGCTTTTGGTCCATTTTGAGTTTGTGCGCATGCTTCACTATGGAGCGTATTCGCTACTCCTATACGTGTATCACTTCACTAACACTTATCACATAGTTCTTAAGTGTTACTTATACGTTCACACATACATAAGAGAGATTATACTTATTCTCTCCCATCATACAACATACTATTTATTAAAATATAATAAACATTAATCATCACAACATTATATGGTTAATCCATAATTATATTATTATAATATAATTATAACAATATTAAATTATAATATTCTGATAGTCAATTATTAATTAATTAACAATATTAATAACGCTTACATACAAATGTGTAAATATACTAAAACATGTGCATAAACAATTATTTAATTATTTATTGCTTTCTAATACAAAGCATTTCCGTTGTAGACTTTCGTTTATTGTTTAGCCCGTACGCGACTTTTCTATTGAAGGTAATAAAAGTCCGTGTCTGGTCAACATGTGTTTAGTGTCCCTTTTTTTTATGGAAAGGATCACATTTTTTCAAGTGGTTTTTATGACGTTCTAGGATTACATTTTAGAATTGAAATAAGAGGAAATATGTGAATATATTTTCTCTTATTTATTTGTACTGATTTACGACATTTCTCTTTTAATCTTTTATGTTGCTAAAAGAAATACGATATTGAAATAAACTTAAAAGTTCAACAGAAATACTTTAGAATTAGTCATGCTATTTCCTTTATGTGAAAACTCTATTTTATTTATTATGAGAAAATGTTAAGAGTATTATAAAATGTTTTATAATGACACTTATTTTAGGTTATTTAAATCGTAACTTTAATCATATCGTATCGTTCATTCGATACCTCGAAATGATTCGAGCGAGAATATAGTCGCTCGTTACACTTTCCCCCTTACGGAAATTTTCGCTAGAAAATTGAAAAATAAGAATAGTACAGATTGTCAAAATTTATTGATTAATTACAAAAAAATTTTATTGTAAGAAAAGTAGAATTAATGAAACAATAGTTATACAATTTTCTGAGCAAGGTATAGTTGATCAGCTATCACTCTCCCCCCTAAGAGAATGAAAAATTATATTTCAATTCATTAATTACACTCAACAATAATTTGACACTATGTATTGTTTAAAAATCTTTACTTTGTTTTAGAAATATTTCCAAATTCAAGATAACTATTATTTTCCTCGTCAAAAATAATATTATCATAATTTATTTGTTAATTTAATATTGTTAGAAATATTTCCAAATTCAAGATAACTATTATTTTCCTCGTCAAAAATAATATTATCATAATTTATTTGTTAATTTAATATGGAAAGAAATATTTCCAAATTCAAGATAACTATTATTTTCCTCGTCAAAAATAATATTATCATAATTTATTTGTTAATTTAATATGGAAAGAAATATTTCCAAATTCAAGATAACTATTATTTTCCTCGTCAAAAATAATATTATCATAATTTATTTGTTAATTTAATATGGAAAGAAATATTTCCAAATTCAAGATAACTATTATTTTCCTCGTTAAAATAATATTATCATAATTTGTTTGTTAATTTCATATGGAATCTCACCACTACAAGGATCTCAATATCCAGCATGGTTGAAATTGGTGCACAAACCATTCGGTTCTATTTACAATTTCGTGGCTGCAGTCCACCTTACGATCTCATATTAATAATCATATCGCAATTTACGATTTCGCAGATTATCAATCTCACATCGCAAGTAATTTGATTATCCTCGATAATCTCCATGCTTGTGGTCTGGAAATGTCCATTACAAATGACTTTGTTTAATTTTTTCTGATTCGCTATCACCGTTACCCCAGTGAATGTCTAGAAAAACTGCCTCAATTAAGTAAACTCTTTCAAAATCGTCCAAGGAATTTTGTGGATGAACAGGTGTACAGTTCACCTTGTTCAGAGGTTTAGGATAAATATCGTCATTTTAATGTTATGTAATTAGTGATACCTCGCAGAATTTCTCACACATTTCACAAGGATCACACTACAACGAATCAGCACAAAAATTAATTTAATTTACTCTATTTCGTGATTATATTTACTCAAACGATGACGCCATCGGAGTAACCTTTAATTTTGATTTTTCGTTTTATATAATTTGAGAATTTGAAATCGCGCATACGGATCTTGATTCTAAACTTTTTAATATTCTTACAAAGCAATTTTCAGTAGAGTGACCTCTCTGTTTACAAAAATCGCATTCCGGTTTAGGATCGTTACTTTTCGATGAATTTCCGTTACCGTTTTTCTCGTTATTATCATCTTCATCATTGTTTTCTGATTGATCATTGTCGGATGATTCTGGTTCCGCGCGATCTGGGCAATTCCGCGAATTATGTCCAATTTTCCCGCAAGTAAAACAATATTTGTTTTTACGATTATTATCAATTTTATTAACCGTTTTCGATTTTTTTGCTTCGCGATTAGAATTATTTATTTCTATTTCGTTTGAAGGAGCGCTACGTTTACGTACATTGGAAACATATTTTTCTTGTTCTAATGCAATCGTTATTGCTTCTTGAAGATTAATCGGAAGACGTAGGTTAACGCGAAATTCAATATTAGGAAGAAGTCCTTGAGTAAAATATTTTGTTATTAGTTTATCATTTTCAGTTAATTTTAATTGTAAATATTGATGTGAAATATCTTTTCGCGAAAGCTGAGACAGCTTAAAAAGTAATTTACGTGCTTTTGCCGCGTAGTCGATTACCGATTCGTTATCACCTTGTTGCAAATTGGTGATTTCACCTAAAATCGTTCCATAATCATCTGAAAAAGAAAATGATTTTTCTAGTTCTACTAAAAGTTCTCCAAGTGTATCAACTTGAGAGTGTAAAATAAACTCTGCAGCCTTGCCCGTAATTTTCTTTAATACGAATTTTAAAAGAAAAGGTTGCATTTGAGAACTTGTATTTTCTACCAAATACGAACATTCTTGAATAAATTTTTGAACCGGAATATTTTCTCCATCAAATTCTGGTATCAATTCAACAAAATTTTTCAAGGATGAAATATTATTATTAATAAATTGACCCGACCTTTCTGAATTTATTTCCGCAATAGAAGGAGGGTGCGATTTTGACGTTGATGATTCCGAAGGATTTAAATTTCTTTTATTTTGTAAATGCTGACCTACTATATCAGCTATTTGCAAAAGATCATTTGGATTAATGCGATTCATTAATCCTTGAGATTGTTGGTAATCATAGGTATTCAAATGGTTTTCATAATTTACAATATCATCGTATTGTAATTCATCATTCATTTCATCATTCGCATATTCTTCCTCCATATCTTCCATATGGGGATGAAGATTATTTCCTTGTTGACTTTCAGACATTTTAATTTATTAAAATAAAGCAAAACAATTCCAATAATTAATTTCAAAACTATTCAAAATAATTAATTATTCCAATTAATTTATTCAAAACATTCGCAAATTTCAATATTAGAATAATATTTAAATTTAATCTTAAATGAAATAAATTAATCATCAAGGAAAAATCTTTTACAATTTAGCAGTCATTCATATAGCTAATATCTAAACAAACCTTTTGTAGATATTCTATTTCACTACACTGAATTTAAATAAGATTTCAATAAAATTTTCGGAAATGACCCTTTATTCCTCTATGAGGATTCACTACCGCACAACACAACACTATTAGCAGTTGAACAGCAGGTTACAGCTTTCAGGAACACAGGATCTCAGGAACTTATACTGCTCTTCAGGAAATCAGCAACATTTATTTATTCAGGAACTTATACTGCTCGCCAGGAAATCAGGAACATTTATTTATTCAGGAACTTATACTGCTCGCCAGGAAATCAGGAACATTTATTTATTCAGGAACTTCAGGAACTCAAAAGATTATATTTTCTTTTCCACTTTTAGTTTATTATTCACTTTGAATAAAAGTTTTTATTCAAATAAAATTTATAATTTTATGTTATAAAACTGTCACTTTGAATTTTTTGCACCCAAAATCCATTACATTAAATTGTCAAAGCATCGATATTTATTACATTGACTCTCGAATACATGGATTCTTCAAAACGTCGACTGACCAAAACATCGACTTGTAAAATTATCGACTCCTCAAAACATCGAATTTCCAACTGGTCGAATTTCAAAATGATCGATTTTTAACAACGTCGATTCTTCAATGCATACATTTACCATCACATATCCTTATTAAAACATCGAATTGTTAATTCATTGAATTTCCAAAACATGGAATTTTCATAGCTTTGAATTACCAAAGCATCGACTTGTTATAACGTGGATTTGTCAAAAAATGAATTTTTTAATGCATCGATTTACAAAAACACTGATATTATAAAACGTCGACTCGCAAAAGCATCGACTTTTGTTTACATTGAATTTTTAATACAGCGATTCTCCAAATTATCGACTAACCAAATCAATCATTTGTCAAAATATAGATTTGCTAAAACATTACATTTTCAATACATCAATTTATTAAAACACTGATTTTCTAAAACTTCGACTCGCAAAAACGTCTATTTTTTATTACACTAATTTTTCAAAACATCAATAAATCAAAACATCGACTTTCCAATACACCGATTTTTTAAAACGTCGAATAATCATAGCACCTATTTTTTAATACACAAATTTTTTAAAACATTAATTTATTAAAACATTGAATTTTTAATACAGCGATTCTCCAAATTATCGACTAACCAAATCATCCATTTGTCAAAACATAGATTTGCTAAAACATTACATTTGCAATACATCAATTTAGCAAAACACTGATTTTCTAAAACTTTGACTCGCCAAAGCACTGACTTTTTAATACATTACCTCGTCAAAAGAACGAATTTTCAAATCATCGATTTTCTAATGCACTAACCTGCAAAAGCATCAAATTTCCAATACCTCGACTTCCGAGTACATCGATTTTTTAAAACATTAACCTGTCATAACATCAACTTTTCAATACATCTACTCGTCAATGCATCGAATTGTCAAAGCATAGAATTTTTAATACATAGATATGAAAAAGCATAGACACTTTTTTGCATTGAATATCCATTACATCGAACTTTTTTTTTCACTAGGGTTTACTCTCTATGTTGTTAGTAGGTAAGGTAGATTAAGATTGTGCGGGAAATTTTAAATTAATATAATATTTAATTATATTTATTAATAAATGTTTTTTATAACATTTAGTTATTAAATATTGTAAATTTAATGTTTTCTGTTTTTTTTGGTAATATAAAATCTCTCAATATTAACAAGAAAATGATATTTTTATTGATTTAATAATATATACAAATTATTGTTTTATATGTTTCTCATAGATGTCTCTACTTTACCAGTTTAATGTACTAAAACTGAAATAAATATATTTAGAATTGTATTCCATTGACAAATTGCCTTTCTTTTTTAAAATTATTCTCTTTTAATAATTTCTCCTTATTTTTTATGAAATATATTTGACATTTAAAAACAAACACAAAATATTTAAATAAAAAAATGTTTTTTTTATGAAATTATATTCATAAATTTAAATAAACTATTCAGCTGAAATTATGGACAAAATTTTTTTATCAACCATATATATTTTTTGGTAAACATAAAAAAAAATTTAAGTAAACTTAAACTGTTTTTCATATTATTATTTTTTTTTTAATAATTAATATCTTGTTTTACAAGTTTATATTGTATTCAAATCTTGTAAAATAAAATAATTGTCCTCGGCACTTATAATTTCACTCGTAAAAACTACAATTTTTGAAAATTTTTGAAAATATAAAATATTTCAGATGCAACGAAAGGCTACAGTGATTAAGCAGAATAAACAGGTAAAAGATCAGAGGTTCTCTGGTATATTAGAATAGAGTAGGGCGAGATTACCACATTTTACTCCATTGATGCAAGTTCCGGTCTCTTCGTTATTTCCAAACTACAGCCATTCTATAAGCTATCCTTTCGTAATTTAATTTCATTTGGTAAAAAAAAATGAAACAAACAATATTTGATTTAACAAAAATTTTTAATTACAATATTCTTTATCTTTATTAAATAACTAGCTAAAATATAGCGCGCTAAAGCGCGCGTGTATTTCCTACGTCGTGGAATAATAAATTAATAATAAGTATATTTCTAATTTTCACATTATCATTTATTTATACACAGGGAAAAATTAGTTTGATGTTATATAAATAGTAATTTTTTAGCTGAGGCAGCTTATAATTAGCTAATACAGCAAAACAATTTAGCTAAGTTAATTTTTAAATTTAATAAACATGTAAAACTATTAGTTCGATTTTTAACGGTAACAACAATGAAAACCCCAAGAAAAAAATCCACCGAAAAAGTGATTATGATAAGAAAAACATACATTGAAACCAACAGTGACAATTGGCGGTGTAAATGTTGATAAATCAATTCTAGTATTGCCAACATAACCGCCGCCAATTGAAATGCCGAGAAAAATTGATTATGTTCTGTCAATTATGATTACAATATTTACTGTTTTGTCATTTATATTGTATACCGAAAAGGCAGAGATTGTTGGGATAAAAGATATTATTGACGAATGGATTTTCTTATTGGCGGAATATTAAAAAAAATTTAATAAAATTTAATATTAAAATTAAATTATTAAATATTAAATATTAAATTATTAAAAATTTAATATTAATATCTTAAAATTTTTACTGAAAAATCTTATTTTTTCCCTGTCAATTCAGTAAGATCAATTTTTTTTTTGAATTGACAGGGAAAAAATAAGATTTTTCAGTAAAAATTTTAAGATATTAATATTAAATTTTTAGATATAAATATTTTTGATAAAGTCAAACTTCGATAATTTTTTATAATCTTTAAAATTACAAAAAAAATTAGTTTTGCTAAATGTTTTTTTGTAGGGAATGAATGAATGAATACTGAGATTATTATAGTTAATAATAATAATTAATAAATGAATATATTTTTAGTGTATAATGTTTATGTGAAAAACACCTTTCTAACATCATTTACATTATACGTTTCTCGGCATACTGGACAGCTCCTCAACATTTCGTCATTGTTGACAACGAAGTCATTGCTGTTATAATTGTACGTCAGCCAGCATGCTTCGCAGAAAGGTATATGCCCGCAAGCTAAAATACAATATATTGGTGTTTCAGTCAAACAAGTACAGCATCTTATTGGTATTCCTGTAACATAAAAAAGGCAAGAATTTTTCTTGAAATATGTCTATGTAGGTAAAAATTAAAATTTTGGTGAAATTTCAGTATCTAACTTTTTATTTAAAAGAATTCTTACTTAACCATCCGCTTCTTCAGCATTTAGGAACTCGTAAATTGGATTTATACATATTAAAATCATTTTGTCTATAAATTCTAAAGCTGTTGGTCGATTTTCAGTTTGGAACTTGTTCCATTGTTCTTCAATTAGTGCATTTTTTATTACAGTATGTAATTTTGGATTTCGTGTGATTTGGTGACCGCGTTTCAATGCTCCTAAATCTATTTGCAGACCTTCTTGGAAATTTACTAATAATTCTGAAAACAATATTCACATTATGTTAGATTAATTTCTCATTTTACAAAACAAATTGTTCTAAGTAGCTACTAACAGATGAAAAATAAGATTTTTTTATATGATAGTTGTTCTATTTTTCATCAATTTTTTAATTATAAAATAAAAACAAAACGTAACTACTACGGAAGCATTTTAAAAATGTTAATTAAATTTATAAAGTGATTTTTCTGAAAACCGAAATGAAAGATTTTTAATTTTTTTTCAAATACATTCTCTGATAAAAAAGGAATTATTTTATAAATATAATCTTCTCTCTTATTTTAATTGCAAAAAACACCACTTTCGCATAACAAGGAAAAAATTACTTATTTATAAAAGAATGGATTAGAAAAAATTCAAAAATCTATTATTTCGGTTTTGAGAAAAGTCACTTTTGAGACGCAGGAATATGCACTAATGCTAATTTTTTAGAATTATGTTTTAATCGAATTTTATTTTGTAGAATATTAGTTTAGCATCATAGTAATTTTAAAGAAACTTAATTTTGCAGAAAAATAATTGTACAGAATTTTAATTTTGCTGAATATTCATTTGTTCGAATTTTTATTTTACAAAATAAATTATTAACCTATTATTAATGTTGCCGAACTTTTATTTAGACGAAAATTAATTTGCCAAAAATTCAACTTAATCGAATATAAATTTGTGCGAAACGTTATTTCGTAGAATATTCATTTTGTAGAATAGTAATTAAAAAATTTAATTATATTATTATGCAGAAAGATGATTAAAAAGAATATTAATTTAATATAATATTC